TCATTTACAGCCTTACAGATGAAATTTCTGACGATCGTCTGTGTCACTGGACTTCATGTTGATTGTACTTCATGTGTTATATAAACAGAAGGTCCTGAAACATACAGCATCTGCTATGGCACTAGAAACAAGAACTAAATAAATATGACAGAATAAAACAAATAATTACCTATTTTATGATATGACAATGCACTAATGACTACAACTGGACTATTCCATGATAAAATGTGGGGGTGGAGCTAGCATTATTTTTCAAATCTTTCATTTCCAAGATATGGAAACCTTCCAGATAAAATAGCATATTTTAATCAAACTTTATGTGTTAATAATTATGCTGTATTTTTGGTCTTTGCATGGTCATGGAATTCTTCACAGGAAACTTCTAGTTTACATAAAAACATAAAAAGAAACGACTTTTAATATCTTCTAACTTAAAGCTACAATTGTTCTAAAATTATAGATATGTAAATATCAACTAGTTTTTATATATCAACTAGTTCTAACCCTAAAAATTATCAATGTTAAAACTACTTTACAAATTATATAAAAAAAAATCTAATAATTACATTGCACAAAATTTCAATGCAATTCTGTGCATTTAATGAAGTGAATTACTCTAAAAATTTAAATAAAAATACTATTGTGCTACATAAATGGTATTAATAGTATTTAGAAGGATGCAGTTTTGGTTATGATGTTAGTAATTAACACACTGTAGATACTGTTTTCTTGTATTTTTATCACAACAGAAATTACTATTTACCACTACAATAAAGAGAACTTTTTTCATGTTGTCACATCATGTCCTTCCTGTTGAATCATTTTCCTAGTCGGGATAGGATGAACCCATGGGTATCAAACTTAAAGAGAATTTTTTCCTTCTTACTACTTTAACTTTTAACAACTACTTTACAACACTGTACACTAAATTAAAGTTGTGGACATAGTAAAATGAAATTTTAAACATAAGCATATAATTATTTAAAACACTGTGAATTTATTGATACAGCAAATATTGACAATTTACGATAAACGTTGTCATTTTGAATTGGTTTGAATTTTCACATTTTCGAGAACAAAATAAAATAAAATGAAAAAAAAAAGGATAAATAAACAAAATATGAAAAAAGTAGAATTGAAAATAAAATTTTAAGCGGAAACTATACTTTATTACTTAAATGAACAAGAGGCCCATGCGCATTAACGTTCACCTGGTCTTTGGACAGTTTTAGAACCTGTCCATCAGTCCCAACATTGGGACAGACAGAACAGGACTGATACTTATAAAGTTTTTATTGTTTCTATGTTTGAAGGCTTAATTTTCAATTAAACAATTCAATTGAACAGAACTAATAGCACTCTCTGTTGTTGTAGCTGATTTGACCTCTGTGACTTTGAATGAAGGTCAAGGTAATTCAGTTGAACAAATATGAAAAGCCCTTCATCCCAACATGCTACTGGCCTAATATCATACGCCTGGGCCTTTTGGTATTAAGAAGAAGTCATTTAAAGATTATGCCATAATTGATGCATGTGTCCTTGAAAGTGGGTCAAGGTCATCCATATGAACAACATCGTAAAACTTCATGCCATCATACAACAGGCCCAACTTTGCACCCTGGGCCTTTAGGTTATTGAGAAGAAGTTGTTTAAAGATTTCAACACATTTGGCTCCTGTGACCATGGAAATGGCTCAAGGTCATTCATTTATACAAACTTGGTCTCAAGTGACCTAATAATACATCCCTTTTTGCAAATTTGAATTACCAAAAAAGACTACCTTCACAGTAAAAGTTTACTCTTGCCTGTGATGCATACATGTATATGTATTGTGCTCCTTGTGATCACTAATTTTAAGAATTTATCTAATAAATAAATTCATATTCAAATCGACAACAAAACTCTTTATAACATATAAATATCTTACCAGTATGTATAACAAGTGGTTATCATAAACATATCAAACAATACACCAACAGTACTCACTAAAGTCAGTTAATTTTTCATGACATTCGCACTAGCATATATACAATCTCTTAGGTAAAGCAATACCTTTGACAATTAACAGAAAAAAACAAAAAACTATTATAAATTAACAGCCTTGCCATAGATTGTAGTATAATGGAGAAGACTAGAAGTAGACATTAATTACTTGAACAACAAAAATAAAGATGAAAAAATTATCACAACTGAAGTCCAGTAAGTTAGTGTGGGCTGTAGTACAATAAAGAACCCTCTTTGTACAGAGTGAAAAACAAAAGAATAGTGTTTACTAAAGCTAGGTTTTAAAAGCAGTATACATACGTAATAAAAAATTGAGCAAAGATGATATCGACATTTGATATAATTGTGTACCTCTAAAAGTAAGTGACAAATGATTATGAACAATGTTTACAGACCCCTGAAACAAAATATGAATGATGCACCATTGTTTACTTATCCAGGGTAGTGTTTACATTTTCATTAATTTGAAATTGCAATTATTTATATACAAATTTTTAAACGAATAATATGCAGGTTATACATGACTCTTGCTTATCCATTAAACAGACCTTAGTACTGCAAACATTTCAGTTGATATATTATTACGGTATGTAACCTCCAGAATCAATAAAGACGTCACTGACAACCCACCTTATATGATCACCATAGTAATGAGTAGATAAGAGCTTATTACAGACTTGGGTATCAGTGTATCAGATAGGTAATTACACATTTTTCTCTTAATCAATATTCCAGGAAACTTGAAATATCACATGTGCAGTGCCCTTTGTGGTGACACGAGAAATCTCATGGGGCACCTTCTTAGGTGACTGGAGATACTACATAAGATGCCCTTTGTGGCGACTTTGAGGTTACAGGGGATATCACATGGTGCACCTTTTGAGGTGACTGGAGAAATCACAAGGGCCACCCTTTGAGGTGACTGGAGATATCACATGAGGTGCCCATTGTGGTGAATGTGGAAACTTTGAATATGAAGCACTCTATAATTTCAAAATTGATTGATTTATTCCATTCAAATATTAGATGTTTTAATCTTCAATTTTCAAATTAACCAATCTGAATGATGTTATCAAGTGTGTTATATCAATGAATCAAACAAACCCTCCGAACTTTCATTTACCAGTGACAGTCATCTGAAACAAGGGCCATCAGGGACCAGTTATTCTCCATGAATGGGACAAAATTATATATGGATAATAAAAAGGGGCAATAAGCTGCTATAATTGTTGTGCAGAGCCCTCCTTCTTATTGAGATCTATCTTAATATCAAGTTTCGTGTTAATACCTCTTACAGATTTAGAGTAATACTCCGAAAAAAATTGAAGTATGAAAAAAAACAGAGGGCAATAACTCCTACATCATGCAAAAAAAGTTATGGTTCTTGTGAATTGCACTTTTCCTTGTTGTGATTTATAAACCTATGAAGTTCCATGTGGATGCTTTAATAGTTTTAGTGTAATCCTGTGGACAAAATTTAAGCATGAAAAATAACAAAGGGCAATAACTACTACTTAATGCATAAGAGAATGATGGTTCTTGTGCACTGCACTTCTCCCTGTTGAGATCTATCTACTTATGATGGTTTATGTTGATACCTCTTACAGTTTTTGTGTTATGCTCCAGACAAGGTTATGATGGACGAATGGACGGACAAAGCGGTGACAATATGCTCTCCCTTCAGGGATCATAATATTTGCACATGATAGACAAAATATTCATACTCCTCTATTATGTACCTAAAACTATTGCATTGCACTTGGCTTATGTACCAGTAAGTTGTTGTGTAGTATTTAAGGTTACCCGAGACGTACAACAATAATTCAAATATATAAACAACATGTACAAAAGTTGGATTACTTAGATATGAAACCGATCATTTCAAATAACATTGGAATCAATGTGGAAACAAGTTCATGCAAACTCCAATAAGATACACACTTGTATCAAGATTGTTTGTACCCATACGTAGATGTAGTTCCTTTGTTAAATAAAATAACAGTTATGTTCACAGCCATGTATATCTCTCTAGTCTTCGATACATCTTTTGAGGTCTGTCTTTTTTTCTTCTATCTAAGGCATAAACTATATTTTCTTTTAACTAAAAGTAGTATTACAAAATATAACAACTGTATTAATATCCTATGACTAAATTTTACAGATTAGCTAAATACCATTAATTTGATTTCAGCACTCTGGTTATTTCTCTTACATTTTCAATTCTGAAAATTTTGTCCCATTTTCAGATTTTTTTCATGAACACAAATTGAAAATTACAAGGATGCATAAAAATAGTACTGTCTTACGAGTGAAAATTAAATCTAAGTTAGCAATATGCATACAAAGATGGCAGAATTTAAAGTTCATCAATAGCACTAATCATACAGCTAAACCTGGCACTACTTCAGGTCCTGGAACTGCTCTTGCAAAGTCACGTCCAGAATGGTTTACAATGACAGGACACCAACACACGTACTGAAACCTTCACATTGTAACATTATTATTATGCAGGTATGAAAATCTACCAGTTATCACATCTTATGTTAGTTTTGGAAAGACCAGATATATATTGTAAAGAATCTTTTACCAAAAGCTTACAGTCTAAAGCATTTATTTCACAAGGAAGTCACATAACAGACTAAAAGATTTACCTATCAATTGTATTTTAAAAGTATATTTTATTTTGGGAATTCATTCAAGTCTTAAAAATAGCAAAAACATTGAACTTCTTGAAAATACTAACATTTAATTGCATATTAACCTGTATTTTTGTAATTATGAGTACCAGGGGTATACAGAATTACAGAAAAAGTAATATTTCACAAATTTGATATTTTTTGTCATGAAAACAACAATTATAAAATAACCATCTCATGACTAAATCTTATGCAATAGTAATTAAAGCTAATTAAATCTGAATTGATTGGAAATGGAACATATACATATAATTTATACCTTTTAATAAAATTTGACTAATTAGTCTCTCAACTGACGTAAATCTGGTAAGATGTTGAAAGAACAGATCATGTATTTTTTTAAGAAATGGAAGTTAGACTATCAGGTTTAAGGTGGTATGTTTCTGTATATACATCATAAAGGCATCATTTTAAGATCATTATATCCATATGTACTATTGTAGCAACCCTGTTTAATTTGGTTACTGTAAGCATATAAATTTTAACAGTAATCTTATTTTAGTACTTGCTGAACTGAAACAATTGTGCTAAAATATCATTGTCCTGCCTGCAGTGTTTGTTTATTGTTTGTATAACAATTACTCTGGATGCACTAATTCATCATTGCACTTATTTGCCAAAAAGTGATATTGTGCTAATTTTTTATTGTGCTATATAAAAAAAACAGATTTGGAATACTTTGATTCACTTTATGTGTACGAACAAAACATTTAGCCCATTCAATCAGAATTTGCTTTCTGAATTTGTATCAAATTTGAAAACATCAGTACATAAAAATTTTGAGTCACTGATAGGAGGAAGACAAGACATACATGTGGAATTACTGTGAAATTTTTAAAAGAAAATTATAAACAATTGTAAACATTTCTTCAAATAATGGTTGCTGAAATTAGGTGTAAAAGTTAAGTTTCCTGACTTTTTAAACCTTCTTATTCTGTTGTCTGTTAATTAAAGCTATAGACTAGTGACAATAAAACTGACTTGTCATGGCAGATAACACAATGTCATGTACAGGTGTTTTATCTAATGACAAACGCTTCACTAGTATAGTACAAAATGTTGATCATTGATGAATTTATCACAGATGGCATGAGGACGTTTTCAGATAACTAATTGGCAGTAATTAATTATATATAAACATAAATGAACACATTGTCAAGTCACTGTACATATATTAACACAACTTGATATCAGAAGAAATTATCTTAATATTTAAAACATCATCTAAGGCATACATATACCACATTATGCTGAGTAACAATGATTATGGTAGGCCCAACATATCCAGCAGAATGTTGACTTTAATGTTGAGCCAGGCTGTTTGCTTTTTTCTCAGTCCTGTCACCCAGTGTTTTGGAAGATGAGAGAATCCCTCCTTACAACCCAGGAGAGCTCCAGCCACACAAGCATTGCTATTTGCATCACCGGTTTTCATGATTAGTTTCATCAGGGCTGTTCTGTAATATGTATAAATAACACATGTACATTTTTCTATATCGTGATAAGTCTCAGGTGGTTAAAGTGACCAGTAAGCACAATCAAGTTCATACAATGTAATATTTTGTTCTTACAATATTGACTGTCTAAAAGCAATAAAAAGAAAATACATAAGTGTCTGTATAATTCTTTTTTCATCATGTTAAGTTTTATTCATCCATCATACAACATTAAACCAACAACAGATACAGAAATAGTATGGGCTCCATGTTTTAACAACACTGCAATACATTTTGCCTAATTATTTCTGAATTATGTTTTACATATTTGCAGCAGGGCCGTCCTGCAACATTAAAACATACACTTACATACATAAAATATTTTGGTATTATAATTCGCCCAAAAAGGATAGAGTATTCTAGACCACAACAGTAATTAGTTGAAAATGTCTTCAATTTTTCTCCATTTCAAAACATTTTTTTAAATTGTGAACTAAAAGCATTTTGTAACTATGTACTTCAACATCTTTCATGGAGCTATAAATCTCATGGCTGCTGCAGACCAAGTTACTGTAAATGTGCAGGTCTTAGCAGTATGGGGTTACCTTATTTCAGTGGTTTTTTATCACTAAAAATATTGAGCTAAAATATGACTGCTAAGAGCAGTTTCTTTCAGCTTCTGATACAGTGGTCATTTTGGAAGGAATAAATTCTTGCTGTAATAATTTTCCATAAAGTGATAAATATTGATATAACTTTTATGCATTTTTATTGTGTCAAATGAAGTATGTTTAAAGAATATGTAATGATATCCATCACACTTGGTTTGGATTAAACTGTGAAAAGGCCTCTTGCAACTAAATCAGCAACTGAGCCACTGTTTCTAGTCCCTATACAAATTTAGAATGTACCCTCGGTAGTTTTACGTTTATATTTGCTGACACCTTTTTCTATGACAGAAATGTGCAGGTATTTAAATAAAAGCATGATTGATTTACTTGCACAAATTCCTATTGTTTCAGGAAACCTGAGTATGTAATGAAAACCCATTTGGTCAAGTGTATTGTTATTCATGTTCGAACCCAGGAATAAAAACCCTGGTTGCCTTGGTAAAATGTGTGAACAATTGTGCCAGACAACTACTGCTGGTAGGTGCTGTTCATTAACAGCAGAATGTATCTATGATATAAGTTGTTGAGATTTGTACCCATATTTCATAAAGGTATAATAATTGGTGTTTGTGGTTGTATAAATCATTATCTATCACTATTTGTCCACAACATAATGTGAATTGTAATTAATTGACAGGTAATGTAAGTTTCGTTCAGTTGCTAATGGTAACATGCGATTAGTATGGCCACTGTGTGGTTACATGAAGGTGTAATTGGGATATATGATGTAGGACTGGATGTGTAATTTGTGCTAGTATATACAATATAACAGTTATAAAATATCAACATAGGTGATAGGAGTATTCACAACATAAAACAATTTAAAAAAAGAGGCCCAAGAGGTCTGTATCACTTACATAGCTAATTCAGCTATTAAGTTGTTAAATAAAAGATTTCAAATATGACAAATAATTTCTAAAATAATTCCCCTATTGGTTCCTGGCCTTCAACAGAAGTCCAATTAACCATTCATAAAAATTGCTTCAGACCAAACTTGACAATATCAGTGTAAGGAAGTAGAATTTTTGAGAACTTGATTTTCTCCTATTGGGCCCCATATCTCTGATGTCAGATTGATGGCTAATACTAAATTGTTCCTTTCATATTTCAAGTTTGCTTCAAACCAAATTAGGACAGAATCCTTTAAACCAGGTAAGCAAAAAAATTAGTTTGATTGTTCAACTTTATTTTTGCTGAATGGTTTTGCCCAATTAACAAATAAGGCAAAGGTTGGATAATTTGGCAAATAATTTTGTGACTTTTGCATTGAAGTGTATGCAGTGGTGAGTATTACTTATTTCAGCTTTTTTGTGTAATGAACAAAACTAATTTTTAAATGATAACAGGATTTCGAAAAACTGTCTTTTGATTAATAGGTAGATTACTGTATTATAAGCCACACCGGTATATAAGCCGCAGAGCAAGTTTTTATCTATTTTATTTCATTTTATCCACATATAAGCTGCACCCTTTCTTAAAAAGTGGTAAAATTTACATTTGCCAAAGTCAATTGATATAACAGACAACAGAGGGCAATTATTCATGGTCGTCACTGAAACATTTAATTAAGTTTGCAAATGAATAATACACAGATAATCCTTTATTTTATTGATGTATTTCAAAAAATGTAAAATAGCAAATATCGAACTTGTTTGGCTTGGTTACTTTCACAGATTGTCTACACAGAGATATAGGTCCTGACATTATGTATGGTTGAACAATCTCTCCATCGGTGTCTGTGGTGTTAGATATTAATGAAGGCTCATGCATGCTGACCAAAATATCATAAACAAGCATGGCAGTTATTCTAGAATCTGACCTATAACCCGATGACCTATCAATCCCAGGATGCAAAAGGCTATTGTAAACTTCTCCTATGACTTCAAAGTACCCGTGAATGTCCAGAAGATATAATTGTGTTTCATATTAAAAGACACAATTAATTAAATCCATGAGATTGTTATTCTTATTCCAATCTTCAAATCATCCTAAATTCAATTGCAAATGATGGTTCTAGAAGATCTAACATGTGATGGGCAGGTACTCATAAAAACACTCAGAACAGTACTGGTGACATTACTTGTATGCTACCTGTCTTTATTTTAATCCTATTTTTGTTTTTTTTATAAGCTGCACAGGTATATAAGCTGCATGACTGACTCACAAGGAAAAAAGGTGCACCTTGTAATCCATAAAATACATTATGTCACTGAACTTTTCCTAATGCATTTATCACAGGTCAAGGCAGACCACTCTCTCACTTACCTGAAATCTTTATTGGATCTCAAGCTGACCAGAGCAGCACTTAACGGCATAAATGTGTGTCCCATTTTCTTTTCATCTGTCACCTTTAAGCTGAAAGGAAAACAAAAACCATTTCACCACGTAACCAACAGAAAACACTAAATGCTTACAAGCACTTTTAACATTACCAGTCCTTCTCTGTATAGAAAGTCTTACATTTAAGACAATACTTGCCTGTCTAGCATGTCTTACATTTAAGACATTAACCTTTAAGACATTATTCATCTGTATAGAAGTCTTACACTTAAGACATTACTTACCTGTCCAGATTATCTTTATCACAATATTGGTTGAATTCCTCAATTTGTTCTGGGTCTTTCAGGATCTCCTTCCCTGTCAGTTTGGCTGTAGCTATAATCTCCTCCAGATCTTCAGCGTTAGACAAATCTTTTTTACCCTACACATAAAGTCAAATTAATTGTCAGATGTCTATATTTAGATTGTTTTATGTAACTTATGAAACTGTCTTAATGCAAAATAATATAACCTTAACACTTTATATCTAAATTCTCTCCTGTTCCTTGCCTTCTAGGACAGAATAATTAATGAAAAATCTTAAATTATTTGGGATACATGAAAAGTCTAAGACATTCAAAATATATTTTCAAATAGTGGTGTTCATTCTATTTGTGAAAATGTAGATTTTTCCTCTCTATACAGATTAACCAGTATTACATTAGAAGGATACCTGTAACATGAGGGCCACGAGAACTGAGATCACTACACAAGAGGCTGTGGTGTGTGGGTTAGCATGGGTGGCCCGAGATATCCTTGTGGTGTTATTGACGACCTCCGCCAGGTCAAAGAAGGATGGTATTCCTGTAAATAAGTCATGTAAAAGTTGATTAGCATGTATATTGTGGTGTCAGTTGATCAGTATGTATATTGTGGTGTCAGTTGATGTATATTGTGGTATAAGTTGAATCAATGTAACTGGTACATTGCAATATCTCAGTACAGACAAAAATCCTCTGTTAGAGTATTGGTGTTTCCCTGAAGACCTAAACAAAAGTGAAAGAGAACCAATTGCAGGAACTTCTTATAAAACAATAATCTGATTAGATTTCTTATACAATTTAAGTATTTGACAATTTACTTGAACTGAATATCGCCATAAATCAAGTAACTATTTCTTGAAATGAATGTTGCTATAAGATGACATCTTGTATATCTCAGGAATAGTTTACAATGTCTCAAATGATAATAATAGCACTTCTGAGCAAATTCTTTTATCTGTTAACTAAGTAGTCCAATGTATTAACTATGACGCATCAGTCGTGGTTCTTGTTACTGTAAGATTATATATTTTTGTGGGGCTCCATTTTCAGGGATTTGTTTTAGAATTTACTATTTTCTGGACACTTTACTTTATGAATAGCTAAATAAATCTTGTTGATAAACTTATTTCAACAATTAACATATGAATTTGTGGATTCAGAAATCGATAGAAATAAATCCTCCACGAAAATAAAAGATTTTACATTTGTAAGAAATATTTGAATCTTCACAATCTGTGATCTTACATATGGCAGTTAAGTAAAATGTGTTCGTGACCTAACTTATATACAACCTGTTCTATTCAAAATTTTAAATTCAAACTTTTAACATCATCTTGCTAGTAAAAGAGTCCCATATGATAAATTAGTATGTGTTTCATTCTGTTCTTTATTGCTTATTTGTAATATTCTGGGATAATACTTTATCTTGTAAACAACAACTTTGTTAATTCTGGAATACACTAATTTGTGCTTGAAATCAGTAACATAGTACTAACCTAAAACTGCAGTCCTGACTATAGCCCCGTTGTCTGCTCCTGATCCCTCACATCCACCACATGAGAAAGAGGCCAGACTGTCGCTGCGGACATACAACTTCTGATCCAGTCCACCAATGTTGTTGGTGGTGCTGTCACTGTTTCCTATGAACACATCACTATTGGTAGTTGGGGAGCTGGGTAGGCTCCCATTCTGTGTAGGTGGGTGACACTGTGTGCGGTAAACATCCTCAGACACACTGTGTGGTTTGTCTGTATATTCCTTAGAAGATGTGACCTGTAAATTAATGTTAATCAGAATTTGAAACAAAACTTTGTTAAATGTTTCATTTTGCAAATATTTTATTGAATGAAATACATGTATATTCAAAAGTATTACTATCATTACATCACAAAGAATACAAATCCTACCATGGTTCCATCTGGACTTAATAGCAATAAAGAAGATGGTCAAGTATATGTTTGATCAAAATGGTGATCTTGAAAATGACCTGAAACAACCTTGAAACTCAAACTTGTCTGTGATATTGTGGTCCATTATAAGACTGTTAAGTTTGATTTGGGGAAACCCCTCCAAAAATGCAGCCACCAGACTAGCAGTGACCTTACAAGCCTGAATTTCCAACTTGTCCCAGATATCATCGTCTTTTGTGATGTTTGATCAAAATCCCCCAAGAAAAGAAGCTGAGTGATGAAATAGAAAGTGACCTTCATTTTGACCTTAAAGGACTGAAACTCAACTTGTTTAGATGTCATGGTCTTTTTCTAAGCGTGTAAAGTTCAGTCAAAACTCCTCAAAATCTAAACCATTGAAACCCCGACAAGGTTTTCATAAAAAAGTGACAGTGACCTTTGTCCTTGACCCTACAAATCTGACACTGTGACCTTGTATAAAATGTGATGAAAGTCCCATAAATAATGAAGCCCCTAAAGAATTGACAACAGTTTGCTAAATATAGTAACAGTAACCTTGACCCTTGAACATCAAAATTCAATATCATCAGAAGTATAATGATCCTTATATTTTTATCAATGTGTTAAGATTGATGACGAGGATAAGTATTACCAACATACATGATATATGTTACCCAGTACATACTGGACAATAGCTATATCCCCTCCTCAACATCTGTAGTGAAGAATACTTATCATGTCAAAGAAATAAGGAAAAAGACAGAGACTTATGCAAGCTCTCTCCTTAAGTCTTTAAATTTTTCTTTTACATGTACAAAATGTCTGTCCCAAAGCTTTTAAATCTTGCAAACAAATATTGAAAGGAAAAATACTTTTGAATATAATCAATCAAACATTACCTCTATACAAATAAAAAAATGACCAGAAACAATTTAATCTTCAAATCAGTTTTGTGACTTTGGAGATTCATCAGTCAAGGGGAACTCAATTGATTGTGTCTAATCATAGAAAAGGTGACTCTGAAATATTCATAACTTATGCTAAACAAATTAAATGTAGTTATCGAAATTTCTCTGATTTTAAATATTCCTTACTGACAAGCATGTATGATTTTAAATATTCCTTACTGACAAGCATGTATGATTTTAGAGTTTGTATTGCATCTGTTGTTCTTACTTTACCTGTTTGATTGTAGGACTGAGAATGATTCCCTCAGTATCACCAAGTTCTGGGAAACCTTTCTGACACCAGAAAGAGAGACGCTTTGCAAAGTCTAACTCATCCACGACTCCTCCCCAGGAAATCACTGAGTCCAAAGCCAACACCTTGATATAATAGAATAACATCCTTATCTAAATTATACCATAAATATAGGAGCTTCAGCAAGTTTTCATTTCATATTGGGATTTTATGAAACAAGTTTTATGATAAGAAGTTTTTATATTTCCAAGCCCTTAGAGAGCAAAACTTTTCATTTCCATATGAGTTTCATAAAATTTCATATGAAAGAAAACAAATCAAAATTTTTTTTAAATGTAATTCAGAAAAGTCACATTTTATAAGGCTTTGAAATCAAACTGTTGATGACAAAATCAAAATGTTTTCATTTCATGATTTAACAATATTGTCCATATTATAACATCATAATCGATTTCTAACTGGTGTAGCCAATGAAAAACACTCCAGGTTACATGACACTATTGACATATACACAAAAATATTTCATGCAGGAATTCACATAATAATTTTGGGATAAAACTAAGTCTGGTCATCAAATAATGGTTGGTTGAATTGTTTACATTTAACTTCGAGTTGTAAATATATGCCAAAATATAATATACAGATAAGCAAATTATTGTTGATCTCAGAGAACTATACACTAATCTAAAAGTAAGTTTTCAATCAGCACAAAGGGACATAAATCTGAAGTAAATGTTGTTTGTGATATTTTCTCTCACATGAAAATTTTGCAAAGTTGTTAAGTATTCATCTTGATTTGTATGTCAAAAGATTCTTATTGACCTGCCATATACCATTACTGTACATATATATAAGCAATCAAATAGTTATGACATCTTGTCATTGCAAACTAGCATGAGATTGAACAAAGATAAAATCAAGTTTGTCAGAGCATAACTTTGATAAGGGGACATAACTCCATAGGTCCATAACCACAGCATTTTTTTTTTGATATTTTCAAACTAAGAGGACATCAATCAAGTGAAACTAAATCCCTAACATCTATTCCTTGATTATATTTCAGGAAAGAAAAATCCAGAACTACACATTTTTAGGTCTGTCTGTATGTTGCTCATATGTCATGGCACAAATGTAAATTAGTTCTGTGCAACTTAACTAATTTCAATAGGATTACATCGAAACCCCATGGTGATCTAAATCCCCATAGAACAGTATTTCTTAGATTTAAGTAAAACATGTTTTATCTTAACATAACAAAATCCTTGGAAAATAACTCTTAGCAATAAACAAGAACATCCAGTACGTGTAACATTCTTCAAGGGACATAATTCCATTTTCACTATTAGGCAATACCAAAAGTTCATAAATAATTAATTTACCTTTAAATTTCTTTGGACAAAAAGAAAAAGCCTGTTAGAGTTTATTTTATTCATCATTTACTGTGTAAAAAGTAATTGCATTAGGCATATTTTCTACTATTTAAGACTGAGAGTGTTAATAGAATTACTTAACTTCTTAAGTCTTAGATGGACCTCATCATCAAAGTTGATAAAGTGGACCAAGCAATAGAACTAAAGTAAGAAGTCATTCAAGAACAAGACAACTCAGAGCTTACAAACAGATCAAAGTTGGATGTCCAGTCTCCAGGTCTCCAGCGGACACGATGACTGTCCACAACAATGTCAGAGTACTGAATTTCTGTACTGTTGTAGTGGAATGCGGCTTCGTCTACAGACATACCCCTGGTAGCAAGTCCTACTGCATCTCCTATTGCAGCACCATATATCAATCCTGTGTAGCATATTGAAAGACAATTAACGGTCTGTTACATCAAAATATAGACTTTCAGTAGCATCAACATTTTTACTCTTTTAACATTATCTCCAAAATAAATTTGTCTGACATAAAAATGTGAACCAAAAATTTCCCCAAAAAGATAATGCACTAGTTAGAATATTTTCAACCCAACAAACTGACATTTCTCTCAAAAATACACCTACCAATAATCTTATCCCTCAGTATGTCTGCATCAAGATCACTGGCCCCAAGGGGAGGTAAAAGTGGACTTTTAATTCTACTTGGTGTGTTAGTAGTGTGGGTTTGAGTCTGGATATACTGTACATGAGCAGAGTGAGGATTTGGCACAGAGCTTGGCAGCTGATTCCCTCGAACACGCAAGAATTCATTCAGGTTACTGCTGGGTAGGCGATCAGTATAAGGATGAAGAGTAAAATACTTCTGTTTTAAAAACTTAATTGTAACCTCTGATCCTTCATCACAAATGCATTGTGAAGGTTCATTTAACCTGTTTCCCTGAGCTAATAAAAGAGTCAAAGTTTTACAATTTCCAAGAGACACTGGTAAAATTCTGAGTTTGTTATTAGCAACATTTAATTTTGACAACGATTCCATTTTCCCTATACCATCTGGAAGTTCTTTGAGCAAGTTGTGTGATAAATCTATTTTCTCCAGCTTCACATGATGAACAAAAGACTGTGGTAATGAGTGTAACTTGTTGTGTTTTAACAGCAGTGTTTTTAAGTGGAAGAGAAGTCCAAAACTGTCAGGTAGAGTTTCTATTTGGTTATGGCTAAGATCCAGGAAGTACAGATGAGGCAATCGAAGAGGGAGTTCTGGAGGCAGTTCAGTTATTGCATTAAAAGACACGTTCATCCGTTCATACAGACAAATGGAATCCCTTATACTCCAAGGTATCTCTGTGAGACATGCTTCATGACAATCTCCATCCAAATGCTGCAAGGACAAAAATGTTAAAGTTCATTAAAATTTAAGATATCATTTCAAAGAATAGTACCTTTAAATTTTATGCCAATTTGAAATACCATGCAAACAGCCAGTGTAAACTTGCTTTAAACATCGACTTGGATATTCATTTTACCACTGAACTTGAATTCACATCAACTTAATGCAAACCAACCATTATCACTTTGGAAAGTAATTCTACGATCTAATTTCCTTTCAAAGTATCTACACACCAATAGCAATTAATATTTGATGTTGAACTTTATTTATCCACTGTCTACACATCGATAAATATTTAAACGTAGATCTCAAGTATGCATTTTAGATCTGAAAATTTTGTGAAAATGATGAAATGTTTTATAATTGTGATACATGTTTTCATAATACTAAAAGAAATCCATCATAAATACTCAATTTATTGTGTTACAATATGATACATATGTGCATCATTTCTTTTCTGATGAGTGTTTTGAAACTAAACAAAGATACTTATGTAAAATCAATTACTAATGATGAATTGTTTCATTTCAAACAAACCTTCCAATACTGCTTGTAGGTGATTCTCCGGCTCAAGTTGAGCTCTTTACGTTCATCATCACGGACAGGAGCAAAATCATGTGATTCTATGGCACCCATGATGTAAGATGTGTAAACTTTCTATCTTGAGGACAGAACAAGGACTTTGAATTCCATTATTATGGTGTTTCCTAGCCTGTTAGAATAGAAATATCTTTGATTAAATGGTACTGTAATTATTATTTAAGTTTACATGTATCCTATATAGTGGACCACAATGAAGTACCAGTCAACCTGTACAGGTATCAAGATTCCATTACATTTTGGGCTACTAAATTTTGAAGTCATCCAGATGAAATAAATCTCAGTGTGACAAAACTCTACTGTATTGATAAAAGTTGAAGAATATGTATAAGTTGCATACATGTACATTTTTATGAAAATTCCACAGGTCAGGATACAAAAGATTCTTTAAAGTGTGTAAGACAGACTACATTGTAATATCAATGGGTGATGAGATAGACTTTCTAAAGCTGTCAGTCACATGTTGGTGATATAAACTCTCAAAGTTTTTTCTGAACCTAGCAGCAATGTAACAAAAGTCATTAGTACAGTATATCAAAGTTTACACTATCGATCACCAAGGAACTTTGGCTGTCTAAATTAGAATGCACTTTGCTGGTTGAGCTACACATTTATACAGAAAATCTTTTTGAAGTCAATCATCTGTAAAAAGTCGTTAGAATTTTACCAGCTACTGTGACCTCTGATACATGTATTAGTAGCTGGTTTGGAAAAGGGCAAAAGACAGCAATGACATACACACATATCTACTCCATGAAAGAATTGGCAAGTATGTGTATGCTAGCTGGGATGGCAAAGATGAGACATAGGAATATGCACCTTAACACTGTGTACCAAACGGTGTAAAATCAAATGGCCATTTCAAGAGATCATTTTACGTAACCATTATGTATCGCATGCTCACCATATCACTATCTAGTACCTCTTTGTAATCAAGTCAGAACATTTCTTTTTCCCATGGACAACATCTGATTCGAATCATCTCACCTTAGCCATTTAAACTAACAAACTGAAGACTTTCAAATCAGCTGTATCAAAACTGTCTCAATTTCTCTTTAAAATCTTTTGTAAAAACCTCTGAATAACATAATCTTTTACCTGTTGAATGTGATTATTAAATTATTATAATGTGCTTAATGTATTGGGTATTGTTTTTATGGTCGCTTTTGTGTAAGCAGTTGAAATGGTTGGGTCAGTTGAACCTGCAAGAAAAATGCCAGGTACAGATTGGGACCAAGAATGGACAGCGAAATATTTGGCACATGCAGATTGAGGGGTCCAGCCATACTGGTCTGAAACTAACTCGCTCAATATCATTAGTTTTCAGATTTTCAGCATAAATTAGAGTTGGTGTACTCTCATATTTCCAGAAGAATTATGCTATTAAGTTTGAAAGAAATGAATACTGTCTTGATTTTAGTGAATTTTTTTATGTCTAACAGGAAATTTCGAAACTACATTTTGAGCTCAATACAAATATCATGTCCAACACCGGTACTTGTGTGTTCGCGGAAAGTGGAGTAATTACAGACCTCCTGAACCGTTTAATCCAGATAATGCTGAATATACTTAGTTTACAGAACTTCTGCATAGAGTAGGGTCGGTGTACTCACATATTTCCAGTAGCATTGTGCTATTAAGTTTGAGTGAAATAGATGGTATCTTAATTTTATATAATTGTTTTATGCTTGACCGAAAATTTCGAAACTGAGCATTTCGACCTTTACCAGGTCCAACATCCAGTACATGTGCGTTCGCGTATAGTGGAATAATTCCACACCACCTGAACCGTTTCAACTGTGTTATGCGTTCACGTACGTTTTGAACACAAGTATTTTTTTGTTCATCATATACGATACATACGAACGCGTATAAAGAACTATTTTATCAGTCATCTAAATTGCAAGACCTGACTTGTGCACAGATAACGTTAATATCAAGTTGTTCAGACAAGCTCACACGAGCAACATGTTCTTTTTCACTTTTGTACTGGAGAAAATCAACTCATTGCACGGATATTGATATCAGTTAACGAGTCACATGTTATTGCAACAAAAAGCCATTCAGTTAACATATGTCACCTACTACATTTCGCTCTATCATAACATCTGTCCAAATATTGATAAAACCATGTTGACAATCTGACAGCTTCCACGAGTGCACACGTGATATACGTCATCATATTATGTGTACACAACCGGAAGTATGATTTTAGTTCATTACGATAGCAGACAGCTTCCTCACCTAGAATGTGTGCATAATTACATGGTATTATGAATTGAAATGTGATTTTAGAAAGCGGAGGAAAAGCGTAAGTATGCATCATGACCATAGGATGTAATTAACTATCACTGATGTTAAAATAATATAGGAAACAGGTTAATATGCACTCTTTCACAAATGCCGGTCAACTGAGTCGGCGAGCCAGTGCCACCACTGACCTCTGAATGCCGGTAAGCTGAAAATCAATACATCCTAGCATGTCATTCATGTATTATATATGTTTTATTATTGTGTTTAAAGGGTGCATATTGAAAAGATGGGGAGATAATATTAGTATCTTTCTTTCTTCTATTGTTGTTCTAATTATGTATTTTGTTTTTGAAAATCAATACGTGGACATTGGATTAAGTCACTGTCTGCAGAGTAAAGTTTTCATGTATTAATAAACTCCTACTTTATCTACAAAAGCAATTGGTTCAATTGATTATATCCTCAGTTTTGCCTTAAGTTCACTTAGTTAAACTAAACTTAATTAAAACACACCCACAGAATTAAAGCATGACCTGCACTTTGGTGTTTCTCTCAGCCAATCGGAGGAGATATCGACAGAGCTTTTTACTGAACACATATGTAATGTGAAAAATAGTCTTTTCTTTTTCTAATTTAAGAAAAACTTCATGATGAGTATCTTCAGAGTGGAAGTTTTGGCCGCCATGGTGACGATACTCCATCTGGCTATATGTCCTTATACCAAGGTGGAGGAGAGCTTCAACATTCAAGCTATGCATGACATACTGTACCATGGCCTGGACATCAAATCTGTGAGTTAAAAATTTAATTATAACAACATACAGGTCATGCTTCTCTGCTATCTTAAAGGTTGATACATAATAAATACATGCTGGTGTGATAGCTTGTAAAGGACTAAGTGCTGGTTAACATTATCTTTTTATAACCATAAATTGCCATCAGATTCTCTCATTGCCTGAAATGCAAGTTGTTTCTTTCTTTTTGTTATTTATCTTACCTGTATCAAGGAAATGCATGAAATAAATCTTCAAAGGAGCAATGCATGGAAATTTTCGATGATGATTCTGAAAATCCCTCATTGTTCTGAAAAAAAATAGAATATCAGCAAATGTTACATACAGGCCTCTTGGACCTCCTATCAACTCCTGCCATTGAATTTGATTAGGAATATTTCGTAGTAGTTTGTTTGTATGTATGTTTAGCAGAATTTGATCAACTTTCAAGGTTATAGGGTTAAGGTTACTGCTACAATTTTGAGAAAATTTGTGCCATTTTCCTGGTGGCTTCATTCCCTGAGGGATTTTGATCAAATATGACACACTTTTAAATGACTATAATCTCTTGGATAAGTTCAAGTTTCAATTATACTTACAGAGAACTATAATATCCCATATGAGTTGGAGTTTCAGGGTTGTGACGTTGAAGTCAAAGTCACCTTTACTAGATTTAGAAAATCCTTGTTAGAAATCTAATGACTTCATTCCCTTGTGTAGTTTTATCAAACTTAGAGTGTATGAAGGATTATAATATCTTCATCAAGCTTCAGGATTGTAGAACCTAAGTCACAGAACTAATTTTACAGAATTCTTACAATTGTCCTGGTAGCTTCATTCACTGAGGAATTTTTTTATCGAAAATCATATATCACACATTTATAAGGGACTATTATCTCAGATATGTTGGAGATCACCATTATACTTTGAGAAAAACCTTGATAGCACTTATTTCCTGGGAGGGAGTTTGATCAGATTTTAGAATCATATCAAAAAAAGAACCATGATATCAAATATGAGTTTAAGTTTCATGGTTGTAGGGTTTAGGTCAAGACTCAAGGTCACCATTACTATTTTTAAATAAGTCTTGTTATTGAAGGATTTTGATCAAACATCATACACTTTGCCACCTTTTAAACTGCATGTTAGTTGAGGTGGAACGGTGAGGAAATATATATCATTTCTGATACTATGGTACAATAATACAGGTAACATTCTAGCTTTATCATAGTATGTTGTAGTCTTATATTTGTATAATATATCAATGATTCCTTAATATATCTTTAAAGGATTGTAAATACATGATTTTCTTAACTAATCATTGTTTCTGATAGCTGTTCTAAAACTTCTTTTGGAACTTCTTTTTCAGTATGACCACTTGGTGTTTCCTGGAGTAGTGCCAAGAACTTTCCTGGGACCAATTGTAGTGTCTGCTACAGTGGCACCTTTAGTCTATATCACTAAGTTACTGCAGATCAGCAAATTCTTCACGCAATTTATTGGTAATGAATGAATTTGATAATTTGAGTTTTTTTTTTTAGTTTGAATATCGAAAATAAGAACAAAAAAATAATAGAATCAAAATTAAAAAAAAACAAAAAACAAACAAACAAATAGCATCTATTCTAGAAGGGCAAGGCTGGGAATCATCAATTTCAATATTACTGAATGAATAACAAGGTATCACATTTTACCATGTTAAAGGGCATTGATCATCTTTCAAAGTCACACAGGAATAAAAAGGAAAGGTTTTAAAATCTATTACATTATGATTTTTGGAACATCAGTTTAAGTCTTACCAACAATTTGTAGTACATTCATTCCAGATAGCTGCTTTTGGAATTATTTTTGCAGTGAGGAGCTGCTTAGGAGCAATAGTGTTACTGGGTGTCAGTAGTTTTGCTGATGGTGTACATAAAAGATTTGGCAGCAGTGTAAAGAATTGGCTGTACTTGACCATGGTGACTCAATTCCACTTTATGTTCTACATAACTAGACCACTGCCCAATGTGTTTGCTCTGTCTCTAGGTGAGTAGAATTTAACAACGATTAGAAGATCATATAATTGAACACTTAAAAATGTGTTTTAACCATGACACAAATATAAACTATAAGGTACTGGGCAGCTAGTTATTGTCAAGGGAAACTTTTGGTGTTGTGTGCAGCACCTTAATTACAACCATATTTATCCCATTTAAGCCCACATCTGGTATGAAGTCTGCCCATGTATGTTAAATGTTTTATTCGCTGCTCTCAGAAATTACAAACATTGTGTTAGAATCTTGTAAAAACCCCATTCTCAGAATTTAACTAGGTATTGACTCTCTGGTCTTATTTGGAGATAAACATGGTATCTACTTCTGGTTTAGTGATACAAGGAATAGCAAACAAAACAAGAAAAGGAAAGAGAAAAAAAATTATGTTGATATGGAAAATGAGTAATGTTTAAACATAGGATTTCAATTTAGGAAGTGATCATAACTACTGATACCATAGGCCTCCATTTTAGATGTAGCAGATACATGCACAAGAATAGATTTTTTTTTACACCACAGATGAATGAGAAATGAAATCTTTGTGTAATTCAGAATTATTTGAATTTTACAGTACTGATGGCTTTAGGAGCTTGGCTTAAACAACAACATGGCCGATTCATCTGGTACTCTGCCGCTGCCATTTTGATATTCCGTGCTGAACTTGCAATGTACCTCGGCTTAGTTTTACTGATGGAGCTGGTAGCAGGAAGAATGTCCCTCTTCACACTGTTTAAACATGCTATCCCTGCAGGGGTCCTTAGTGTAGGTAAGTTGATTTTATTTTTAAATTAGCTTAATGAAAAAATGTGGATTTACCCAATAAGCAGATTTTCTCAACAAAAGGTAAGAATTTCTTCAATTCAGAAACTGTACTTCTGTATCAGCTTAATATATTACAACAATGAACCTCACACATACTGTTTTCCTTGTTTACCTAAAAATGGACTTAAGAGTGCATTTGAAATAATTTCAAGAAAAAATGAGAAATATGTTCAGAAATATGTTTTTAAAGAACTGCAGGGAAGAAATATGTAACTCCAATGAATATTAGCAATATTTTGAAACATTTTTAAAGTATAAATTAAAAAAAAGGTATGTTCACAAGTTCTAGAAGATATGCAAACCAGAATCTGTCAAAAATCTACCTGCTTTATATAGTTATATGGTATGGCTGTTTTGACTTTGAAGCTTTTTTGGGTCACCTGAAGTGACCTTTTGTGATCCCTTTTGTCTGGCATTGTGTGTTGTAAACTTTTAACATTTCAGCTTCTCCTGGAAAACTCCTGAACTGATTTCAATGAAATTTAAAAAAAAAACTTGACTAAAGGCCCCAACCCCCAAGGGCCTGAGGGGTGGGGCCAAAAGGGTCAAATTGATGGAAACTTCAAAAATCTTCTTTTCAAATCCCAGGTATAATAGAATCAAGTATTCTTCATGAATGGGAAGGCCTTCAGATGCTAGATGATTTACCAAAATTGTAAATTTCATGACACAAGGGTCTCACATTTCCCCTGGGCGCAGGGGGTAAAGTTTATTATAATTTATCCAAAAACTAAAAATACACTTTTGAATATTATTTGTTTATTTTCTATTGAAAATAGTTCAAACCTGGTTAGAATTATTAGTTTAAGCTGACAGGTTAATGAGATGCACATTTTGACATTAGCTGACCCCCAAGGACTGTTTGGCAGAGTCAAAAATGGGTCAAATAGACTGAAATTCAAAGATATTCTACCGTTCCTGGATGGAAAATTTTAGATAAGAAAATTCAAATCTTTTAATTCATCTTGGTTAGAAGCCTAAGCATGGGACAGCAGTTGCATTTTGTGTAAAATATAGTTAAAATTATATTACTTTTTTTTTTAACAAAATCATTTCTATGACATGTTACAAGAACCATTGTGACTCAGGTGACCATTAAAACCCTTGTACCTCTTGTTTATTGTAGGTTTAACAGTTCTGGTGGACTCATTTTTCTGGCAGAGGTGGTTATGGCCAGAAGGGGAAGTACTTTGGTACAACGTCATACTCAACAAGAGTTCTAACTGGGGTGTATCCTTACACTGATGTAGCTGTACTAGTAGTAGAGACTACATTCGCAGACTTACTGAAGTCATATTGCAATAGCATATGTCATACGAAAACAGATTAATCTTGTCTTTTTGAGTTGTATAACAGTGTAAGTCATCTGACAGAAACATCAGTTGGGTAGTATTTTGGTATTTTCTTAAGAAAATTTAGCTATGTTTTATTATCTTCAATTACATACATCTGCCTTCAGATATAACAAATTTTTCCATTGGTATGTTTAATTTCTATAGTCTTACAACTAGGCCATTTTTGTTGATCGATCTGACAAGTCAAACCAGGGTTGTTTGTAAGGAAATAAGAGCAGACCTACTGATCTTGTTTTGCTCTCTGAAAAGCTTTGACTTTTTTGGCTTATATGTATAGTTGCAGGTCTGTCCTGATTTATGCCTGAAATGTTACATGTAAAGTGCTAATGAACAAGTTTGTCTGCATAAATGAAAAAGTACCAGATAATATGAACTATATGATAACAGGTAACTTGACTCTCCTTGACCTACCGTCAGACAGAGCCGTTCCTGTGGTATTTTTATTCAGCCCTACCGCGGGCTTTGGCCTTCAGCATATTCCTGGTCCCCTTGGGACTGTATTTCACTCCTCGGCTGCGGCCATTGATACTTCCCGCAGCAGGATTTGTACTGCTTTATTCCATTTTACCACATAAGGAGTTGCGTTTCATCATTTATGTTTTCCCAGTTTTCAATGTAGCTGTGGCGACAGCTTTGTCACGTCTGTAAGTATGTTTCATCTGTTATAAAATTTGGACAGTTTTCTCTGGCTGTGCATTCCAAAAGCAGAGGAGACTATGTGTCATGATCATTAAGGTTGATACCATTGAAAAGTCTGGAAAAATTATTAGATTCTGTTCAATAAGTGTAAACCTTTAAACTTTAATTGTTATGACCTTGCTGACAAAATTACCATATGCTATGCATGAGAAGCATTTGGAATATTTAAGACAAAGTTTTTGAATTTGATGAACAATAATGACTGCTAAATTTTTCAAATAATTTTGAAGAGTTTGAAAAAATAGGACATCAGCAGTGATTGATCTGATAAACAACTCCTTCTTTAAGTGACCCCTGGGAGATGTGACTCCCTGTATAACCTGACTGCTGCATGTCTGATCTGGCCACTTAGTATTTTGACCCTCTGGCTAATATGACCCCAGAACATTCTGATACTCCAATCTCTTCCTTGAGTAAACTGACATTGTGTTTGTTCCAATACAATGTTAAATTCTTGTTCATCATGAAAACATCAAATATGTATTGGATGACACCCTACCTAATTGTTTCCATAAATCTATTCTTTAACAGCAGTTGTGTTTTTCTTTGAAGTTTGTATTTTCATGTCAATCAGAGCAATATTGTTTGGTAGCTTTGTATACTGTGCAAGTAATTAATTGATATTTTTCTGCCAAGGTGGATGAATAGTTCCAAATCTACAATTCAAAAGCTGATAGCTTTTGGAGCAATCCTTCACCTACTGGCTAATGTAGCATCAACTGCAGCTTTCCTATACATTTCTCGACACAACTACCCTGGGGGTGTGGCTATGAGATACTTCCATCAAATCACTCCATTCTACAACAGTAAGTAATGATTCAGAAGTGAATCTTTATACCTAAGTAAATAACATATATTTTAGTTTGATTTGAATGTTGTTATCAGTCAAGATTAAGCAGTCAATGCCACATTCAATCCTTTGGTTAAAAAGGAAATTTAGTTTATATTGATATGGATTACATTGTATAGTAACATACTTTCTATGTTTGATTAGTGTAGGTGATCATTTCATCAATTTGAAGTGTCAAAGGTCACACTAGAATACTTTTAGGGGTAGGTGGTAAGCATGTCTTTGATCTATTGGTCAAAGACCATTGCTCCTGTACTATGACTAAATTTTAAAAATTTCATGAATTTCAAGTCTGTGTGCTTTTGTCTTGAATAAGTAGAGATATCTCAGCAATAAGAAAAATATATCTGTCATGTATTATTACATAAAGTTTGACACCAGAAGAGCATCAGTTCTGACAGGGATTCAACTTTTATATTTTTTCTGTGCAGAGGAGCATATTCACATTGATGTGGCCACAGCTCAAACAGGTGTGACCAGATTCACTCAGCTCAACAACAACTGGATGTAAGTATTGGTGGTGTTGATCGAAACCAACTGTATTGATCACATAATAAGACCAGGGGACCTACTCTTTGATAGATAGGAAATGGGTTACAACAGGATAATAATTTAACAACTACTGGCATTAATTATCTTCTGAAACTGTAATACTTAAGGGTAGAGTTACATGTATTACCAGGCATTATCACCTCAATTCTGATAAGAGAAAGTAAGTGGAGTTATGCTTCTTTATTTCGGTTCATGAAAGCTTTCATTTGAAATCAATTCCAACAGCTACTGGCTCTAGATATTCTTTTTACCCATTGAATGATTTAGGGACTCTGCAACTGCACTTTTGATTACTAATTTAATTTTAATTTGAAATTTCATGTGTCATAACTAATTTTGTGTTGTATAAAACAGTGGTCTGTTTAATATCAAATAAATTCAGTGGTTAATATTCAGGGTAAGCACTCCTGACAGGAAAGAGACGCATTTGTCTTTGTTGTAATTGAATTGTAACTCACTCCAATATAAAAGTATTTTAAAGGCTACAAACTTCATTTTTTACAAACTTTGTCTTAAGACACTTCTTATTTCTTTCAGTTACAATAAAACAGAAAAGTTGTTGCCTGGAGGTCCTGAGATGATGTCATACACACACCTGTTTGTTGGTGCTAGTAGTGTAAATGATGAGGCTCTTCGTCCATACAAAAAGACACACAGTGTAGAGCTGGAGATACATGGATTTGACAGTGTCAGTCTAGACAAAAAATCTTCAGCACCAGTCAGTTTAAAAATGTCACCAAAGATTTACATTTTGAAAAAGAAATTGAAATAATTTTTTTTTGTTATACAGAATACTGATATTTTTCTCAAACTCCAAAACTTGCCTGCTGATGGCTAGAGGGCCATAATAGCAGACAAAATCTGAAAACAATATAATTTTTCCACATTTGAATGGATATCATCAAGTTGGTTTCTGATATTTCATTAGAAAATTATAAAGCAACAAAATTTATTTATAGCAAATTGTTTATAAATAGACATTTGCATCACAATTCTAAAAAATGTTCAGGTGAATTTATCAGATCTAACAAATCATTTTAAAATTATACTAATGAAGTAACACCACTGTCAGTATATCCTGCAATTAATGAAGCCACTCATCAAGATCAGTACTTTTATACAGATAACAAATCTCTCATTCCAAACCTAACTATAATATACAAATGTTAACTTAATGGACGGTAAAATACACTATCACCATATACAACATAAATAGACAGTAACAAAAGTACAAATACATGAATGATATAAATTAGAGTTTCAAATGATATGCACAATGTTTATATGGTAGTGTCAGGAGTCTTCTCCTGCCACACACACACAAAAGAAAGCAATGAAATAACAGGATAAAGACATTAAATACAAACAATGTGCTTCCTAATGGTATCCATATCACAGCTTTGTTCACAATTTCCAGGTGTACTATCAATTACAAAACAAATACTTTCAATTACTCAGTACATCTGTTCTGACAGATAGTACATACTAATTCATAACTGTGAATGTGATTAGATGTGCATTGTAATCTTGCCTATGAGATTGTGATAGCTGTACACAAACATATTTACAGTGTGATGAGTATCCTGGTAAGAAAATTTCAAGATCAAATTTACACACATTGCAAAGTTTCAATATTTGCCCATGCATGTATACTGTGCATGTAGTATTTGTTGAGAGTTAAAAATATGAATATTGTTTGACAAAATCTGTAAGGTGGTTGACATAATTAAACAGGACGGTTTAAACGAATCTCAATTGACACAATAACAAATGATAGCACTATCAATAATCACCTTATGAGTCTTGACGTAAGGATAGTTTCAGATCCTTTTTTCTCTTTGATGTAAACAAACCCTATACTTTATTGTGTATACCACTGATATCCACATAACATATGTTACAGTAACATACAAATTAGTGTAACCATACTAGGAAGGATATCTTAATTGGAATTGGAAAATATTGCAGAGAATTACCTCTTTAAGTCTGCAGTTGACAGCAAAGTTCTGATGTCTACCAAGCTATTTGATTATAAATTCTTTACAGGAGTGCATTTGAATTCATTTGTTTTACTTCTACTGTTTTCATTTAAGATATTTATGGTCTTGTTTGAAAGGCATTTTCATACAAATATTGTATACAACTCTGTACATATTGATAAAATGTAAAAAATAAACTTCTAATATAAAATTTTTTAACTCCTTGGACGGATGAGAAAAAAAGGAATGTGCACAAGTCATGCTTGAATGTCAGCGAGGCAAACCAAACATGTTGGATTTCATTCATGATATAAAGTTCCAAGATAGAAATCTTTGACAGAGTACTGAAACAAGTTAGTTTTCCTCAGTTCCTCTTAACAGTACAGGCAACTTCCTAGCTTTTAGTTCTGGAACCCACATTATTGTTTATGACTCGTCATAGAACAGATACCCTAAGTTTTTTCCGTGTATAACCAGGAATGCAGTCTTTGAAAGCTCCAGGATGAAGTAGATAGTATCAGAACACACTCAGTCTTCCATAGTTCCTCGGCAGAACGGACAACTTCCTTTCTGCAGGTATTGGAGCTCGAAGTCATCGGTGTGGAAAAGCTGTGTAAATGAATTAGGCATTGGTTTAGGGTAAGAACTTGGAACCACTTAAAATGCAGAGATAGAACTACAGTGTGTTACCCTCCTTAAGAATATCAAAACCAATGCCTTACAATACAAATAAAGTATAACGACTCATGGTATTACTGTAAATATGAGCAGTGCTTTTAATAATTTGATACAAGTTTAATCAATATACAAGTATATAATAATACAGTGCCTACTTATGAATTATAAACTTCTCAAAGCAGTCATGTAGCCTTATGTATACATGTTTCATTTCAGTAATATCAAATAATTTCTGTGAATAGTCTTTCAACCGATTTCATGGAGTTAGCATAACTACCTGTAACAGGCATGCATACTGACTGTATAATCATGTCTTACTCAAATGATAATTTGTTTACAAATAAAAACAATTTTGTATATGAAGTGTTTACATGTGATTTGTACATGTCATTTGACTGTTGTGAATCTGACAAAGACTCACCTTCTGACAGGTATGACATTGGGTGATAGTAACGTCTGGCAGTAGAGATCGGAAAAACTGGTATCTAAGAGGTTTGGGCCACTTCAAGATATACACTTCTGACCTCGACATAGATTGTAGGACTGACTTGGTCACTACCACTGGAGTAAAATCTGTTCCTCCTTGCTGTAATACAAACACAATGATATAATGCCTGAACATCACAGGTATATGTTTTATTACATATTTTGTCTTCTCAGATAGAAGAGCTTTTCATCTTTGTTCTATGTGTTGTGAATATCAGGACAAATTGATGGAGATAGAAAATTTGGTAATCTCCAATATAGTGAGATCAGTAGCTAAAGTGAAAGGATTACTAACTTCAAATTCGAGAAAAAGAGCTTACCTATGGATCTAGATGTGAAACTCACCTCAAATGTCATAAGTTTGGCAGTGAATGGATCATCATCCTCTTCCTCTGGAGGGTCATCTCCAAGTCGAAGGGTTTGTGAAGCTAGACATTGATAAAGGACTTAAATGTGCTTTTATGAATATTCATTGATAATATTTCGCTAACGAATATTCCCAATAGAATTTACAATATTTAGATTATATTTTCACCAAGAAATAATAAAAGCTTAATCAAAGCATACTTTTGAAATCCCTTACATGGCATACCTTCATTTCACTTACTAGGTAGCATCCCAAGCCCTGGAGGCTGTCACCTCCATTTTAACCTTCATAGCACCACCCCTGACCTAAAGACTGCCACACCGTCCTTTTACCTACAAGGTACCATCCTTTGCCACAAAGGATGCCATACCTCTACATTATCTACAGAGTACCTACTTCTGACCCAAATCTTTTATACACCATTCTGTCTGCTTTGATGATTTATGTTTGAGACCAATGAGACAAAATCCTAACAGTTGTTCTGGAGTAGCAGGGTTTCACAGAAAATGTGATGACAGTCAGTTAATGTGATGCTATGGCACAAGTTCACTCATTCTAAATAACTGATAAAGAGATAGGTCTGTCTAATCTTCCACTAGCTGAAGGATACGTCCCATTCTACTTTCCCTCCAGTTCTTCTCCTCCTTCTTTTGTTTGGGTATAGAAAGGTCAAGGACGAGCACTGCTTCCTCGTCAGTAAGTCCATCTTCTAGTACAAATTCCACAAGTGGCAGCACCTCTGTAATCAAATATCAAGGTCAACACGGGTAATAAAAACAAATCTAAAAAATCTTTGACTAGAAACTGGTATCTTTATAAAGAAGTGAAATATTGGAAGGTAACTGCCACAATTCAACACTTTCCTTGTTAAATATTAATGATAATTTAAATAGAAAATTAATGCCCTACTTCCAGCAATTAGTATCAATCTTCAGCATATTTCTATAAACAGTACCAGAGACCTTGACCATTGAAACTCTGGAATATGACCTCACCTAAAGTTTTTTTGTAGCAATTCTGAATTCTGACCAAACAATTTTCTATTTAATTTATAGCTATTAATATAAAAATTGCCAAAAAAATATTTTTTTAAAATAAAGGAATCTTTCATAGGCAATGATCAGAAGATCATTGCAAAAACAAAATAAAAGACAGTTTAAAAGTAATGGTTTACAAATGGTTGAGATAAATGAGATCACTTACCAAATGACACAAAGGAATGTATGAAAGGCTGCCGACAATTAATGCAGCAGTTGCCATTGTTATTGAGAAGAGGGTTGGTGGTGGAACATCTGTAGCACATTGGCAGCAGGTCCTGTCGGATTAATCATCAAGTCATTACCAAGACATACAACCTATTTCTGATAACTAAGACAGATAGAACAATGGCAGCAGATCCTGTAAGAATATTTACCAATTTATCACCAAAACATACCAGATCATTCTTATAATTAAGACAGACAGAACATTTGCAGCTAGTCTTGTCGGAATATACACCATATCATTACCAAAACATGAGTTCCTAACTATTATAAACTACTTCTGAACAATTTGAAGATTGAAAATCTCCAAATCTGTTTTTTAGATTTTGGACACTCTACTGCTCAAATAATGGGAAATTCCCACTCACTGAGATTAGTAAGAACTGTACTCTTAGCTTCTACACTACTCCCTCTTTCACAAGTACAGAAACAGGAGTAATCCCTTTTGAAGTTTAATAAAAGCTGTTATTAAACATGGAAATTCTCCGAAATATACTTTTAAATTTAATTGTAAAAATGCCAACTTACATCTCCATCATGAAATGGCTTGGATCTGATCATGATACTGCCCAGATCAACAGTTTCTAGGAAGCGAGAGGGAACACGTAACGACTGCAGTTTCTCATAGGCATAACGGGCCAATTTGTAAGCTCCAAGGTTCTTGCTCTGCTTGGCTAGGGCATAGAGAGTACCACTTAAAACTGTCAAGGCTCATATTGTCTCATTCTGATGCCATGAAAAATACCTAGTTTGAATCACTAACAGACTTATTACGAATGAAACAATAAGCTTTTAGTGTATATGAAGTGTTATAATTGAATAAAAAAGAAGAAATCAATTCAAGTACATTACATACAGTTCTGAAAGTAGGATTTTAATTGATATTTTTGTATATAAATATGTCAAAATGAAGATCAACATGACAATTCATATTCACTTGCTTCTTTAAACATTTATATCAACAATGTTTTATTCTGTGAAAATTCTAAATGGACAGATTACAACATCACAATACACCAACATAGCAACATGAAATCTAAGTACAAATAATCTGGTGAATTAAAATATTTCAGCAAAATATTTTACATGTATTATAACCATAAAGAATGCTATGTCAGAAGATCATTGAACCTGCTGTGTCTATTGACAGTGTAATGTTCAACGTTAGATATATAATGTTAAAGTGTGCAATGATTAAAGGATACACTTTGGAGATGCCATGAGGAGCATTGGTCTGCATCATGTGGAGCAGGTAGCGTGAGATGTTGAATAATGCCTCCGGGAGATGGGAGGTAAAGGGCTCATCCTACAACGGAAAACACAGATATGAATGACCAGGTCACCATAGTAAAGTAACTTAGGAACAATACAAACACTTATATCATTATGGAATCAAATCTTAAAGTAGAATATGTACCAATAAAAGTTTAGTACTGTATCATAAAGTTTGACTGACTTCAAAAAGTCAGCAACTAGTTTACATGAAAATTAAAGTGGTATAAACTCACTGTACCATTTAATAGACAGGTAAACAACTCACTGTATATCTCTGTATAGAATGGTAGGCATAATACATGTCAGCTTTACGTTGGTAGTCATGAAACTTATTCAACATCTCCTCTTTCTTCTCAGGATCATCAATTACTAGAAAAAAGAATTCAAACATCTCTGATGTCAACATATCACAAAGTTATATGTAATTATTATACAGACAGATCATTTACTTGACAGAGTCGCAAACATATAACTGTCCAATATCTAGTCCTTGACCTTCATCTATGGTGAAGAGGAGCATTAAAGGGCCCTAAGGAAAAACACTTTATCATGGATTGTTTTATATAGTTATCACATAGTATGTATTAAGACAATGTTCCATGTTAAGCTAAACTTTTTAAACATTATTTTTACTATTATAATATCAGATCCAAACCTTGATACAGCGCTGATGAGTCTGACCATAAAGATAGACTTCAGTAAACGGTGATCAGTATGAATGTATAGAATAGCTATAACTCAATGGTGACTGTGTATTCCAATACATTTATTGCACCACATTCCTAGTGATATTCTATAAATAAAGCACTCGAATTATTTATATACAGTCTCCTAGTATATTCTATAAACAAAGCATTGCAGGCAATACAAATATCCCGGCACTCTAAAATTTGCACAAAGCACTAAGTGTATGTAGAGTGATTTCCCCTGTTTTATGTGCCTGTCTGTTCTTGAAAATTGTATGATAAATGTCTAAAATCATTACCATATAGCATAAATGAGAATGTTGAAACTGAGAAAAATTGTATGGTCAAAGTGTGTATAATGTAGAAGATGATGTTTATGAACACCTGTGTGAATTATTGTGACAAATGGACAAGAAAGGCAGTCTGTATAGCATTAATATATAACAATTCTGTCAATTTCTATTGATAGTAACGGTAACCCAGTTTTTGACCAATTTATGATCACATGGAAACTCATAGTAGAGGGATATATAAAGAAGAACATTATGTACATACAATATATGTATTCTTGGCAACATTTGTCGTGGGTATAATTAAGCATTCTATGCATTATACCACACTCCCATGTATTTTATTAAGGTGAAATTTTGACAGGTTCACTTTCTACAAGACTACATGACAGATATAAGGATAGAGGCAAACCACAGCAACCACACACCCAAATGATAAAATCTTCATGGATACACACAAGTTTAAAACCAATTTCATTGTCTGTCCATCACCATGTTCTAACCAAATTTTCAACAAATAATGGTTAGTGAATAATTCAAGAATATTTCAAATGGGCATTAAAATTCGTAGGTAGAATTACCGGTGAGCTTAATGTGAAATGTTTGGTGATAAACACTTTTTACTAATGTAATTTATTTTACACTGAACATTTGATATTTTGTATATATATATAACCACTAATTTAACATGTTAACAAAATTTAATCAGAAAATACCATACAAATTCAACAAATACAATCATTAATTAACAAAAATCAATAAAACTGTGATCAGAATAGCAATTGTTTGTAAATCAAAGAAGTGACAGTAAAACGTCAAGCTGTTAAAGAACTCATCTTACCTTCATCGTCTGAATAAGGAAATATTTGATATATAAAAGTACTGATAACATACTGAATTACAACAAATATCTATATTATGCTAGTCCCTTGCTGTGTCACAGTTTAACATTGAGATCACAACTAAAAATGTACACAGTTACTGTTATGAAATACAGATAACGGTCAGATTACAGAGAAAAAAATGTGTATTAAGCCAGAATATTCACATTTGTATTGCACAATAAAGTCTCATACTAATTTGGAAACCAAGTGTTTGCATTTATCTACAGTATGCATGACCTTTAGGCTTGTATAAGTACATTGTCTTGTCATTACTTTTACTCAGTGTAAACATTTTGATGATTGCTTGCATCCATAAATGGTATAAAAGTGGTGTTAACATTTCAAGAACAAACTCTGATTATATCAACATGATATGTAAGTATTTTTAGGAAGAGGTCAAGAGGCATCAACAGGGTTTCCATATCACAACCAAAGCCATAAGAATTGTGCTATCATAACAAGAAAACCTAAGAAGTGCTCGATACTGCTTGTATCTATGGAATGATTAAGAAGACACGGTGGTTCTAAATCATGTTAATCTGTTATTCCTTAAGGAGATATTTACAAAATAAATTGCTCAACTATCCACCTACCTTTGGCTATATCTAAACACTGCATGGACAGCTTCCAGAAGTAGTAGCCAGCATCATTGAAGCGACTCTCCAGAACAGCATTGTGTGTTAACTGTTCCAGTACCTTAACAGCTTCTGTCTGAAGCCCTGCTTTGTGGAATGCTGATAAAGCAAAGAAATAAAGTTCCATTTTTCTTCTGAATTATTGATAGACAAAATAAAACACCAATAAATAATATAGAACATTATCATTTTGATACAGATATTAACATTTATAGCTTTCCCCATCAAAGCTTGTAAAAAAAAGTGCAAATAAATTATGAGAGGGTTACAGAATTAATAAACAGGCACCTTGCTCGCATAACAATAAGAGTAAACATTTACTTTATTTTCTATAAAGTAGATAGCTATATTCTTTGTTACCTTGTTGAGCCTCCTCAAACTTATCATTCTCAGCCAGCCACTGAGCATAAGGCACATACACTTCTTCCTTGTATTCTGAATGTTTCTCCACCAGTGTGAATGCCTGTCAACCAAACACATTTTTGTATTACCAATACAGTGACACAAACAAGACATGACAAATAACAACCAAACAGTTTTACTCAACATGTAGAACACAGATTTCCAATTAACTTCTTGAAATCTTCCAGATAGGCAAAATCATTGGCAAAATTTTGTCCTAGCTGTAAGTGTTTTGATGACTGATAACACATTTTCAACTGATGGCTTATTGCTAAACAAGTAAATAGAAAGTTTTAAAACAATGTCTTTTCAGCTCAAATGGCCTTAATATATCTCTAATATCATATACAACGCCAGTAGTCCAGACACTGTCTACCCAGTGAAAACAATCAATCCTATATTTTGTACTAGTTATATTTGGACTTCTTCCAAACAGTCAAGTGTCAAATGTAACATCATAATTTGATAACAGGTAAAAACGTCTTTTTCAATACCAGCATGAGGTAATCATTAAGCAAACAAAATTTATAATTCAAACATTATGTACCTCAAAAATCTCTTACCGAAAATAGCATTGCTTTTACAAGATTTACATGCTGAGTACTTGTATTTCAGAGATTTAAGCTTTTGTTTTACAACAAATGTGAAACGAGTTATTTTGATTTATATATATTTCTCTTGTTGGCCTGGAAGGAAGTGCAAGGGGTCTTATTTTGTGAGAAAAATCAGGTTCCAGAGAAAACCTACATGGCTGGGAAGATGATCCAATACTGTTTCATGTCTATTCAGGGAAATGAACCCTGGATGTCTAGGAGACAGGCGAATGTGTTACAGAGATAAGGTTTTTGAAGCAAAGTCTCTTTCTTTTATCATTAACATGTCATTAGAATGGTTGACTGACAACTGTGAATCTAGTCCCACAACAAGATGAAATCTGAAGGTCTGTACTCACATCGTCCCAGTGTTTAGCTTCCACATGGAGACTGATGAGGGACTTGACGTCACCCATTTTGCTGTACACCTCAGCAGCATATGGGTACTGCTCCATCTTGGCTAGGTGTGCTGCAGCTCGGGACAATGCTTCACGGTCAGCTTTGTCAAGTTTACGGGCAACATCAATCATCCTGTAATATATTCAATGTTTCTGACTTACCAAGTTATAGTTTTTGAGAAATGGTGCTAAATACATATTGATTTCTATTCATGCCTTTTACAAGTAGTCTTCCAAGTTAAGAGACAAAAATATTCCAAGCTATCTAAAGATAAACATTTTAAAAACATACAGATAATAAAACATTTAAATCAAATTTGCGCGCTTCTCAATATATAACGAAATATATATATAATTTTAAAGTAAAGTTATTGGAAATCCTCGTATCAACTTTCCTCCTAATAAGGATGTGTCAGTACTTACATGTCCGCCCATCCATGGTCACCGATGATGTCTATAGCCTTACAGAACTCTCCAGCAGATATATACATCTCCGCAGCAGCCTTGGGTTCATTACTACTCTTAGCCCAGTCAGCCTGTTTGGTGATCAGCATCTTCTTGTCCAGTGGATCCCCAGAACCAATGTACTCCTGGTCACATAAAATTCAACGTTAATTATCGAGAACAGATTTAAGAAAGAAATGCAAAATAAATTTTAAGAATAGTATTTTCAAAACAATCCGGGGACGGTATACACCCAAACACTGAGGTAGGTGTATAATATACATGGTAACATACCTTAGCGTACTCAAACATCCTCAGGTCAGTATACATGTTCATGGCCTTGTGTTCGTGATTAGCTTTCTTGTAGAGTTTAGCACCCTCGTGGAACTTGCCCTGGTAACCATATACATCTCCCAAGAACACCATGGTGTCTTGTTCTCCACGCTTCTTCCTTTCCTGGAAAATTAATTGTATCAATTATTTGTAATAGTCAATATCATATTTGCTTAACCATATATCAATCTGTAAAGAATTTTTAATCTTGTATAAAATCTATGATATGTCACCTGAATTGTGCTTTTTAGATTCCATGGTTCTGAATCAATCCTGTAACAACAGGGTTTACCTCTATATTATGAATGAGTTCTAAGTAGCGCAGGTCCCTGATGCGGATGAACGCCTTCTTAGCTGTATCAAAGTCCAGTCCCTCCAAAGCCTCGTGGGCAAGCACCTCCCAATCACCATCAGTCACTCCTAAGCAGGCAACTTTGTATGCATCCCTACATCACAAAAAAAAATCCATTACCTCAAGAAATCAAATTAAGTCAATTCTCTATTGTTTTATCATCAGTCAATGTAGACATATTATCATCTCTTATGCATGATGTATCTTTACTGGGCTTGAGAAAAAACTGAATTTCAATATTCTGAAATCATTTTTCGTTTTTCAACAAATTCAATATTGAATCTACAAGGTTTGAAATGAAGTTATGAAATGAGCTGAGCAAGGATATTTCATGAACATATCTTAATCAAAATTTCCCATTCAGGCAAGAAATAACCTAGGTTTATATGTATTTTTAACTCAATTTCAAATCACAACAGTTATGATGGTTACATTACCCAACAACAAAAGCTTGGTACATACTTGAAGAACTTTTTCTCCAGATACTGGTACATAGAGGCAGACTGTGGTACATCTACTGAAGACATAGAGTACACATGGAGACAGAAAATCTTTGATCCACTGAATCCTACCACAAAGCCCTGAAACAAATAAGTTTTGTATATCAGATCAGGTTTCTCTAGAAAAATTCTTTACAGTTACAGTGTGATGATAACAATACATGTCACTTTTCAGTAAAATCTCTGTAATATAAACTGTGATGCTTTGTACAAGATTGTCTACAGTTAAGACTTACCTGTAGCTTCTGTTGATGGACAGGGAAGTTGCTGGCTTTGATATTGAGGAGACCATTGCCAGAGAAACACAACATGTCCTCGTAGTGAGTGTTCCATGCCACACTATTGGCATTGGGCTCCTATAACAGGGGAGACAACAAGAAATAAATTTTGGAAACTAATATCATCTGATGTTCCATTATCTCAGTTCTGCATATCTGTCGATTCATTTTCCTTCGTCTGTAATTATCATTTGTTTTAGAAGCTGCTTTTGTATTACCTCGGCAGGTGTGTTAAAATATATATCTGGACAAATATGTTAAGCTTTAGTACCTGGACAGGTGGGTTTTGAGATATATTACCACAACAGGTATGTTAAGAGATAAATTATCAATACAGGTATGTTAAGAGATATACCACGTCAGATAATTGAGATCTATTATCTGGACAGGTGGGTTTTGTTTACCTGGAATAGGAGCTCCTTAGTGTTTATGTCATACACCAGACAAGTGCTGTGTTCATCCACTACGGCCAGTTTGGTACGAGAGGCTGACACATCCAAACAACGCACAGATGTTGCCTGTTTCAGCAGCATGATGGGAAATGGATTGTCCACAAATATCTTCATAATCTGTTGATGTGAGAATGGTTTGTAAAGTCAGTCAGGTTGACATGGCCATAATTTCATTTAACAATATGTATGCTTATGTCTGTACAAATATACAGAAGAAATGATAAGCCATAAATGTAATATCATCACATTTTATTTAATCTCTGAATATAATTACTTTGTGTACTGAAATAATGCAAAATATAACTTAATTCAATAACAAAGTAACCACTAGCTTTGTCTAGCTATCAGCCCACAGTTAGAATGAAGCATGATCAATGCACATGTACCAGGTACTTATGAGGAATATTTCTGTTTTGAAACAATACTATAGGCTTAAGTGACAAGTATTATCCTAACAACAAATAACTAATCATACAAATAAAAAAATAGTTTCACTTTTGTCAAATTTTACACCCTGGTTTTCAATATACAGGATGTGATCTATTTACTGGGCCTTGAACTTAAGAAATCAGGAAATATTGCAAAGAAATCTTTGTTAACAGTAACAGAGCAACCCTTTGTTCCCATAACTGAAGTGGTAGTGTGATTTTACGTGTTCAGAAAATGTTTTTACTTTTCAGCAAGTTTTGAATCACCATATCTTATCTTAAATCAAAGAACATATTTCAGATTTAGGTCCGTCCAACTGAATTGTTACTTTAATGTTCAATCAGTCTGTGCTTACAAACAAATATCAGTGTAATTAAAATCATTTTCATTTGTTCCTTGTTACATGAAAATCCCAATAGCATTACCAATATAGTGACTTTTATTGCTAGCAAATCTTCCGTTATAAACCAATCAAATTGTCTCTCTATCGGATGTTTCAGGAAATTATGTTAGGTGCAACAATTCAAGATGTTTTCAATCATAGAAATATGATCTTTTCAGGAAACATTTCATTGAAATCAAGTAACCATCAGTATCATTGAAATAAAATCTACATGATACATTACATATTCAATTAAATGTTTCCAAGCATGCATACTTTGTTTTTTATTGATGTCAATGTCATCATCTTGACTTCATTAGCATTTTTTATCATTAATTTTTCTTTCGAAAGCTTTAAAATTCTACTATTCATGACACAGCAGTATGTTTTTAATTGGCTGTAAAATATTTAGTGAAAGGTCACCAGAAAGGTGATTCCAACAGAGCTTGTTGTCAGATCGTCATGTTACAAGGTATATATATATATATAGTAGGAAGTGAAATGTGCGATCAGGTTGCACCAAAATAGAGTTTTGCTAACAGCATTTCACATGTCGAAAGGAGATACCAATCTTAAGATCACAGCAATTCAAGTGACGATTAGTCTTGTTAAAGAACTTCTAATTGAATATATATATTCATAACAAACGGAGAATCATCCTGTAGAACAAGATGCTGGTTAATGATTTTAATAATTTAAGTTATTTTCCATGAAAAACAGAATGCCTTTATAGAAATACTACACTTACATTATCTTCTTATAAAAGCCATTGAGGATGAGAAATGCCAGTGAGAAGGAGACAGCACTTCAGTGAGTGTAGGCCAGAGTGTGACCAGGCCTTATACACCAGTGTTGGTGGAGTGGTGAAAACTCAATAAATTAGAATAAGTGAAAATTTTGTGACACTTAATGTGATGAAAATTAACAGGGATTATTTTTTCAAATGAAAGTAAATTTGAAAAGACAACTCCTAATGAAGATTGACCTAATTATCTACAGATAAGCTGTTGAAGTGTAATAACTTCCCTCCTGTTTTTCTACCTTCCAGTCAAACTTTACATTTGTAAGACTTTCTTAACATTCTCTTTGTCACTTTGATACAAGTCTCACTCTCATTACAATTTGAAGACATCTTATTATATAATGAAATTATCCAAAATGGTCGCAGTCATTATGGCTTAATAAGGTATTGTTACTAATTGAATTTTCATACTGCCAATCAACACTGGCTGAACAATCTGGCCTGGTCCCTGTCCATATCAGTCCTACATTTACCTGTCCATTTTGTAAACCAACAAGTAGTCCCTCTTTACCTTGCGGCATTAGGCCCGCTTCACAACTAACCTGTCCATTCTTGAGACCAACAAGGAGCCCCTCACGACCTGGGGGACCACCTATCACCTTGATGTACCTAATGAGAGATTCCATCACCCACTCCTTCTCTTTGATACCCTGAAAGGAGAAGCTCTGGAGACGCTTGTCCTAAAAACACAAGAAAGGAAACATTAACGCAATTATATGAAATATAAATAAAATTCATTTCATTACTTATAACATTATAAAGTGATTTCTTTACAGCTGCTGATGATGATGAAATCTCAATAAGTCAATATGATTAATAACAGGTCACAAATTAATGCTTTGTTTGCTCGTTGTATCGCCCCATCAATGGCCAAGATAATTTTGATGTTGAGTATCCTTGTAGTAGCTGTATGCTTTGCTACTATACTGAACACCTGCATATGTACAACCATAATAACACAGACCGTTTGAGAAACACAAAACTGCACAAATTTTGGATCTTCACCTAAGGTTTTGTAAGTCAACAACCTACTGACTACCACCATTGTGACCCTCACTAAATTAATTCACTGCCACATCAAATTCACTACACTATAATTTTATAATTGAAAAATGTATCTAGTGGATAAATGTGTACAATACCTGACACAGAATGATGTTTTGTGAGCAAACAACCAATAAATTACAGTCAAACTTTCTGTTTATCTTCTCTTTGACTTTATAATGCATGTCGGCAGCATCGTCCGAGTATAATTCATAAACTACAATCTTGTCTGGCAGCTGAACCTGAAATCAAATACAAATACTTTCAAGACAAACCAGTGACTGGTGAATTTACCCTCAGGATGACATTATTGTAGTATACAGTAAATACATATATATAGCCTCACATGTGATAATTAAGTCATGTGGTATGACTTATTGTGAAATAATTAAATCCAAAAGAAATGAAACAGCATATATAGAGCCTTGACATGTACATCTTGACAACAACACACCATTTTTTAGTAGTATTTGACAGAAATATTGCTTTGAAATGATTAAAAAAGATCCAATATTCTTGTTTGCAAGTAATGTGTCTATATTCAGAATACTTAAGCTAATTTGTGTCTATATATAGAACACTTACAGCTATCAAATCTGTGTCTATATATAGATCACTTACAGCTATTAAATCTGTCTATAAATACAAATATTGAAGTAGAACAGTTACTTAATTATATGCGTCCATATATAGAACACTTACAGCTAATCTGTGTCTATATATAGAGAATACTTACAGCTAATCTGTGTCTGTATATAGAGAATACTTACAGCTAATCTGTGTCTGTATATAGATAATACTTACAGCTAATCTGTGTCTGTATATAGCAATCTTTTTCACAAGGTCTCTACACTTGATTCTCACTGGAAATAGAGATAAATGTCAGTTGATCATCAGTAAATTGATAAACACCATGTATTAGTAACTCCAGCAATAGTGCCAAGAGGAGTATTGAATCCATACCTCATAACATAGGATAATCCTAAGGTAGGCAATAATGAATATATTGCTACTGAGAACAGATAAAAGAAGGATAAATAACAAGTTTTGCTCTTTACTCAGATCAATTCAACCCTGAAATCATCCATGTTTTTAAAGCTTCAAAATTTTCAGAATGACAGCATGCTAGAAATCATGAAAAAAACTAACCTAGTTTCACACATCAGACACTTCAAAAAATGAGTAGTCACTGTGATGTTATAAAAGCTGTTATACAGTGTTCCTCTTTAACATTAACAGTCAAGATGACTTTAAAGCCAAAGAATTTGCGAGGGGAAAAAATACACAATTTTCAATTAATGTTCTTTCCTTTTTTCCCCATTGCATTGTATGCTTTAATGTAATGAAATACCATATATGGTGATTTTTCAGTGGATGGCTAGCTGAATGGCCATTCATTTAATACTAAACATAACTGGTTGTCATAACAATGTAATGCCAACAAGAACAAGGTTTCAAACATCAACTAAAAGAACAAAACATAAACCAATGTTGAACAATGGAACTTGAACCTATATCTGGGTCAGCTGGAGGGGTAAATGCCCCTATTCTCTGTTTCATTTCTCTAGCTGCAGGAGTGTACATGCTTGGCCAATCATGACGGCTAACTAAAGAATTTTGACAAACACAATATGTAAATGACGAAATACAAGATTTGCATGTCATTACATTAAATATAAACCAAGTACAATTTCCTAACTTGTCTGAATATTATTAAAAAAAAAATCATGTCTATGAAAAAGTTAGATATTCAACTGATCAACTACGGCAAAATCTACCCTTATCCCAAGGGGAATTACTAGGTCCTGGGGTTATGAAATTCAATATTTTGAGAAAGCATTATAAGGCCGTTCCATTCATGGAAGTAGTTAGTTCTAGTAAATCTGGATGTAAAGAAGATGTTTGAAATTTCAGTCAAGTTGACCACATCAGTCCTTTGGGGAACAGTCAGAGTTTAATGTGTTGCCAGCACACTGACTTTCTATACTTATAATTCTTACTGGATTGTGTCCGGTAGAAATTAAACAAATTATACTCAAAATTATAATTTTTCAAAAATAAATTGACCCACCTCCCATTGGGAAAATGTGTGACCAGGGGGTTAAAAACTTTTCAATTCATCAAAACACGATCAGAACCTTCCATTCAAAAAGAGTATTTGATTCCACAATATCTGGTTATTGAGAAAAAGTTTACTTCATCTTTATCTGCATGTACCATTACCATCCCCTTCTCCCATACCATCTTCCATTTCTGTATCTGCCTTCATACCTTTCTGGTCTGTAATGAGGTGCTGTATGATAACATCAGTCATGTTGTCTCTGTAGGCGTATCTGTCTTTATACAGTCCGTGTACAGTGCTGAAGATCAGTTGGTAGTATCCTATTGTTCCGTCCTGGCAGCCGACCGCCTTTAGAATAAAATCCCCGTAAATAACTATCTTCATTTTTATTGTTTCTTTCTTTTTTTAATTTTCATCTTAACATCCATTATGATTATTTTAATTATTGATATCACATGTTTGATTAATTGACCAATTAATTTTTTCTAAAGGACTTGCTATAACAATGACACATACAGAAGTCCCATAATGTGGTATCACATATACAATGAAACTTCTCCAATCCGATCTATATCAAAATCAATTACCTCCTGAAGCCGAACGAAATGGCAATGTACGGAATGATGTTCGCTTTATTATAGTAATGAAAACCTTCCCAATGTTGATCCTTCTCAATTCTGAATACCAAACTGATTTTGTGTCCGAAATGATTGAAACAGACCAAAAATTGCTTTTGAAAACTGGCCTTACCTAAACGATCAAGACCAGAGTTCTGATCAGCGGACCGTTCAAATTACTTCACTTCTACAAAATGAGCCCTCCCCAAACCAGACAAACATTCATGTCTAATGCATGGTCAGTTTGGAGAAATTTCACTGTAATCACAATAATTCTAACATCGATTTAACAAATAAAAAAAAGGAAAATGAAAAAAATTAAGATACAGAAATAATTTTCAAACAGATACATACCACATAGTTAGAGTCTGGTTTGACAGCTGCTCCCCAAACCCATGATGCCTGCTCCCCAATGACACCAAGCTTGACCCCCTCCTTTGTATGGAGGGTACACTGTTTGTTGGCTCCCCCAATCACAACATACTCGCCCTTGGAGAACCAGCTGACTGTACAGGGATCATAGCCAAGGTTCCTGTCCTTACCAATCTGTAACCAATCACACCAGTTCAACAATTAAAGGCTGATGTTATGACAAAGGTCTCCCCATTGTTTACCAGTATTGAAAGTTTGTACAAATAAAACAATTCATTGGAAATCATGTCATAAAATCACATTAAACTTGAAAGTAGATAAAAAAGAAATTTATGTACAAACAAATTACCTGTTTTCCTGACAACTGATAGAAGGAGAGTCTCTGTCCCCAGTCTGCCACTGCTAACACATCATAGGTCTCGTCTCTGTTAAAATAATTAGCAATCATATATCTTTGATAAAATAAATAGTGTATATCAAATATATATATATCAGGTGCCTATTTCTAGCATAATAGAAATAATTTGATAGTGACAGATAATATACAAGATTTTCTAAACAGATCTTGTTTTTTTTGTTTTTTTGTTTTTTGTTTTTTGTTTTGCACGATCTGTGAAAAATTGAATAAAGACACAATCATACATGATAACCCTTAATACAAACAATGACTGCTATTTGTTATTGTATACATGTTCATATTAATGAAATTGACTACAAGAAGGATGTTGAACCTATATCAAACTTCTCATACAAGTGCTTGAACTTGTATCAAACAGCTCTTAGATGAACCTCTATACTTAAATCTTCCTTATAATTCAGTAGCAATTTGTTTGCTTTTGAAGATTTCAACATTTTCTCAACTGTAGAGGTCATAATGAGACTACCTCCATGGATGATGGGGACACTCAAAGTAAGGTTTATGATGCCATCACACAGATATGTCATTCATTATCTAGGTAGACATGGTGATATCACATCCAATCCAGTCAAATCATAGTGACATCAGCTTAATCAGCTGTTCATGTTGTCTCATACACAGCTGAATATGAAGCAGCTAGCAGTAACTAAATTTAACAGACTTTGGTCTGTCTAATTCAGGGGAGGTAATTCATAACCTTCTTTACCTCATCAGACATTCAAAAATAAGGGCAAGAGGGAGATTCTGCCTAGTAAGGTTTTAGAAATGAAAATGACAAGGGAGAAATGATAGTAAAGATAAAAGTTTTGTCTCTCGCAATCATGTAATGAGACAGCAGGTACCACTCTTTGCATCACCTACTAGCCAGCTTAAAACTACTATACATGAATGTTTTCTATAATCAAGTCCCTAGATAAACCTACCAAATAAAATTTTAGTTCTAATCAAAAACCAATGATAGCCCTCAAACACAAAATTTTGGTATTTCTTTAACAACTATTAGTACAACCAAATTAATCATTCATGGAGCTCTATCAGATCACCATGCATCTTTTTATGTGTATAATGGTATTCACAATTCAACAATTTCATTCAAGCATATGCTCCAATATGTGTTTGAATAATGCATACCTTCATAAATTAATGAAGTTTAAATTTGATCCTTAAAATTCATTCAGTTTTAAAAAATGCTTTAAACATGATTTTAAATACAGCAAACTACAACTAAAGATAATAAAAATAATGAGTATCTATTTCATTAACACATTACTAATTCAAAATACTCTAAATGCAGCAGTCTAGCAAAAGTTCTCCCAGCAAATCAACTTTGAAGCTAAAAATCCAAAAACACAAACTCAGATTTTACAGTGAATGAAATTTTAGTTTATATCATGTTTTCATTATTTTCCTTCAAAAACTCATTTAATCATAGCACACTTTCACAAGCATGAAAACCCTGCAGATCAATGAGGAGAGTCATCTCCCTTCAACCACACATGAGCCAACACCGTGTAATAGCTGTCTCTATGAACTTACTTTCGAAAATGTGAATAAACATTTGCAGAGTGGGGCCTGTCAAGCAAACATTAATATTTCCTTCAAAAATAATGAGATTAGCATTACAAAGTGATTTTAATTTTGAAACAGAATACCACCACCTACAATCAATGTTTAAACATTTGAAGATATTATCCTGATAATTTTTCATTGATTTCTTTATCACGCGCAGCATTAGTCTGTACATGTTGTGATAAAGCCATTAGTTTGTTAGTTTAGATATAGCACACACTTCTTGCTGTTTCTTTAACAAATGTCATAATTTGAAATGTACATTATTACATAAACTTTAAATCCAGTGTTAAGTTTAAATGTCTTTATAAAGCCTGTTCAAGCTCTGATACCTGCTGGGATTCCATTGTAGGGACCAGACAGGAGATGTAGCTGCATTAGGACGTTCTATCTTCACTTTTTCTTCCCCACTCTATATTTACACAAAATAAGATATATAAACAACATGATTTTCTAACACTAAGTACATTAATGTGCTCTGTCAGGATCAGGAATCAGATCATTTTTCATTAACAGTTTGTAAATTTATTCTGTATATTTTGGGTAAAAATTTATTAAGGATCTACAATTAATTGTAATTAATTTTAACACAAACTAACATTATGTATCATTGAAAATTTGATATAATCTGTATAAGACTAAGTGTTGTTCATATAGAACTGACCTTGTTGCGGATGCTGACCAGACCATTGTAGAGCCCCAAAGCCAGATATTGTCCATCATTAGTCCAACTACAGCAGGTGATACGACTGTTCACTTTGTGCTTAGACACATTCTTCTGTTCTGCTGTCCACAGCCCTTAATATCAAAGTTTTAAGTGAGCATTGAAAGAGAAAGAAATGTAACAACATCTCTCTGAAATATGTATTAATATACAGGCCGTATAAGATGGTACAATAAATGCAGGGGTGAACAGGAGAATTATCCTTACAAAATAAAACAACAAGTATATCAATACTGAAATATACAACATGCAAGCCATTCTTCTAACCGACATTTCATCTGAATAAAGTACAGCAGATTTCAGTTACAAAACATTAAGAGTGCGCCATATCATTTTCAAAACATTTAAAATTCATTTGTAAATAATGTCATCCAGTGATAGCTTACCAAAGTCACTGACAGCACAACTGGCTAGCTGGTGAGTCAATGGGTTGTAGGATAAACACTGTATAGCATCATTGTGTCTGAAAAAGGACAATGTGTTACTTTGTTTCTAAGAAGTTTTTATAGCTTATTGTGTTCATATCAAAATCATTTTCGAGCAATTTACCCCCAATTTATCAGGACAAAATTAATCTAGGGAGAGAAAATCACCACACACTAATAAACAAAAATAGTAAATCAGTAGTATTATCCTATAATATAATACAGTGCAAGGATCTTTCCTTTTTTCTCTCTCTCATTTTTGACCTGAATACTCATTGTCTGAGGATTAAAAAAAACAAATCAGATTTTTGTAATCAAATGGATGTTATAAACTCCTGTTATCAGATCTGTCAAAGCTCCTATCTAAGAAAGACACATGAAGGAACTTCCTATTTCCAGATTGTTATTTCATTTCTGATTTTAGATAAATCAAGTTACTGTAAAAGATCAAAGTTGGCATGAATACATTTGATAATTTACATTGTCAATCTTTAAAGATACATACGTGTATTTTAGAATACCCTCTAGTTTACTTGTCCAGATTATGACACTTTTATCAGCAGATCCAGAAGCAAACCGTTTTCCATCTCTGGCATATGTTACACAATACACTGTGTCTTTGTGACCTTTAAGTGGTTGGATAAGGGTGCCATCATTTGTGTCATATACCAAGACACGATTACCAGCTGCAACAATCAACTGGCTGCCATCAGGTCTAAAGCACAGGTCCCATATACTGAAAAAGAAATGGCCCTGTCTTTTATGATCTATAGACATGGATTGTAATCACTCTGTTATTAGCCTAAACCAGTACCATAAGCACAAAACTGTTCATTATTTGTGTGATTTGTTGTAACTGTGACGGTTCTGGGAAAAAGAATTAGTATCGGAACATTTCAAACTACCTATATATTTACTCATTGCAAACTGCCAGTTCAGAGTTGATGAAAATTAAGGCACTTTTAACATAGGATTTCAATGAGAAAGTTGCCCAATATGTGCTTGAAACTGTAGTTATCGGAAAGTATTAGTTAACCATCGTCCATGTAGATACTTGAAACAATTTCAATTTTTATCTTTATTTAGAAAATTGTTTTGACATTTGGCATTTTCGTTTAATGTTTGAAGTAAGGCCGTAATTTTTCAAAATCTGCCAATGAAGCAAACTTATACAAATGGATACGAGACGTCGTGTGAAAATGTTCAAAGGCGAAACATCGAAACATTCCCTTGTAATCAGTCAACGTCCATTTGTTGTGCTTAACCACGGGTCCAAAATAGTGAAATCTGGACAGTCTTTGAAGTATATTTCATGTTCTATCGTTAAAACAAAACGGTTTGCATTAACCGAAAACACCATACCATTGTTCAAGTTTGTCTCTATCTTGAACTTTGTCAACCCAAGTTGGAACAGCTCTCATGTTTACCAAAAGTGCAGTCTGTTTTGGAATCCGGCGACAAAGTGCTCGACATGCGCATGGTCTAACTTCCGCTCGAGATATCGTAATCTCGTTATTTCTCACGTCGATGTGATATTTATGTTATGTTACACTGAATTCATTTCTATCAGCACAATATTTTTCATAACATTTAATATTTGAAATAACTGTAATAAAATATAACTATGGTGCCATAAATGTGAAACCTGTTAAAATATCTTGTCGGGGCCCTCTAAAGGATTTTCTATCTTCTGAATCGGCGAGGGACCGAGAGGGAGCAAATATCATATATAATGAAGCTTAACCCTATACGGGTCTTGATAGGAATAACTGTTCCGTAAACAAGCGAAAATTATCACATTTACTCCTAAAAATGTTGTGAAGTTCTGCAGTTAATTGAAATCAGGCAACATCAACTCGACTGTGTAAGCAAGCTTGGTGCGCTGCAACCGGAAGTGCCATTCAATGCAAGTTGATGAAAGTGGGATTTTCCCGATCCTTGGGATCTAAAATTGAACTCGAACTCTCAGGTAATATAATCAAACGTGGTTGGTATCATACTTACAAATCGCTTTTCTAAAGTAATTCTAATCGTTCCGTTGGATTTCTGTGGGATTATTGTTACATTTTGCCTTGATGTTCCTACTACGAACTGGCTTTGTGACAAGTGATCTCTTTTATATAACAGAGTAAGTTATTTCTTGATCCGTCAAAAGTTATCAGCATTGGTATTCCTTATATTTGTTCACATACATGTGTCCGATGTCGTAGTTTATTCTACAAGCTTTTGAAAGTATTGTAATGGCGCGGTTCTGGGGACATATATGTATACATGGTCAATAAATGGGGGGATACTTAAAATAGAAACACAATCATCCATTTGTCATCATAATTGACCTCTCAATTATATAGATTGATATTACATTTACAAATTATCGATTAATATTACGTTTTCAAATTATGAACAAGTTTTAACGATTTTATAATCTCTATTCATTAGTGGATTCGCCATAGTAATTTGTATTGGAGTGTTTAGAAGCACCGACTAGCTCTAATTTGTACAGGAATTAAGAAACCAGGACACTTTTTGTGAATACAAGCAAAATCCTGTGATTTTTTTTACAAATCATTGTGTAACAAGTATCTTTCTTGTAACAGATAGGTATATTTATACACCAAATTATTGTCAATCACTGAGCAGTGATTTTGATGAGCTGTTGTTACAGCTAAGATTAAATAATGTACCATTTTAATTGATAGAGCAAGCTGAACTCTTAGCGATGACAAGGGTGAGAAGGCAAAGTAAAATAAATGCTTATGCTAGCAGAGGAATAAATTTTATTTACATCCCTTGCTGACATGACATATTGTAAGATTTAAGATCGTGTATTATTCTGTAAATTATTTTTTTAAATATTTATTGATTTTTTCAGTTTAATCAAATTAAGTCACTAATTATTCCACTTGACAGATAACAGTATAAACTCCCTAAACATATTTTTTTGAGAACATTTTCCTTAGATTGATGATGTCATTATAATAAAAGTTCTTATAACACAACCAGTAGAAGATTTGATTGGAAGATTTCAACAGGATGAATGGGTCCATAGACCCTCTCACACATCTAAGACCAAGTGTTAAACAAAACATAGCCAAATCGACTATAGTACATTGTTACCATCATCCATACTTTTCTCCATCTATAATCAGTTTACCATCTCATCACACTATGTTTGAACTTAGTGTACCTAGGATTATAGTACAGATGAAAAAGGTTATCAGATCCTTTCCATCTTGTACACTACATACATCAGTTCTAGTGTACTTCACACTGGTCACTGTGTAGTTAGCGAAACATCATGCAGTACTAGTTGTGTTATAAGAATTTTTTATTTCATGGCCTGAAAAGTTTGACTTGTTTCAAAATTTTTAATTTAATATTTACAAAGAATTGTCATTCATATGAAATATACATAAGATATTTACCTAAGGATACTTCAAGTATTCCTTATTGTAGAAAGTTTAACTTTTTACATAATGTCATGTATTTTCTCATTCATTTTTGCAGGAATTAAATAATATCAGGAAATTCCCTAATTAACAAAAAATGCTTTTTATTTTAGGTATATGCACTGATGGAGTCATTTTCCAGCTTTAGCGTCATCCGTGAAAAGAAAGATCCAACTTAATAGAATGAGCAGTTCATTTATATTTTGATAACATTACTTCACCTTACATCATGTCGCTAGAATCATTCCTGAGTGGGGACTCCATACCCCCAGAACAGGAGCCCAGAAACTGTGCTCCAGGCTTTCCTGATTTTAAGTTATCTGTTGGTTTAAATAACACTGGTGGAAACACTTTGATTAATCAAATGTTTTCTGATGAAGAAGATGAAGAAAGCATTGATGAGGAAAATGGAAGTTGTGGAGACTTAGATGAAGTAGACAATGATGACTTTGAGGAGGATGACGAGAAGGAACATGATGATATTGATGGGGATGGGGATGATGAGGAAGATGATGATGATGATGAGGAAGAGGAGGAGGAGGAAGAGGAGATTAATGAAAATGGTGATGAGAGCAGTGGTGAAAATAGCGAGGAAGGTGTTGAGGACATGGTAGATGAGGACAGTAAGACGAACAATATGTCAAAAAGTTCTGTTTCTGAAAATATGACAGATGATATTTCAAGTATTATAAATGATCTCGATAAAGATTTCAGCATGCAAGTTGAAAATACACCCAATGTGGTGGAATCTTCTAGTCCAGTGGTAGAAAATGTACAGAATGAGGATGATAAGAAATTAAAGAAACTTGATGATGAAAAGCCAGAATGTAGTAAACCAAAGAAAAGGAAACGGAAAAAGAAGGAAAAGGGAGAGGGTGCACCAGCAAAGAAAAAGACAAAGAAAGTAAAAACCAAAAAACAAGCCAACATGAGAAAAAACATCAGGTAAATAACCTCTGTTTCATGTTTTCAAAGCAGTTGAGAACTTTCATATTGTGAAGTTTAGAGGGACTCTTTGAAAGTTATATCATTAACTTGATGAGTCTTCCTTTCTTTGAATGTATAGTACCATATATTATACAGATATTTCATGTCTTCCCATGCTTTAGTAAAAAAATATCTGACTAAGGTGCTAGTAGTTGCCAACACCAAGTGCAGTATAACAAATTGACAACTACTAGCACCAAGGAACATATATTCTGGTGTATGCTATGCGAAGGCAGATATATCTGTTTTAATCGTGTAACTTCAGTAAAGAAAATTTCAACTTTAACTTACCTCAAAGAATGTTCTCTAACTCTGGACAAACTTTTGTCTACAAATAGCCCCAAAATCCTAATTACACACTTTGCAGTGTGTTTGTTTCTGAAGATGTTTTGAATCTTTCAGAGTTATGCAAAATAATTCCTCTGTCACTGTCATAGCCAGTCAGAAGGATTTCTTTTATAACCTTACTGTAACTAACATGTCATCATGCAGGCAATTTAAAAAGTATATTGCATTAGCAAATGATAATATATAATACATTATTTTATTTTTGTTTAATGGAAATAGTACATAGTTGATTCCAATTTACATATTTATAGAGCAAACAAAGAACATTATATGATAAAATGCATTGATTATTGAAGGACTGGTTAATGCTTGATTATATTCTAAATGTACAATGTATGTAGATATGTTATTTCATACTAAGATTTAGTATAAATCTCTGAAAACTGAAACTGGGAGATTTGGACATGTCGTCTAGTCTTATGCATGTAATGAATGTGTTGCTGTGTATTGAAAATTTTTTAATATTTTTCATCAGGGAAATAATTAAAGAAAATGAACTTGAGACTACAACATTAGCAGCACAAAACGAAGAACTTGAAAGAAAGCGTCGACTTCAGGAGCAGCAGAAAGTGTTAGCAGCAACAGTTCCTGCTGTTCCTACTCAGGTGGCAGATGCTACAGATGCTGAGGAAAAGGACTCGCAGCTCAAGTCCTTGTTACAAAGCATGCGTGAGTTTAAACCCATGGTTTCTTCCATATCCTGCATATTTATAATTCATGTCAGTCTAAGACGTTTTGAAATTACGCAAATGCAGTAACTTGGTTTTTTCTGTTATGTCGTACATGTTATGATTACCTTCTAGATTCTGTTTACTAGTAGGAAACCCACTTATTTTCTTATATTGATTTATGAAGTGAACATTGTCTGAATAAAACAAAAATGAGTTTCAGGAAATAACTTAATGACAGTGCTTCATTCGGTACTTTAATGAGAAGAAAATAGAAAACTGAATACTGCGTATGCAGGGCTTCAACTGAAATGAAAAGATCTTGTATAAATCTTTATTGATCGACCAGGTACCATTTAAACTAGCTTGTTTCTAGAGATGCAAATACAAAAAAATAGAACACTTGAAAATATTGAATGCTGTGTCTGATATTTAGAACATTAAGAAATTGCTCAGTGACATCATTCTTGAAGTAATTTGATAGAAAAAAAATAATAAAACAACATTATACTTAGTAGTTATATTTTGTCTTTTCAGCTGATGAAATGCCCTCAGAAGTTCAAAAACAAGAGAAAGATGATGATCTTATCCTGGTAGATAGTGGAGATGATGCAAAGAAGAAGGAAAAGAGTAAGTTTGTTGGGATACTGGAAAAAGTTTGATTGTAGAATTAGAAGTAAATTTCTGAATGATGTATACAGTTTTATGCAGCCTGATTAGTTATGAATACAAAAGATGATATATTGTAGTCTTTTCCTTCATCATTAAGTAAGGGTAATACAATATTATTTAAACACCTGTTTAGTTTGGTGGTATATCGTGTTGGATGTACATCACAAAACAACACTATTCTTGTAAAATTAATTGTATTTTATCACTATGTATTGTTAAATGGTTATTGTACCCAAGTTGCTGACATCTTTCCTTTTGTAAAATATTATAATAAAAATTCATTTCTTGATTGTCTTATTGTACTGAATGTAAATGTTACTGTAATTTCTATAAGCTTGCTAGTAAGGATATGATCTAGGAAAGGACTTATATTGTTCAATGGTGAAACACCTTGGTACATTACAGTGGAGGTCATTGACATCAGTAGTGATGACGATGATGATGCTGTCCAGATCACAAAAGATGAGGACAGTGAAGTCGATCCTGAAGACCCAAACAATGGCGGCAACCATATCAACGATGATCTCAACGTTGCTGACCTTGAAGGTCGTGTCCAGCTTAACATTGGTCACCCCCCAGAAGATGATGACATATACCTGGCTCCGCAGATTGCACGAGTCATCAAAGCTCATCAAGTCAGTTTTTAATTCAAATATTTTTTGTCTAAATATTATACTGTCATCGATACATGATACTTTTTGTAAATATTCAAATTGAAAGGTAAACAAAACACGCTGCTCTAAAGGTTTTCAATGGAATTTTTATAATTCAGTGCCATAAAGGTTATCAAGAATATTATCAGGAATATATCAAAATATATAAGTTATTTTCATAGAATTTTTTCCATTGAGTCCAGAGTAACATTTCCAAAATTTGAATGATTCCAGTCAAAAGAGATGATTGTTCTCAAAATTTGAGTCCAAGATGAAAAGCATGAGTCTGAGATTGAAATATGAATCCCAAAAATAACTGCCATATTTCTACTCCATATCTAATATTTGGTTTAAGTTTCTGTTTGACTCATTATTTCAGATTGGTGGTGTTCGTTTTCTGTATGATAATTTAATTGAGTCAATGGAGCGGTGTAAGAGCAGTGCTGGATTTGGCTGTATATTGGCCCACAGCATGGGACTAGGAAAGACAATACAAATGATATCATTTATTGACATATTTCTGCGTCACACTCCATTAAAAAGTGTTCTCCTCATTGTGCCAATAAACACTCTACAAAATTGGGTGGCCGAGTTCAACATCTGGCTGCCAACAGCTGCTACTGTAGGAGATGATCCTAACTTTATACCTCGAGCCTTCGAAATTTATCTGCTGAATGATGGATACAAAACTACAGCAGCCAGGGCAAAGGTTATTGGTAGGTATAGCTAAAGGTTTGGAGGGTAATTAATTAAAGAAAGAAAATCATTGAATACATCTGTGCAAAAGGTGAAATTCATACTTTTCACTTTTCCCATGAAAAGTACTTGAATCAATGTAAACTTGCTCCAACTTGATACTGTGATTTTGGAGAAAAAGTGGCCTATAGAAAATATTTTGTGTACTTCAAGGTGTTCTGCATTACAAAGAATGCACATGTAGGGTTTCAAGTAAAAAATAAAAAGTTAAGCTAGCATAAAGTTCAAGGAGTCAAAATTTTACAGAGTCTTATAATTGTTTAATTTATTGATTGTTGTGTGTAAACAATACAATTATAGCTACAAATGATTATTTGAACAACACTGTGTAAAATATTAAAAGTTTTATTTGAGCATCACCCATGCTTCAAGAACAAGGGTAATTTTGTGTTCCAGCTGAATGGCATAAAAGTGGAGGAGTCCTTGTGATGGGGTATGAGATGTACCGTCTGTTGTCTAGTCGCCGTGGTTACATGGGTACATTGAAGAAACCTGGCAGGAAGCCTTCCTCTCCTGTAGTTATTGATTTAGAGGAAGAAGACAGAAACAAAACCCACCTACTCAGTAAGTCATATTACTTCATCTGGTTACTAACTCAGTAAGTCATATTACTTCATCTGGTTACTAACTCAGTAAGTCATATTACTTCATCCGGTTATTAATTCAGTAAGTCATATTCATATTATTCAGTAAGTCATATTACTTCACCCGGTTACTAACTCAGTAAGTCATATTACTTCATCCGGTTACTAACTCAGTAAGTCATATTACTTTATCCGGTTACTAACTCAGTAAGTCATATTACTTCATCTGGTTACTAACTCAGTAAGTCATATTACTTCATCCGGTTACTAACTCAGTAAGTCATATTACTTCATCTGGTTATTAATTCAGTAAGTCATATTACTTCATCTGGTTGCTAACTCAGTAAGTCATATTACTTCATCTGGTTGCTAACTCAGTAAGTCATATTACTTCATCTGGTTATTAATTCAGTAAGTCATATTACTTCATCTGGTTATTAATTCAGTAAGTCATATTACTTTATCTGGTTACTAACACAGTAAGTCATATTACTTCATCTGGTTACTAACTCAGTAAGTCATATTACTTCATCCGGTTACTAACTCAGTAAGTCATATTACTTCATCTGGTCACTAACTCAGTAAGTCATATTACTTCATCTGTATATTTGTCAGCTGATATTTTGCTGCAGAATTCAGTTCCTATCACTTGTGATGTTGATATGTGATTGTAACTTGAGAAAAGTGTTAAATTTGGTCTGAAATATCGCAATGATTAATATTGAAGAGGTTTATTCCTTGTTTACAAATAATGCAATTGTTATTGTGAATGCACAAATCCACCATTTTGCTAATTTTGCCATAAATTTTTAATAAGTCTGTTTAAAGTTTTAGAAAAAAAGTGCACTTGGCATGTATTGCTACCATGATATCTGTAGGATATACAAACTTGAATTTGTAGGTATGTATGAAGCATTAGTTAGTCCTGGTCCAGACCTAGTGGTGTGTGATGAGGGACACAGAATAAAAAACAGTCATGCTGGAATCTCAATGGCCCTAAAAAATATACGAACAAGGTAAGCATTTGTTCTTTGAGGAAAGTCTTTTACTCAGCATCATCTTTGCTATATTAGATGAAATTAATTCAAAGTTTTAGATTTTAATATGAAAATCTGACAAATTGTTGAGGACTTTATATAATTTTGATAATGATGTCCATCTTCTTTCTTTCTTTGATCATCTCGGTTCAACATTAAAATATGTATAACATAAGTTATGCCTATTAACAGACGACGAGTGGTGTTGACTGGCTACCCACTACAGAACAATTTAATGGAATACTGGTGTATGGTGGACTATGTGAGACCAAATTATTTGGGTACAAAGACTGAATTCTCAAATATGTTCGAGCGTCCTGTGATGAACGGACAGTGTATGGACAGTACAGAGGAAGATGTGAAAACTATGAGGCACAGAGCTCATGTGTTACACAGCCTCCTGGAGGGCTTTGTCCAAAGGTAAGGTCCATCAAACCATCAGAGTGGGGTGGGTGAGGGGTGGTCACGTGTCCAATTAAGTGGGTTTTCTCTGTGTGCGCTGATTTCCTCCTTCGTTAAGACCTTTCATATGCTTATGTCGAGACCAACAAGAGTGATTAATATAAGCTGATAGTTTGATTGGCAACTGTTAACCAATGTGAATGAGCGAATTGGATCATAGATAATGTTTACAGTCTTCACTGTAGAATTTCTTCATTATATCACTTCATTTGCATTAAGAAGTATCGAAAAACATTTTATGATTTTGCCTACAACTTACAGAAGTGCTGTAGAGAGAGGCTTTCAAGGATAAAATCTTAGAGAAATGGAATTATGTTTTTGTATTAAATAAGAAGCTGTGCTATTTTATGTCTGTGTGTCTGTATAAGTGAGTGCATGCATTCGTGATCACTTCTTGTACATGATATCTTATGAATCCCTTCATAAAAGATTATTCATAAATCCTTAAACAGATTGAATTCATCTTCACACCAAAAGCATCACAACACCAAGATCTACACTTAATTAAATTTTACTGGTCAGTAGTCCAGGTTAAAGGTCAAAGGTTACATTTGGCTACCTTTCAAATGGAAATACTACTAGTTTAGGGTATGTCTATATGAGCCTCTGCTCACTTTGTTTGTATTTCACTGTCAGAGACGTTGCTTGAAGATGCTTGGGAACACATCTTTGATAATGTTCACTTCATATATTTATAGACAAGATATCGAGGTATGTTTCTTGCTGTTATCTAAATATTAACTTTCTAACTTTTTCAGTTGTGTTCATTCTTTGTAATGATACACTGCATTGTTGATTACTCTTTGTAGCCTACGGTAAGCGAAAATCATATAAAAAAATGGGCTCCTTACTATGGATTAACTAGTACACCTGATTTTCATTATTAATTTTCTGTATTATCATTGTGTTTGTAGACGTGGGCACACAGTGTTGCAGCAGGCTCTGCCACAGAAACAGGAGTTTGTGTTCCTGATTCGGATGTCTCCTATACAGAGGGCCCTGTATAAAACCTTCCTAGAGTCAGTGGTGGAAAACTTCACTGCTGCAAGCGCTTGGTCTAATCACAACCCTCTACGGGCATTTGCCACGTGTTGTAAGGTCAGTCAAACTTCTGTCTTCATTAGGATCAATTTGAAGACATTTTCAACGGTGAAGCACATTGAACAACTTGTGTTTGATTTTAGAACATGATTTGAATTGTGAAGATTTCATTTGTTTACTGCCATGTTAATTGTTATGCAAATTAAATTATTTCTTCTTGAAATCAAAATAATGTTGTTGATATATCTGTAGTGACACATCATTTATGTTCTTTTAAAACAAATTAATATGCCTTGACTCAAGCTCAAGTTAAAAATCAAGGCAAATCAAGCAAATTTTGTGACTTTGTAGAACTTATTTTTCAAGGTGTATTTGTATAATTATATAGTAGTGTAACTTTGTTGTACACTATGAGACTTACATCTATGCTGTTTAACTTTTCTTTTTGTTTGTTCAGATCTGGAATCATCCAGATGTCTTGCACAAACTGCTGGTTCAGAGAAAGGTAGCAGGAGTGGATGACGACCTTGACATTGACCCTGGTAATGAAGGTCGAGCAAAGAAAGGTTCACAGAAATCCAAAAAGGCTGTGGAGAAGCAACCAGGAAGTGATAAGAAAGAGGATGTTGTCTCCTTTGAATGGGTGGGCATATCTGATTGGTCAAAATGGTATCCTCCTTAACTCTGGTTATGACCTGTAAATCAGTAATGTTATACCAGTTTTCTTCCAACTTGTTTCAGTTGTCTTGATTATAACTAATATACAAACATCTGTTCGACCAAAATTCATTGCATCTAAAAAGGTTGGAAATGGGGCATTTGAGATATTGTGACTTAAATTCTTTTTTATATGATGAATTTTATTGACAAAACAGAGCTCTCTGAACAGTTATTATAACTGGCAGGATTTTCAGTATTGTAAAGTTAACATACTTTTTTGAGAAGGATGTCTCAAAAATTCCATTTCATTGGGTTTGAAGTCTTAACTTCACATGCATCTGTACTGATGATATTGGGAATATATAGCTACATATTTTACATAGAAATGTTGTCTGTGACTTCTTCCAAAAATCATTCTTCCTTTAAACTCCTCTGTCACTATCACAATACAGGGAAACACAATACAATGTATTGTCATTATCGATGAATTGTAACAGATCTCAAGCCCTGCTTAAAACAGTGATTTCCATTTGGTTATAGTGAATTACTTCATCATATATACAATACCAGATGTTTTGAGAAAGAAGTTCAAGATTGCAATTACATACACAAACATTTGATGCTACTTAACCATGGCAGTTTGTGTTTCAAGCTGAGTCACTGATGGTGTATTTAATCTACAACTTCACAACTGTACAACTTCAGACTGAGTTACTGATGATGGATATAACTTATGTTGTGTATTATTCCAGGCTGAGTCTCTAATGGAGAATCACATGGCTGGTCTTCTGGAGACTGGAGGCAAGATGGTGCTGCTCTTCAATATTCTGGAGGAAGCTATCAATGCAGGGGATAAGATCCTTGTATTTAGGTAAGACCAGCTATGTTTTATAATCATTTATTGTTGACATACATTGTAGATAATAATTTTTTAGTTTAAATGGTTGCATATATCTATCACAAATATAGTTAGGAGAGCGAAGTAATTGAATCTGCGTAAAATTATTGTTTACTGTATTTATCTGCAAATAAATCCCTGCCCACAAATAAGCCTTTTTTGCAGAATCATCAATTTTAAAGAAGTAAGCTAAACATAGTTCACAAGTAAACCCTCCCTAAGATTTAGTACTAAACTTTTACTGAATATATTACTCAGTTATTTTTAATCTAACATTACACAAAATAACACCTATTTTTATTTTCAGTCAAAGTTTATTCACATTAAACCTCTTAGAAGAATTCCTGTCCAAAACCAAGGTTCCAAGACCAGAGGTGGATTGTAACTGGGCCAGGAACACATCATACTACAGTAAGAGAACAACCTATTGTTAATTTTCCTTGTTTATAGTTTGATGAGTATTAAAAGCCAAGAATTTGTAGGTCACCTGACACATAGCATCTGTTTTCATGATGAGTCGGTTTTGCTAATTCTTGATTTTGCTCCAAACACTATTTGCCATTGATTTTTTAATTTGACTGATGTTAAATTGTCTAGATGTCTTGAGACTCTGTAAACATATTTTTGTGTGATTGAATTTTAGCATGATACCAATTTTAAGTATACAAGTGCAATGATGAATTTGTACATTTAAAAAATTGGTATACTAATGAGGTATGGAAACTGCAATCAATGCAGCCATATTTTAGTACAGTATCTTCAGTGTGAATTGCACTGAAATAAGATTATGGCTCAAATATATACATTGACACCAGCAGTAAACTTTTGAGTTGTCAAATCTTACAACCCTGATTGCTTTAATAGTTACCTACAGAGAAAGTGAGATAGTTGTTGTATTGTTATAGGACTGGATGGTAGCACTGGAGCAACAGAAAGAGAAAAAATGATCAATGCATTCAACAGACCAGATGGTCAAGCCTGGCTGTTTCTGCTGTCCACAAGGTGAGTTAACTAGAAAACAAAATGATGATTCTGGAATAATGACAATATCAGTTCTATGTATATATGCATAAAGAAATAAATCTTTAACTACCAACTTAAACTTGCTGATTTCACGCGTTTGTGTGTCATGTATGTAATTAGTATTGTTTAGAACAGGATTGAATTTCTCAATATTTCATGAAGTCATATATGGAATTACTTCAAACTTCAGCAGTTTGCAAAAGACACACTTGTTCCTTTATAGAGGTAGCACAGATAGAACATATATTCCTACACAATTGGAGCACCTGTTCCACTTGAGAACACTATCTCTGTATGCCCGTTCCTTCACATGAGAAAGTTGAAACAGAGCATCTCCCCTGACAGACCAAAACACTAGATTTTGGTCTGTTGCAGAACTAGTCACTGTTACAGTGGTCATCCATCTGTTGAAATGACAAGCCAAATAAAAAGATGTGTGTATCTGTAAAGGTCATATTTATTGTAAATAGATTTTGAGGTGAATGACATACAGTGAATGCAATACAGCTAGATCTATAAGAGTACAGATGAACTTTTTTTGGTTTTCTTTTCAACAGGGCTGGATCCTTGGGAGTGAACTTGGTAGGGGCTAATCGTGTGGTTGTACTGGATGCTTCTTGGAATCCGTGTCATGACTGCCAGGCAGTGTGTCGTGTGTACAGGTTTGGCCAGACCAAACCCTCCTTCATTTACCGTTTTGTCACTGACAATACAATGGAGAAAAAGATCTATGACCGCCAGATCAACAAGCAGGGCATGTCTGGTAAGTTAGAGAGAAATGTGTTAATCGTAAACTAGGCATGTATTAGAGAGTAATGTACGGACCATAAACAGGGCATGTCTGGTAAGTTAGAGAGAAATGTGTCTACAATAACAGGGCATATCTGGTAAGTTAGAGAGAAATGTGTTGAGTGTAAACAGGGCATGTTTGGTAAGTTAGAGAGAAATGTGTTGACTATAAATGAAGCATACCTGGTAAGTTAGAGAGAAATGTGTTGATTGTAAACAGGGCATGTCTGGTAAGTTAGAGAGAAATGTGTTGTCTATAAACGAAGCATATCTGGTAAGTTAGAGAGAAATGTGTTGATTGTAAACAGGGCATGCCTGGTAAGTTAGAGAGAAATGTGTTGTCTATAAACGAAGCATATCTGGTAAGTTAGAGAGATATGTGTTGATTGTAAACAGGGCATGTCTGGTAAGATAATAGAGATATTTGCCGGCAGCACTAGTAAACATGTTTTGTGCTGCCTAATCAGAAACACTGTGCTACTTGTACGGATGAGATCAATTCCTCATGGTTATGATAAAGAAATTTATATCAATGTTTATTAGTTCTTTCCAATACTGGGTGAATATACCAATATATCCAAATACCAGTGATTGAAAATGAAACAGAGGGAAACATTTTAGAAAACAGTTTATTTTATACAGTGAAACCTCACTTAACAACTCACCATTAAAGAAAATTTCATATTCCAGTATTAAATAACTATTGAATAAAAATAATGTTGTTTTGTTTTATTCAATCTTTAAAATAGTAAATGTGCACATATATTATGATATAAACTGAAAAGTTAATATATATATATTCTTTTGTCAATTTTATCAATATTATTTTTATCATTTACTTGCATTTCATCAAAAACAACATTTTCTATACAGTTTAATAAACTTAAGTTAATATTGTTGAATAATATATGTGTACATTGCTTAACGATATATACAGTGCTCAGCATTAAAAGAGTTATGGTTCTTGGCAGTCAAACTGGCCCACCTTTTTTGTCATTCCCCAAGTGGTCTTGATATAGAGGTTTCACTGTACAGGAATGAGAATTATCAGAAATTGACCTTTGGAAGGTTTGGTATCTCTTCCATGATGGATTAGTTGTTAGATGAGGTTTAAACTTCTGCCTTTAATCTAATACAACCAAATTGATATATGATTCAAAATGTTTAATTTTAAACTCTCCTTGCCTTTTTAGGTCAGATACCATCTCATGTTTCTTGTGACTTTATTGGTTATGATTTACGTCTCATACTTTATATCTCATTTCAGATCGTGTTGTTGATGAACTTAACCCCCAAAATCATTTTTCTAGACGCCATGTTGACAATCTCCTCCACTATGAGGTGAGAAATTTTTTGTAATAGTTGAAATTGATAGTGTCACTACCAATGACAAGAAATCAATACCAGGTACAGACAATTTGTACTTGTTTTGATACCCTTTGCTCACAACAGCTAAGAAATCTAGTGTGCTGAAGAGAATTTCTGGAATCATACTGTCTTATAATTTAGAAATTTTCAAATGTTGACAAAAGGAAAAAATCTTCCATAAGATGTTGTTAGCCTTCAATTAATTAATTAGGCCACTACATTGAAGGTTTTTTTATCCATTTTTTGTTTTGGCTCAATATCTCAAGTTCTTTTCGACCATTTGAGCCCAGGTTTTACCCTATGCTGTTCTGAAGGAAGTGCTTGTGTTGGAGTGATTTTGGGTTCCTTGGGTCAAAAGTCAAGTCACTGTCACTATAAATTCAGTTCTGTAAAATATTTTCAGTTCTATTTCAATGATTACACTAAATGTTTTCTCCATTGTTTCTTCACAAGCTCTCAAGTGCTTTTCTTGCTTAGAGGTCAAGGTCACCATTACTATTTATAGAATATACCAAGAAAAAAGATATTACTTCTTAATGTTATTACTAGATAATGAAGCATAATTTCTCAGGGTGAACATCAGTTTGGAAATATTTCATTTGCGGATATTTTGTTGTGATATCATAAAAACATTATGACTGTAATAAAATTAGAAGTTGACCAAACATGGATCAAGGTCATCTGATGAAAAGTCAGTCAAATTGAGACATTTCATAGAAAATATGTTGAGTCAAAGGTTGAGGTCAAAGTTGCATTATTTTAGTGGTAAATATTTGTTATGAATTTAATCATGATTAGTTGCACTCAGGTGAGGATCACAAAAAAAGAGTCCATCGGTGCCACAAAATTTCAGGTTTAGGATATGACACAATGTGTGGCTCTTCCTGTTGTGAGTAAGTTCTATAGTTAGTTTAGTATGATGAAGGACAAGAAGTATTTTTGATCTTTTAAACTCTTGCATTTGTTTTCTATATGTTTTTTATTTCTTTGACAGGACACAGATTTTCCGCTCGTAGATTTTACAAATTGTGAGGAAAAATATACTGATCCTGTTCTGGTGAAGGTTTTAAAGAAAAATGGCCACTGGATAACAAAGGTGAATTAAAAGATGTACATTCAGTCTAATGGGTTCTCAGTTACTGAACTTATCATCTACCATTGCTGTAGATCTTTCCTTTCCCAGTGGATACTTAATAATTAATTAAGCAATTTCCATTCCTAATAGATAATCCAGCCCTCCACATTCCCAGTAGATAATCCAGCTATCCACATCCCTAGTAGATAATCCAGCCTTCCACATCCCCAGTAGATAATAGTCATCCACATTCCCAGTAGATAATCCAGCCATCCACATTCCCAGTAGATAATCAAGCCATCCACATTCCCAGTAGATAATCCAGCCATCCACATTCACAGTAGATAATCCAGCCATCCACATTCCCAGTAGATAATCCAGCCATCCACATTCCCAGTAGATAATCCAGCCTCCCACATCCCCAGTAGATAATCCAGCCATCCACATTCCCAGTAGATAATCCAGCCATCCACATTCCCAGTAGATAATCCAGCCATCCACATTCCCAGTAGATAATCCAGCCTCCCACATCCCCAGTAGATAATCCAGCCATCCACATTCCCAGTAGATAATCCAGCCATCCACATTCCCAGTAGATAATCCAGCCTCCCACATCCCCAGTAGATAATCCAGCCATCCACATTCCCAGTAGATAATCCAGCCATCCACATTCCCAGTAGATAATCCAGCCATCCACATCCCCAGTAGATAATCCAGCCATCCACATTCACAATTGATATTCCAGCCCTCTTCTGATTTTGATTAAATAAACAACCTTGTATCCCTTATAAATACTTCAATCTTACTTGTTTATCTAGAAAAGTTGAACAATATGTCATTTGTCTGTATGATTTACACTTTATGATCATTCATTATTTACCTATTGCAGGTTGAATATTCCTTTCATAAAGACAGTTTCAAACATCTTTTACTACACACTTGAAAATAATATTGTTTTCAATGTTTATGTACTAGAGATATAATTAAGAGGAAAGAAGATAGAACTAAAACTTACATATCGTCCCTGAAATGACACTACTTCATTTGATGATTCCGTGGTGATATCTAGCAATATTCATTACCTTTAAATCCTTCTAACTTCAGATGCCGTTCAGTCATGAGTCATTGCTAATAGACAAGAAGGAGCTGCGTCTTTCCAAGAAAGAGAAGAGAATTGCCAAGCAAAACTATGTGAATCAAAAACGTCAAAATATCAGTTACTCCCGCCCATCCTATACAGCTTTCTATCCTAAAGGGCCAGGTGGTGGGCCGCAACAGGGGCCAGCTATTACCAGGTAAGCAATGCAGAAAAGACCAAACCAAGATTTGGTAGTCAGAATTATTTTGTAGAATAAGAATATAATAAAGCCATTTGTTGTCGAAAGTTCTTTTAATTTTTTATTTTTCAATTTCCAAAATAAAAGAAATCATAAATCAATCAATTTGATAAAATTGCTAATGGTTCATTTTGATAATTTTGATAAAGAAGCAAATTAATGACAGATATGGTATGACGGTGGTTGGGTGAGTGTACAGCAGGAAGGAACTACTAAGCAAGGATCAATAGTCATACCAAAACGTGATGGCTAAGTATTATTTTGTTTTGTTGTTACTATGGTAACGATTAGCATTCCTATTTCAATATCAGCATTGAAATCTTTAAAAGACACTTTTTTGTAAATTTCAGAGTGTATCCCAACCGACCCATTGCTAGTGTAAAACCCATCATCACCACTCCTGTTCCAATGAGACCTAAAGGGATTGGCCCTGAGAGAGTCAACAAAGCTGGGGTCTCTGTCCACAAAGTCATCACAACCACAGGTACAGGAGAAGTCTCCTTTATTGGGCTTAGAAATGCAAGCCCAACATTTCTTTTTATAAAAAGTTTGTGTTGGTCAGAGTGAGAGCAGTTATGGAGAACTCTTATGTTGAAGGCATTTTATTTCTCAGTAGATTGAGCTAAGATCAGTTCAGCCCCTTCTTTCTTTCTCTATTAATGATATTTGTTGTACAAGTCTCTGTAAGACTTGTTATGAATATCTCAATTATTCCTGCAAATGAAACACAATTGAAATCTTGAAAAAATCAACTTTTAATTTTTCAATTTACAATTTCTTAAGAATTTTTTTTTTTTTCTTCAAACGTGAAAAAAAAAACTACTGGTATATTTTGTACTATTTGTTAACCTGAATCACTAAGCTTTAGAATGAAACAATGTCCTATATATGGATTGGTTGTTTTTGTAGATATCATGCTACCAGGATCTAACACAAGTTCAGATGCAGGGGCAGGAGTTTCAGGAAACAAGATCACAGCTGGCCAGCAAATATTCATTATCAAAACACCAAAGGGAGTTTATATCCGTACTAGCTCTGGGAAAATATTTTCCGTAAGGACCAAAATGCCAGAAATAAGCAGCACTACCAAAATCATTGTCAGTACCTCCACAACTACTGCAGCTGCTTCAGTCATGAGTTCCACTATCATCTCACCCACTTCTGCAGGTAATGATTCACAAAGTTTTAATCTTTTTAACACTTTTTTTTTTTATAAAAAAATTATTGATAAACAAGGAATAACTCTCTAATTGTTCAGGGATACTAATTTGTATCATGAAAATTAGTTTTATGCCCCCCACCATTTTATGGCATCCCCTTGCTTCTGCAGGTAATGATTTACAAAGAATTAAGTCTTAATCTTTTTAACACTTTTTTATCAAACAGTTCTATAGAATTATTGATAAACAAGAGAAACTCTTATTGTTCAGGAGTACTAGTTTGTATTATTAAAATTATTTTTATGCGCCTCACCATCTTGTGGGGTCCCCTTGCATTTTGTTTTGAATCAGTGTCATATCTTGAGAACCTGCTTACGGATTAGGATCATATTGTTACATACCTTGTGCAAGTTCATTTACCACCTTTGGTTACCTTAGTCTTATTATAGTAAGATCAAACTTGCTTTGGTAGCTTGTATTTCACATGTGTAGTGAAACCAAAAGCTAGAAAACTTTGGTTACCTTAGTCTTATTATAGTAAGATCAAACTTGCTTTGGTAGCTTGTATTTCACACGTGTAGTGAAACCAAAAGCCAGAAAACTTTGGTTACCTTAGTCTTATTATAGTAAGATCAAACTTGCTTTGGTAGCTTGTATTTCACATGTGTAGTGAAACCAAAAGCTAGAAAACTTTGGTTACCTTAGTCTTATTATAGTAAGATCAAACTTGCTTTGGTAGCTTGTATTTCACATGTGTAGTGAAACCAAAAGCTAGAAAACTTTGGTTACCTTAGTCTTATTATAGTAAGATCAAACTTGCTTTGGTAGCTTGTATTTCACACGTGTAGTGAAACCAAAAGCCAGAAAAGCTAGTAAGAAACTTGCTTTGGTAGCTTGTATTTCACAGTATGAAACCAAAACCTTTGGTTAACATTTCAAACTTGCTTTGGTAGCTTGTATTGCACATGTGTAGTGAGACCAAAAGCTAGAAAACTGAAGATCAACCAACATTTCACTTTTGGTCATATCAGAGAAACTGGATACCATCTGCAAATGTGTCATCATTTAGAAGCATGGCAGTGATTGGTTAGTGTTTATCGACATATGTTACCATAAAAGGAGACTGGTCTGACTATGTAAATGGTTGATGGTCATACTTGCCCCTTATCATAAGATGGTCGTTGTTGAAGTCTACAGGGTCAAAGGTCACTTTTGATATTTTCTTAAATTTTGTCAAGCAGTTATACTTTTATTCATGGTAGTAGGGGCATTCATGTCTTACATATGTTCCTAACTTGAATTGTTTTTAATACTTCTCAATTTCTGTAAAACACTTGTCTTGAATATTTTGTATTTACAATGATCACAGGCTCACGGCCATCCAGTCGGGCAACCATTGTGACACCTAGCCCTGTATCCACTGCTAGTACATCTGGGAATGGTCAGCGGAATGTTTTCAAGCCCCCTGCAATGGCCTCAGCACCGGACACGCCCACAAACATCCTTGCTTCCATTTACTCTCAGTCACAGCAGGTTAATTCGCTACTTAAGCAACAGACTCTAGACAGTGTGACCTCCACACCAACTCCACAAACCAAAGAAATGATGTCAAGTTTATCTGACAAGGTCTCTCTTTCCAACAAACAGGACAAGTCATTATTGTCTAAAAAACGTGACAATACCTTCTTACCAACTACTGAGGAGGAAGACTTCAGAATGAACCATGGGCATAAAGAAAGCTTTTTAACAAGTTCACAAGAAAAGAGCTTTTTGGCTAATTCACAGGAAAAAAGTTTCTTGTCAAATTCAAATGAGAATAGTTTCTTAGCATCTTCCAATGAAGATGACTATCTCCAGACACCACAAGACATGAACTTTGCATCTCCTCCTGTGAGAAAAGGCTTTTTACCAACGTCACAGGATGAAAGCTTTTTGTCTTCACATGAAAAAGGCTTCATGCCAACAACAAAAGAACAGAGCTATATGCCAATTCCCCAGGACAAAGACTTTTTACCTCCTCAAGAAAAGGGCTTTTTACCAACTTCACAGGAAAACAGCTTTTTACTATCTTCACAGGAAAATAGCTTCTTGCCTACCTCACAGAAAAAGGACTTTTTGTCAATGACACATGATAAGGGTTATTTACCACAAGGAAAAAGTAAGTTTTTGTCGTCAGCAAAGGACAAGAACTTCTTGCCTGATTTGTCTGACCCTTTTGGTGATAATAGTGCTTCATCTTCTCCTGGGAGTATGTCATCTGGAAATATGTCATCCCCTGGAGTTTTAAGCCCTGCCACAGTACAATCAATCCAACCATCAGTGCAACATAATCGACCACATGTACAACCAATTTTGCCGCAGGTTCAGAGCCACTCACAGATGACATCTGGTCAGCCCCAGGTTCAACCTATTCAGCCCCAGGTTCAGCCAATTCAACCCCAAGTGCAACAGCAGAATCAGTCACAATCACAACATCATCAACAACAAAGTCAACATCAGGGTCCTGGGCAACAGAATCAACAGGATCATGGTCAACACCTTGGAGATGTTGGTAGTGATAGTAACAATAGAACACACAAACAATCTAAGCTCGCAAAAATTGCACCCAGTATGTCTGGCATGCCACAGCAGCGGGCCCCTCAGAATCCTATGTCAAACTTTTACTTACCCCCACAGATCCCTTATCAGCCCTATAACATGGGCCAGGGAAATATGTCTCAGGGCATGGGCATGGGCATGAATCCGTACATGAACAACCAAATGCTAATGCCGCATAGCAATCCCATGTCAAATGACAATGGTATGTCTTCTCAATCTCAACAGCAAAATCAGCAATATTTCAACATGCCATCATCTACTTCATCCTCACTTACAACAATGGGATCAGGTCAAAATTCTGATATGTCTACCATGGATAAATCAAACTTTGGCTCCACAATACAACAGCAGTCTTCTTCCTCCTCTATGATGTCGTCAATGCCCTCAAACATGATGCAGGGGTTTCCATTCACTCCTTACCCATTCCCTATGCCGTCACCATACCTCATGCAGAATGGCATGCCCGGAAACTCGCCCTACATGCACATGCAGGGCCAGTATGACTATGGACAGATGGGAGGAAACTACAACATGCCCAGTTATAACCCAAGTGGGAACATGAACATGGCAGCTAACAACCAGACAGGTAGCTGGGACCATAGCTCGAATATTGACCAGAGTGGCAATACCCCTCAGTGTTAAGGCAGGTTTTATTGAGATAAGGTCAGGGTGCTCCTAGCATGATATCTGAAACAGTAACGTCAATTGGATTACTTGTACTGTCATGTTATAGGTTCACTTCAATTTTAATTCGTCCATTTTTTTCCATATGGAAATTATTTTCGACTTTCAACCTTGCAAATATGTTGAAGCCTTGGCATGAATTTAATCGTTAATTTGATGATGACTTCAGTGTAAATGAAATAAGAAGAACCAAATTCAAAATTCTTCAGCCGGTACATAACTATCATGCTTTGAACACCATGGTCCAATTCGAAAACTGTTAACGTAGATTTGCCGACTCAAACATTTTATCTACTCTGAAGAAATATGGGAAGGTGGATAAAATCGTCTTCTCAATGGATTGATTTTGCATCAGAAGTGATTCTATATGTTAGCTTGGATGAAAATTAGTTTTTAAATGTGCAAATTCTAGGAACAAGTTGATTGGAAGGTGAAAGATCAAAATGCTGCTATGTATTAGTCTGCAGACTAGTCCCATGAAGGGTGTTGCACTGTGACAACATGGACAAACATACCTCAGTGCTCATTGTTTATTTACTGACTCAGAATTGGAAGAAAACATATAGATATATATATATATATATAAAACTGAAATGACAATATTATCATTCCAATACAATTGGAAATTGAATCCATTATTGTGTTGTTTTGTATGTTTAACTGTTGAGTTCTCATGTAGATTTAGAGGTTGATGAATGACTTCCACTTAACATTATTCATATGCTGCACTTGTTCTCCCATCTCATGGCATTGGATAATGAATATTCATAGACTTTATGAATATGTATGAAAATCATGGATAATGTGACATTGCATATTTATTAGGATTCTTAGGCAATTCTTTTTCACTTACATAAATTTCACTCTTTGTTGTGAGAAAACTCAAATATCAACTTGTTTTGCAATTATAGTATAAAATGATTTGATGCATTGAAGCAAAACCGTATTGTATCAAAATAAACATATTTTGCTAATTATTTGTGTTATTTCATGGGCTAGTATCATGAATATTCATGATACACTTCAAAGTAATATTATTACGAAGTAATAAGCTTCTATTCTGATACAGGGTTCCCTGCACATGCTTGTATGATGTTGTTAGTCTCACCGAAATATTTATCTTTGTTTGAATGCAATGTGTACTCTTTGTATTTGTACAATTTATATTTTAATCAACATTTCTATGTGTGTAACATGTAAATTATTATTCATTGTGAATATTGTGATCATTTAGGTAGATACTATTTTGTCATTTTAAGACAATTGACATTTTTTAATGATAAATGTTTGTAAATGTGTGCTGAATTTTTTGTCTGTGTTTCTTTCTGTTTCTCCGTCCGTCCCGTCGTTTTGCAGTTGATAGGTTACTAAGAAACATTCTTTTTCTCTAGAAATAACATAGGACCATTTTGATCTATAGTATTCAACCTGAAAATTATAACTATTTGGTAAATGTTACTTACCAAATTGATTAAAGAGTTAAAAGATTAAAGTGACAAGCTAAAATCTTTGTAAACATGTATATACCAAATCTTGGAAAATAGTATGGGGCTTTATATTATACTGTATACTCATAATTAGTCACTTTATCTAAAACACCTGAATTCTTTTCTTGAGAACAATAACATTCTTATATGACGTGGAAAATGACCTTTTTAGGCTGCTGAGAACCGAGGTTGTTACTGACTTGATTTTAAACACTTCCCATTAAGGTCTACATGATTGCAAATGAAATACAAAATCAAATGTGTTTTATTTTAAACTAAACTTAGAAATCAACTATCAATTGAAAATTTGAATTTATTGTATAGTGAGTCTTAAACAGATTTCCATATTTTTTTCTTCGTTTCTCTTTGTTTAATCTGAAATGTAAGTGGTTGTGACACTGATAATTATCAAAGGAATCCTTATGTAAAATTCATTGTGTTACTGATGTAATGAAACATATAAGGAAAATGTGAGACGTTTGAGTCAAAATAAATTTTATATTAACTTGTAGCTTTTGAAATAATTAACATGTATGCACAAGGAACAATGCAACTACCTGATAACTGCTATAGTTGAGGTCCGATTTACGTGAGGTCCAGTTTAGTTGAGGTCCAATTTAGTTAAGGTCCAGGTGATTAGAGTGTTTGACTTGGATTGTTCTGAGCCTCTTTTGCAGGCCAATGCAGACCTCCCCATCTTTCTTTGGTTTTCAAAATCGTTTTAGGTGTAAGGCTTGCCTCTATATAAGGACTTAGGCCCATGGACTTGTTTCTTAGAGCAAGGCCACTGGGTTTGTGTCAATACCAGGACAAGGGCCCAAAGTCAAGGCCACTGGGCTTGTCTCAATATAGGAAGAAGCCCTGGGCTTGTCTCAAAACAAGGACCAGGCCGCTGGGCTTAAAAAGTTCTTGTCTCAATACAAGAGATGCTATCTATGTCTTATAAGTAATGGGAAAATAGGGAGGCGGGGGGTATAAGTTTATGTTACGGTGAGTGTTGATCCCTTCGCACTTTCTACACTTTATTTTTATCTTATCCGGGCACTATATCCTACATTATTTGTCACTGAAACCTCATACTTGATGAAGTTGTATGTCATTTACCAAAATAGTTCAAGATGCCCTATTTTTATACCTACTTTAAAGAAAATGTTTAATGAGGATTACTTTCCTATCGTACTTGTTGTTTGAATGTTATGCATTAGGGATGGATTCACCAAGGGAAGGTGGTGCATACCAAATGAGGATCACTGTACTGACATTCATAATAACATTTGACCGACAGCAAAAGAAGTTTGGGGTTCTATTTCTTACACTTCTTGTCACTGGAACTTCATACTTAGGATATCAGGGTCAACTGAAGTGAGGCAACGTGTGATTTATCAAAAGCAGGTCACTTTGACCTACATTTAGACCATTAATAATATAATCTAGGGATATACCATCAATCCAAATAAATGATCTTGCTTTTTCAAATTGTTGATGTCACTTTGAACTTCTTACATTACCTACTAAATTAATAATACTGAATTCTATCACATTTATACTATAGGATGCAAGTAAATATTGAACATTAGTGGGCTACATTGTCACCAGATGAGTTTTGATTATCGAACAGCGTAACTTTCCAGTATACACCAAGCAGATTTATTTGTAGTAGTTACATCAACACCATTCATTATCTAATACAGTAGGGGTATCAAACATTCAACTTCTAGACAATGTTCTTTCTCAAGTTCATCATCTGTGCATTCTTGGTTGTAATTTCACATTTGGGACTTTCATCAATAGTTTTCATAAAACTGCAGATAGCAGGTGTAAACAGCAAATAAAACCATCAAATTTAGTGTTTAGGCCATTAAATACAAAGGGTAAGACTGACCTACAGTCATCAAAATTTCTCATTATTTGCCATTCTGTAGGACTTTTGAAATTATAAATTTCCACTGATGGTATTCACATCAGACTTGTCTGAAATGATCCCCAGATTTTGAGCAAGTACAATATACATTATGGCCGTCATCTCTAAAACTACATTTGAAGTTTTTTCCGAAGTTCCATTGATGCATTTGAGTTGAAAATAGGGAGAGGTAGAGAACAACATGTTAAATTTGGCCTTTTCAAAACTAATGGACATGATAGCTATGGGATGACCATTTTGTAACATGTTTAGGCAATCATATTTTCCCCCAGACATCACCACCTTAAAACTTCCTGATATGTTCCACTTCAAATGCTCTTTATTTAGTGTTATTTTTCTGGTCGGTCGAAAATGCAGTTTGGTCATCATTGCCTCCATCATAAAAAAGCATACTAAACTTCTGTTCAACTTCTCTCATTGAGCTGAAAATTTGTAACAATGATATGGATAGAGCTGATCAAGTGTTGTTATTTTTTAAACTCATTAAAACTTTTGACTTTTGATGTGTCTATTTTGAATACAATTCCAGAATCGTGCTTTTCTTTAACAACACTATTTTAAACTTCATCTCAAGTTCTTTCTGTAGGAACAAACTGGAACTTAATGCACAGATTCGTAGATGATCTGAACAAAGTGTTGTTACTTTTTGGGTTTGTACAAAAACAATATGGCCCCCATGATTGCCATATTGAAAAGCATATTGTAAACTTATCCAGTTTGACTGAGCTAAATTGGTTAGGCTGTGAAGGAAAGGAAGCTAACAGTTGATTTATATTTTAGACATCGTCAATACTACCAACATGGCAGCCACAGAGACCATTTTCTAATATGATTCATAATTGCACAATCATGGTTTTCCCGAAAAACACCTTTTATGTTTTGGACCAAGTTTTGTTTTTTTCAGGCAGGTCTGAAAATACAAAATTGCAGCCATCTTGAAAAAATCATTGTAAGCTTTCGTTTCAGTCCACTAGTACTATTGAGCTAAAATTTTGTTGAATTTCAAGAAACTGATATAAGTGTTGTACTTCATTACATTTACTGCTAAAATTCTGAGTTTTTAATCAGTCAATAATTGTTTCCTCTACCACTTAACTATAGTAACATACTCTTAGATCATTTACCCGGTAAATGTCTTTGTAGATGACTGACTGTGAAGGCCAAAGGCCTCTCATGATTGGCTGTAGGGATGCAGGACTGTTGGGTTTTGTCATCCTGTGCAAATCTGAATATTTATGTTTAGTTTTGATATTGGTATTTCTATATTGCCATCTCTTTGCAAAGAATATACCATGACAGATTAACTTTTATGATGAAGCAGAAAGATTAAGCTCAAACATTGAAAAAAAAAAAAAAATGTAAATGAAATCACTTAGCCAATACTTTTAAATGTTTAATGCATTTGATCTCAGATAACAGCAATTACCGCCCCAATGGATGAGTCCTAGTTTTGTTATAAGAAACTATTTTCTTTCAAAATAGAAAACTGTGGATATTGGTGTTTTAAAACTTCCTTTTTATTTCTTTCGTGTTTGTTGCTATGTGTGGTAGTTTTTCACTGTTTATGATGAATTCTAGAAATTGTGAGCTCAAAAGTGATAATAAAATGGCTCAAGGAGCAATCCATGGATGTAATATTGCTAGATTAGGTTTTTTTCTTTTCTTAATTTCTGTTATGGTAATGTTTGCCATTTTCAATATAGATGAGACAGGTTGCTTACAAATTTTGTGTATTTTTACAGATTAGATGCTTGTCATCACATACTTTTTCATTTAATTTGAAATCAAATGATATTCAACCAGCAATTGGTGAATTTCAGTGATGACCTAAATGAGTTGATGTTGAAAATTTCATAAATGTGGACATGTGAGAGGGATGTTGTTTCTGTAGGAGGCATATTTCTGTTGCTGCTGTCTGTGTCTTTTCTGTGTTCATATTCAAGCTTTATTTTATGAGGAGTGATGGGCCAAAACCTCCTGCCCAAATATAACCCTCATAGGGGTTCGTTTACACTTCTTGCACTTTAAATGTTTTACATCATAAATTCATCACGTTAGTGTGTTGTCGTCTTCATTTCATGAAAATAAATTTATAGATTAATTCTTGTAAGACTTGTGTCATTTTTATGCCATAAAATGACTTGAAGTAGTGTTACCTCTGGCTGGCATCTCTCATTCTTCCTGTAACCATCATTAACTTTTCCCATAACAGAGAAGGAAAACCTGGGTACTGATATAAGGCCTGTAGCAGTCTCGGATGAAGGTTATGAATATAGATTACCTTGACCCACTTTCAAGGTCAAAGGGGTCAAATGTTTAAAAAGAACATCTTCAAACGTCTTCATTAACCAAGAATCAAAATTGCAGTTATTCAATGGATCAATCTAAAATCCAATATGGCCGCCAGGGTCACCATTTCGAAAAACAATGATGGTGACTTACAGATGATCTGCATTCTGTGACATGCATTGAGTTTACTTCACTAGTGTCATTCAATTGCGAAGCCCCTGTCAGCGTCATCAGGTGGTATCCCGCCCTATTAAGAGGGTTCGATCCTAAACCATAACATCCTCCACCTGGTAGATAAGCAGTGATTGCCAGACCACTACTCATCTATGTTAGCTTCCACATCTTGTCGGTGCTATAGCCAGTCATATGACTCTCGGCAGCTTCCGCCAAACGTCTTACAGCCCATCCTTTGTCCCTGTGTTTTGCCTTGGTCTTTTTTTCGAATTTCCTCACAGCCTTCTTTCATGGTAACGTTGACTGCTGTGACAATATCATGAAGGTAGACTTCAGTACTGCCTCCACAAGACAGCTCCACTTTCATCTCTCTAAGACAGAAGAGTTGATCCTCAACTCCTCTTTACATCATTTCCCCTGCTGACCATATTGGCACATTTAAAACTTTTCGTCCAGATCCACTGGTGCTTCAAAGATGAAATTTTTAGGATGTAAAGAACCTGGTCAGTTGAAAAGAACTGTTATTTTTATAACCATAATTAAATGTTCCCAAACTGTTTGATTTGATAAATGTTCACATTACAACTATTTCTGCTAGGGTATTTATACATCCTCATAGACAGATGAACTTGAATGTTTTGGGTCTTTGGTATTTTAATTTACATCCATGCTCTCGCACCTTGCTGATTTCAAAAAGAAATAACCAACATCATCTATATATAAACATCCTACAGCAATAATGCACAAACTATGCCGAGTCTTGATCAGACTGAATAGATGGGTCAAACTCGACCTAACTAGGTAAGTATAACGCCACTTCATAAGATAAATAAAACTCGGTATAACTGTTATATTACTAGATATCTCAAACTCCATATCACTAGATAGTTCAATCTCAATATAACCAGATAAGTCAAACTCTGTATCACCAGATATGTCACACTTAATATCACTTGATAAGTCAAACTCCATATCACTAGATAGTTCAATCTCAATATAACCAGATAAGTCAAACTCTGTATCACCAGATATGTCACACTTAATATCACTTGATAAGTCAAACTCCATATCACTAGATAAGTCAAACTCGATATCACCAGATATGTCAAACTCCATAACACTAGATTTGTCAAACTCCATAACACTAGATATGTCAAACTCAATATTACTAAATATGTCAAACTCGATATTACCAGATATGTCAAACTCAATATCACCAGATGTGTCAAACTCTATATCACTAGATAAGTTAAACCCGATATCACCAGATATATCAAACTCCATATCACTAGATATGTCAAACTCCATATCACTAGATAAGTCAAACTCGATATCACCAGATATGTCAAACTCGATATCACTAGATATGTCAAACTCGATATCACTAGATAAGTCAAACTCGATATCACCAGATATGTCAAACTCGATATCACTAGATATATCAAACTCAATATCACCAGATATGTCAAACTCAATATCACTAGATATGTCAAACTCAATATCACCAGATAAGTCAAACTCGATTTCACCAGATAAGACAAACTCGATATCACCAGATAAGTCAAACTCGATTTCACCAGATAAGACAAACTCGATATCACTAGATAAGTCAAACTTGATATCACCAGATATGTCAAACTCGATTTCACCAGATAAGACAAACTCGATATCACCAGATGTGTCAAACTTGATATCACTAGATAAGTTAAACCCGATATCACCAGATATGTCAAACTCCATATCACTAGATAAGTCAAACTCGATATCACCAGATATGTCAAACTCCATATCACTAGATTTGTCAAACTCCATAACACTAAATATGTCAAACTCGATATCACCAGATATGTCAAACTCAATATCACTAGATATGTCAAACTCCATATCACTAGATAAGTTAAACCTGATATCACCAGATGTATCAAACTCTTTATCACTAGATAAGTCAAACTCGATATCACCAGATATGTCAAACTCAATATCACTAGATATGTCAAACTCAGTATCACTAGATAAGTCAAACTCAATATCACTAGATATGTCAAACTCGATATCACTGGATAAGTTAAACCTGATATCACCAGATGTGTCAAACTCTATATCACTAGATAAGTCAAACTCGATATCACCAGATATGTCAAACTCAATATCACTAGATATGTCAAACTCAGTATCACTAGATAAGTCAAACTCAATATCACTAGATATGTCAAACTCGATATCACTGGATAAGTTAAACCTGATATCACCAGATGTGTCAAACTCTATATCACTAGATAAGTCAAACTCGATATCACCAGATATGTCAAACTCAATATCACTAGATATGTCAAACTTAGTATCACTAGATAAGTCAAACTCAATATCACTAGATATGTCAAACTCGATATCACTAGATAAGTTAAACCTGATATCACCAGATGTGTCAAACTCAATATCACTAGATATGTCAAACTCAGTATCAATAGATAAATCAAACTCGATATCACTAGATATGTCAAACTCAGTATCAATAGATAAATCAAACTCGATATCACTAGATAAGTTCAACCTGATATCACCAGATGTGTCAAACTCTATATCACTAAATAAGTAAAACTCAATATCACCAGATATGTCAAACTCAGTATCACCAGATATGTCAAACTCGATATCACTAGATAAGTTAAACCTGATATCACCAGATGTGTCAAACTCTATATCACTAGATAAGTAAAACTCGATATCACCAGATATGTCAAACTCAATATCACTAGATATGTCAAAATCAGTATCAATAGATAAATCAAACTCGATATCACTAGATATGTCAAACTCGATATCACTAGATAAGTAAAACTCGATATCACCAGATATGTCAAACTCAATATCACTAGATATGTCAAACTCAGTATCAATAGATAAATCAAACTCGATATCACTAGATAAGTCAAACTCGATATCACAGATAGATATTATCACTAGAACTCAATATCACCAGATAAGTCAAACTCGATTTCACCAGATAAGACAAACTCGATATCACGAGATATATCAAACTCAATATCACTTGATAAGTCAAACTTGATATCACCAGATAAGTAAAACTCGATATCACCAGATATGTCAAACTCAATATCATATCACTAGATAAGATAAATCACGAGATATATCACTCAATATCAGATAAGTCAAACTCCATATCACTAGATAAGTTAAACTCGATATCACCAGATATGTCAAACTCAATATCATTAGATATGTCAAACTCCATATCACTAGATAAGTTAAACTCGATATCACCAGATATGTCAAACTCGATATCACTAGATAAAGTTAAACCCGATATCACCAGATATGTCAAACTCCATATCACTAGAAATGTCAAACTCGATATCACTAGATAAATCAAACTCGATATCACCAGATATGTCAAACTGGATATCATTAGATAAGTCAAACTCGATATCACTAGATAAGTCAAACTCAATATCACTAGATATGTCAAACTCGATATCACCACATATGTCAAACTCAATATCATTAGATATTTCAAACTCCATATCACTAGATAAGTTAAACCCGATATAACCAGATAAGTCAAACTCGATTTCACCAGATAAGACAAACTCGATATCACCAGATATGCCAAACTCCATAACACTAGATTTGTCAAACTCCATAACACCAGATATGTCAAACTCCATATCACTACATAAGTTAAACCCGATATCACCAGATATGTCAAACTCTATATACTAGATAAGTCAAACTCGATATCACCAGATATGTCAAACTCGATATCACTAGATAAAGTTAAAGCCGATATCATCAGATATGTCAAACTCAATATCATTAAATATGTCAAACTCAATATCACTTGATAAGTCAAACTCGATATCACCAGATATGCCAAACTCCATAACACTAGATTTGTCAAACTCCATAACACCAGATATGTCAAACTCCATATCACTACATAAGTTAAACCCCATATCACCAGATATGTCAAACTCTATATACTAGATAAGTCAAACTCGATATCACCAGATATGTCAAACTCGATATCACTAGATAAAGTTAAAGCCGATATCATCAGATATGTCAAACTCAATATCATTAAATATGTCAAACTCGATATCAAAAGATAAGTTAAACCTGATATCACCAGATGTGTCAAACTCTATATCACTAGATAAGTCAAACTCGATATCACCAGATATGTCAAACTCAATATCACTAGATATGTCAAATTGGATATCACCAGATATGTCAAACTCGATATCACTAGATAAAGTTAAAGCCGATATCATCAGATATGTCAAACTCAATATCATTAAATATGTCAAACTCGATATCAAAAGGTAAGTTAAACCTGATATCACCAGATGTGTCAAACTCTATATCACTAGATAAGTCAAACTCGATATCACCAGATATGTCAAACTCAATATCACTAGATATGTCAAACTCAGTATCACTAGATAAGTCAAACTCGATATCACCAGATATGTCAAACTCGATATCACTAGATAAAGTTAAAGCCGATATCATCAGATATGTCAAACTCAATATCATTAAATATGTCAAACTCGATATCAAAAGATAAGTTAAACCTGATATCACCAGATGTGTCAAACTCTATATCACTAGATAAGTCAAACTCGATATCACCAGATATGTCAAACTCAATATCACTAGATATGTCAAACTCAGTATCACTAGATAAGTCAAACTCAATATCACTAGATATGTCAAACTCGACATCACTAGATATGTCAAAGTCGATATCACGAGATATGTCAAACTGGATATCACGAGATATGTATAACTGGATATCACGATATATGTATAACTGGATATCACGAGATATGTATAACTGGATATCACGAGATATGTATGACTGGATATCACGAGATATGTAACTGGATATCACACGAGATATGTATAACTGGATATCACGAGATATGTATAACTGGATATCACGATATATGTATAACTGGATATCACGAGATATGTATAACTGGATATCACGAGATATGTATGACTGGATATCACGAGATATGTATAACTGGATATCACGAGATATGTATAACTGGATATCACGATATATGTATAACTGGATATCACGAGATATGTATAACTGGATATCACGATATATGTATGACTGGATATCACGAGATATGTATAACTGGATATCACGAGATATGTATAACTGGATATCACGAGATATGTATGACTGGATATCACGAGATATGTATGACTGGATATCACGAGATATGTATGACTGAATATCACTAAATCAAACGTTATTAGAGATATTTATTCCGGTAAGACACATATAAAATAAATCACACAAGGAGATCAGATTTACACAAATTGTTAAAACCGTTGTCGTGTATTGAGAACGCAGTTACAGTTTAATAGATTTTTAAAACATCTATATTTTACAATGCAGTAATGTGAAAAGGTCAGTCAGTTAAAAGTGGAACAAGAACATTCAAATTTGTTTTGCTGAAATCTGTCATATACACAGGTAGAATAGCAGCTTTTACATATGGTCCTTCCTCATCAAGTCAACTTATCGTAATAGTTCAATTTGGCAGCATCCCCCACACCCACGGTCCATATATATTTGCCATTGTCATTCCTTTGAATTTCTACTTCTTCTTCTTTCATAATGTTGGTAAAGTATGTTCATAAATGGTATTTCAGGAAGGTTGTGGTCACTATAACTTACTTGAATAATAGATATAAATATATATAAAAAATGTGTATATATAGATATATATAAACAGTTTACTGTGAAGCTATGGATGAGAGTTCATACTGATTTACCAACAATACATCGCTTACACGTGTCCGTCTCTACAAACATTTACAGGAAGCAGATATTGTTCCGAAATAACGCAGACTGACGGAAAAACCACAAGTACATGTATAAAGATATGAGCAATATACGCACAGTCGTTAGATGTTAGGTGGATATAGTGCCTAGTAGGCCAGTGAGTTAATCAGGAAAAGTTTATGAGATTGGCTTCTTACAATAGATTAGATCAAATACATAGAAAAGGTTAAGTCCAGTGGACATGAATCGCTCACCTGTTCTGCTGCTTACAAAAAGACTTCGTCGATTTGTTAAGTAAATGATCTCATTTGTGTATGCTATACACATATATCATGTACCTATTGGTTTATAATGCATCTGACGTTCCTACCTCGAAAGTGAGCTGAAAAAATATCCATTTGAACAGTGAGTAACCCTTCTTCTCAGCACCCAGAATGCTGCAAGCCCATTAGCAATACCCTGGGCAATTGGGTTGTTGAAAAAAGGTCGTTTAAAGATTGCAACTTTTGAAAGTTTGTCGGGGACATTCATTTCAACAGAGTTGGTAGTCTATCATTCATGCATGCCAGTGGCGTAGCGAGGCCTTCATTCAATTGCATGCTTGGGGGTGCAGGGGCGGCAGCTGAAGGTATTTTGATTACAGCATTGTAATCATTCGAAATTATTAAAAAGACCAGCATATATAAAGATTATAAAGATTTTAATCTCACTTTTCACATTTGTCAAAAACAACTTTACGATACAAAAGATGAGATAAAGAAATATACAACACAATACCAATCTAAAACGTAGATTTAAGGGAAGATTGTCATGAAACATCAAAAAGTTACGAAAAATTTTAAAGTGGTTATCTACCACAAAAAGACATCATTCTGATCCTCCGGTATTGGTTTAAACGAATTGCTAGACTTTGCTGCCGCGAAGTCATCAATGACAGTATCTATGTCAACCTGAGTGTCCCGATGGGTATGGAGGACAGCAAGAGCAGACAGCCGTTCTGTCGTCATTGTTGTCCGGAGGTAGGTCTTAATTCGATCATCGAGCTGAAAGATCGTTCGCTGATGCAGTCGATGTCGGCATTGAGAGAAGTACACTAAAGATATCTAATGTTTGGGTATAACTTGTCCTATCACAGGATTTATATGTGGAATGGCTACCCATCTGGTTCTCCATCGCCGAACTTCCGTCATAAGACGCCTTGTCGGACAGGTCTACTTCAAAGGCATCAAACACTGCGTTGACAATATCGTCAGTGAGTTGCTGAAGATTACGTGGGAAGAGCGTCTCTGCTTTGAATCTACCCTCGCTATCCAATAGCCGTGTCTCCAGCTCTGTGATCAAATGTAAACTGGATATCACGGATATATGTAGTTTGCACGTTGCTGCTGTCGTCCAGTTTGTATAATTCTGCGGCTACGCCGACAGCCTGGTCAAACATCATTCCAAACATATCATCCGCTCATTCATTTCTGAGATAGTCCTGCATTCAGTGGCGGCTTCCATAATGTATACTGACTGTAGATATGGAAAGCGCAACAGTGCCGCTGAGGATGTGTTCAGTAACGACCAGCCCAATGATAAATCGAACCTCAAAATATACCCGCTTTGTCATCTCCGTGGCCTCCAAACTACTAACGATGACACTGAATGAAGCCTTGAACGTGTGTAAGGCATATAGACCATCTCGTTTCGCACAGTGTTCTCAGTTTGGTCCTACTCCATTTGATCTTTGGCGTTTTGGTCACCGAGGAGCTCATTTTTGAAGTACTGCAAGCGCTTTGCTGAATAATCGAAAGCAAAAGCGATATCCTATATGATGGTGGTATCACAGGATGGGAAGATGAATGAACAAGGGCAAGATTTACTGGTCGACTTGCAATGCACATAGGTGGCATGCGGAGCTGTTTGATATACACCGCGAGATGTTATGCCCCATCATACCCCTGAGCCCTTAATTTTGCAATGTCCAGGCCAAAGTTCGAAAAGCTTGTATATTAGGAGCCAATATTTATGCTCTTAACATGTATGAAACACAAAAAGTCTTCTTTAACACATATTTCACCGTTTTCTGTCACACAATTGCTCTTTGGTAGATTTACTGTACAAATTGTTAAAACCGATGTACGGTGACTCCTTATTCGAAGTGTAATTGCTTTGGTGACATGAGACAGTATTTCAATTAATTCGTTTTAAGATGTGTACTTTAACTGCGCGTTATATGATCTTGGACCACAAGATCATACAACAGTCAAAATTGAAAATTGGTCAGTCAGTTAATTGCAATGTTTTGCCGACCACACAGCAGCAACACCTCGATTATCTTTTTCAAATGTTTGTTTTTGTTGACATCTGCTTCATAGAACACAGGTTTTGATACAATTGAGTCATCCTTTCCAGTCATAATATCAATAAAATGATCCGCCGAAATCTGACAGCCATGGTGATGAAATCAACGTAAGTGGAAAGGTTATCCAGTCATCTACTGGAGATCTGAATGGCCTCTCCTTTCCAGACTTATCTCCAAATATGAAGCAGTGCACGCAATATATATTTGCATCCATGGATGTTCTTTCAACCTTTGAATCTTCTCTCGCGGCCATGTACTTTTCTGAAATAAAGACACTGGTATGTAAGTACATGTAAACACAAAAGTACCGAGCATAAGTCAAAAGGGACATTCCGAATACGACATCATCAATATGAAATCACATTCACTGAGAATTAGCTTATATTCTCATTAATACCTAGTATGTGATAAATAATATATATAAAAAATGCAATATGAAACTTATATATTGATAATATATCACAAATCTTTATGCAAGTGGCAGTTACAAATACATGATGTAACAACGTAAAATCATCTATTTGAAAAACGCTTTTAAAATTGCATATATAGTACGGAAGTAGCATGTATTATATCATGAACCATATATGTTTCATCAGACGGGTTCTATATACGTTAACTCACTTTTCTGCTGAATTTTAGTTTCAACTCGTACGTAAAGCCCTTTTCAAAATCCTTAAAGCCCTTTTCAAAATCCTTACAGCCCTTTTCAAAATCCATATAGTTTAGATATGTTTTTTCCTGAATTTAAAATCTAAATTCACCCTTTCTATTTATCTATTGAAATCATATTTTTAAAAAGCTACACAAAAAGAGCATTGATTTTTTTATCGATAAGCGTCCATAATATGAGGAAACTGTATTGTTACAATACATGTAGTTTAGACACATATTTTGTTGTACTTTATGATCCTTAATGAATGCAAAAGATAAAATCATCGTTACCTTTTATTATGCATAGGGTAGTGGAAAAAGAGCTAACAATACCCTTGAATAACAGAAACAATATGTCTTAGGGTAATGGTAACGAAACTGTCAATGAACTGGGATTGCCGGTGACCAGACGGCTTAATCGCTTAAACTGACGGTCTAGTGTTCAGAAGATCCTGAGTTCAATGCTGCATATTTTTGTTCTCTTAATTCCAAGAAGTATTCTTATATGACCCAAATTGTTCATAAGACGAAAAAGAAACAAGTTGGCATATTTAACAAATGGCGAATGCTGTTAAATTGATTATTTGAAACAAAATGTAGAAAACAGCCGTATATTACATTTCAACCACAAACATACCGATATGAGGCACAGAACACTAATACAAACACGCATAAGATTATGTGTTTTTGTGTAACGTGTGTATGCGCATTTTGCCTCCTATCTGTAATATCTCTAATATAGATGTTATAGTATAGACACTTGTAACACAATTCTATTATATTTATTTCTTTGTGATGATATTAGATATATCTAGGCCATTATTTACAGTAATTGTGAAATACTATAGGAATGGGGAAAGACCGGGCTCGAACCCGGAACCTTCTGAACTCTAAAACTCTCATTTGCGAATAACCAATACCTTTGTGAGCCACTGATCCCAGGACTCTAACAAAACTTTCTTCTTTATTTGATCTGTTAACTGTTCGCAAGCTAGGTCAACACAACATGGTCCTTCTTTTAGTTCTTGCTGAAGTTTGACTGGGTCTGATTTGTCATCGGGAAGCGATTCGGCTATATTTGACGAAGACTCTTCAACATCAGACTTTGGAACCTTTTTGAAAAAATCTTCTATCTTTTTCGACATGATCTCGAAAATGTAAGCGCTTGTTAACTTGGTTACGGAAGTGTGTCTGGTATTATAAAAGTAAACTTGAAACCTGGAAAGTTTCCGGAATATATCGTCGCAACGGTATATAAAACAAATCGCGAGAAAAGAATCATGCACATTATGGAAATAGATTAATAAACAAGAAAAAGAAAACATGTTTTCTCGAATTTTATTCTTGCATGCTTGAGCATGCAAGCATGCACGGACGCTACGCCACTGCATGCTACAGGCTCAATAACCGTATCACGGGACTCTCGTCTGCTCAAGTCGAAAGACTGCAATAATGGACGCTAAGCCCGTTAAAATTTGAACAAAACATAAAAAATAGTCCCGGACCTTTTCTGTACTTGGATCTTTTGGTTATGAAGTAGACGGTCGATTAAATATTTTAACACATTTGACCCCGTTGACCTTGAAATTACGTAAATTACACAAGATGGTTCATTTGAACAAACTTGGTAATTCTTCAGCCTAGCATGCTGCTATACCAATATCGTGGCCCTGGGAATATTATTGAGCAGAAGTCATTTAAAGACTTAAAAGAGGGTAAATGTCATTCATTTGCACTAACTTGGTCTCCCAGTATAATACCATCTTGACCCTGGGTGTTGAGAAGAACTGTTTTAAAAGGGGAACATTGACACCAGACTGTAGACAGACGGATAACGGACACCTCAGCAACGCATAAGCTCAATTGTCCTACGGGCAGATGAGCAAATATAAACTCCCGTCATTATCTTATTTTGATGCTCCCAAGCAGGAAAGTAATCAAGTAATCCTGTATCTATTGGTTATAATATTGAAGTCCATTTATTGAAAGAATAGTGACTTTAAAAATGAACGGAACTGACACAGTGCAAGTCTGTCTGATTTCCAAGAGTTACTTCCCTTCGTATGATGAGTTATCTTGACAGTCAATAAGGTAGGCGGATGAATGTGAGCAGAATATTGAATAAAGATAAATATTGTAGATATCACAAAAATAAAGATATTGAATGAAACCGAGTAATGTTAAGTGTTACACCAAAGTTTTCATTCTAGAAGATATACAAATGTATTTGATTTCAGTGTCAACCCGTATCAGAAAAAAATATTTTTGAAATTTGGGTGTAAACATGTGCTTAAGTTGTGGTTATTTTAGTTCCAACCAAGGTTCTAAATGTCTGTCAATTTTTTGTTCACACCTGGTTACACAATATTACAACAACAGTAGGTGGTAAGTAATAGTTCCGGTTGTTCTAGCACTATATTACAAGTTAATACGAAAATTTCAAATCTCCACAAATACATTTTTTTGTTTTTTGTTTTTTGTTTTTGTTTCAGGTCTGAATAGTTAGTACTGAAGGGAGAAGCACCAAGAGATGATGATCGACCACCGCTCAGAACCCAGTCTCCCAGTACTATATCATATCTTAATCATGTGTCCGGCTACTCACCTGAAACATAACGAATTTTAGCTACCAAAAGGTCCAGTAAGTGCTAACCGAAATGCCATAGAACCATATAGTTAACAACGGTGAACAAGAGTTCGTTTTAACAAGAAATTGGTCAATCTTAGTACAAGATCGATAATTAAATCAGTATGAATACCACATAATCTACTATTGTTAACTCATAACCAACGATACCTATACATTGATTCGGTTCATTAGTGTGTTTGTGGGAAACGAATAATGATATTATAGAAATTAAAAAAACAAAGCGGTAATGAAAGTATTAATAATTAATATATTCCAATATTACTTATTCTTTATAAGGTTTATAGCGTTACACAATAGAATTACCGAAATTGGAAATTCATTCAAATTTAATTCCCTTCTTCAATATGACATCAGATTTATGTCAATAAACCCAGATGGTTACATTGTAGTCACTTCGGATCTCATCCTAAGAACGCGATCTCATTTCGAGAATAAATATCGGCCATCGATCGGTCATTTGAGCGGTTAGCTGTGGCCAAAATTTGGCCAAATTTTAGATATTGTCTGATTTTCGTGAAAATTGGTATATATGTATTAGGTGGCACTCGGAGCAAAATGGCGTAGTCCATTTTTCATTCGATCATCTGAGCGGTCAGCTGTGGTCAAAATTTGGCCAAATTTTAGATATTGTCTGATTTTCGTGAAAATTGGTATATATGTATTAGGTGGCACTCGGAGCAAAATGGCGTAGTCCATTTTTCATTCGATCATCTGAGCGGTCAGCTGTGGTCAAAATTTGGCCAAATTTTAGATATTGTCTGATTTTCGTGAAAATTGGTATATATGTATTAGGTGGCACTCGGAGCAAAATGGCGTAGTCCATTTTTCATTCGATCATCTGAGCGGTCAGCTGTGGTCAAAATTTGGCCAAATTTTAGATATTTGTAATGGTCCCCATTACAATTAGTGCTTGTTGTTTCCGGATCCAGGCACGTACCCTCATGTACTAACGTGAACGGAACTAGCTGTGTTCCTTCAAGCTCTGGCCTCGACGTTTTCTCCTACAGCACAAAATGATTAAAGAAGAGAAAAACTCGTTACTAAGGTAATAGAATAGTTTAATTGTTTATATAGATACAGTATAAGTCGACTCGATCGTAGGGAAACCTTGAGTTATCAGAGTATTGATTTAAACAAGTTCGAATGCTTAGTGTGAAGTTTGACTGGAACCGACGGAATACTTCAAATTAAACGGGGTCTTCTAGTAATACGAGTTTGAGATAACGAGGTTCGAGTTTACATCAACATGTCGATAAAGTAAATAGATGTGACAAAGACAATATCAGTTTGATAATTTGTAATGTATATTGATACGTTTACTAAGAAATCGTTGGATTGACCAACACAAGCATATGACCTCGATACGCCCTGTTTCATTTAAGTTGCCCCCCCCCCCCCCCCCCCCCCCCCCCCCCACAACATCATAAGATCCCCGTTCACACAATGGTCAACACTGACTCGTCTTCCTATTCTTTGTAACCATGGTTACATGTGTTGTATATATTGTAATACTATCTTATCTGATGTGGATTTTGAAAAGCCGTTGATTGTTCTTAAATATTCGAGAAAGAAAAAATGTCCATTATAGCATTTGCTTTCGTATCTATTATAAATAACATTTGCTTTCCCACTTCAAAATTTACCATGCCCCCTTTCAAAATTAAAGATAGACTTTAATCTCTTGTTTGAATGTACCTTTCCAGGAAAAGTGTAGGACCATGACGTTACAAGCATGGACCTGTGAGCTATGATTTAATAGGTATCTGATTTCTATGCTGAGTTTGGAATAGAATATCTTCCCACAGCCTACTAGCCTACAAACAAGGATAAACCGTATCTCTGTCTTGACCCACTTGTATCGAAGTAAGTGGTATATAAAACATAAAAACGGATTCAATTTCTCTGTTGGATTTATTGGATGTGTTTTCTGTAAAATAATAATATCCCCCAGTACAAAACACAACAGAGGACAACTTACAACCCAGCTATTTTTGTTAAGCATGTTGACATGAACTGATCTAGACCAATTTAACTTGTTTTTCCAACATTTAAGGACTAGTTGAAAAAATATTTACATGATATATCTTGAATTTAGGCAGAATTTACAACACAATATCTGGATTCGTCTCCTGGTGTGATCCCTCACCGGTCAACATGCCTGAAGTTTCTGTTAAAGCGCCATCGGCTGACTTCATTACCGTGGTGGTCTTTGATGTACGTCCAAATCCATGGCTTCCCAATAACACGGCACGCCTTATAAAAATACATGCAGATGACACTGACAGAACAAAAATTGCCGAACCACTGAGAACAATCTTTGCAACGACCGGTGACAAAAGCGGGTTACCTGTCGAAAATAAAACTATTTTTTCAAAGTATATCTAATGAAGTCATAATTATTGCATACATCATAGTAACGTGCAATGTAAAGGAGTCTATCTCTAAACACGATCTTACGAAATTCGTGTACAATACACCATAATGTTGGGCATGTAAGAACAATTGAAATATGAAATTTTGACATTTTTGAAAGAATAACGTTTTGAAGGAAGCTTATTTTAAAATAGAACACCCTTTGTTTATAAATTGTGAGGTTTTCTAGTATATATTTTCAAAATTCTGAATATGAAAAAGCACTCATCAAATGATCGATATAAACTATCCCCCTCCTTTTGGTGAGGTTATCGAACCTTACTTCACCCACAGTGAAAGCAAATTACTTACGTTCTCCGTCCAATTTATTTGATGAAATGACCATTAAATTGTTTGGTTAGTAGTTAATACATTAATTATTGTATTTAATTTTCCTATCGATTTGTTCTGTCAACGGTCAATATTCGCTCTCCTTACTGATTTAGGGGGTCGGCATTTACTTCTCTATGATATGTTAGATGGAGGTCGATATTTGATATCCACACCAATCAGTTTGGTAAGAGGTCGATATATAATTCCCCTACCGATATATTTAGTTAGAGGTCGATATATAATTCCCCTACCGATATATCTAGTTAGAGGTCGATATATAAATCCCCTACCGATATATTTAGTAAGAGGTCGATATATCTAGTTATAGGTCGATATATTTCCCTACCGATATATATTATAGATATATAACTTTCTTATCGATATATAGGTCGATATATAATTCCCCTACCGATATATTTAGTTATAGGTCGATATATAACTTTCTTATCGATATATCTAGTTAGAGGTCGATATATAATTCCCCTACCGATATATTTAGTAAGAGGTCGATTTTAATTTCCCTACCGATATATCTAGTTATAGGTCGATATATAATTCCCCTACCGATATATTCAGTTATAGGTCGATATATAACTTTCTTATCGATATATTTAGTTAGAGGTCGATATATAATTCCCCTACCGATATATTTAGTTATAGGTCGATATATAACTTTCTTATCGATATATTTAGTTAGAGGTCGATATATAACTTTCTTATCGATATATTTAGTTAGAGGTCGATATATAATTCCCCTACCGATATATCTAGTAAGAGGTCGATGTATAATTCCCCTACCGATACATTTAGTTAAAAGTCGACGAAATTTACGTAACCATTTCTTCATATTAACGTCGTTTCTAGAAGTGACATACTGACATCGTGACTAAATGTGACTTATTGACATCGTGACTAGATGTGATTTATTGGCATCATAACAAGACATCATATATTGATGTCGTAACTAGATAGGACATATTGACGTCGTGGCTAGAAGGTACATATTGACGTCGTGACTAGATATGACATATTGACGTCATGACTAGATGTTACTTATTGACGTTGTAACTAGATGTGACATATTGACGTCGTGACTAGAAGTTACATACTGACGTCGTGACTAGACGTGACATATTGACGTCGTGACTAGACGTGACATATTGACGTCGTGACTAGACGTGACATATTGACGTTGTGACTAGATGTGACATATTGACGTCGTGACTAGACGTGACATCTTGACGTCGTGACTAGACGTGACATATTGACGTTGTGACTAGAAGTTACATACTGACGTCGTGACTAGAGGTGACATATTGACATCGTGACGACGTGACATACTTATGTATGATGTTGCTAGATGCGATATACATATTTATCATGTTACTAGATGTGACATACATATTTATGATGTTTGCAGATGTGATATACATATTTATAATGTTGCTAGATGTGACATACATATTTATGATGTTTCCAGATGTGATATACATATTTATTATGTTACTAGATGTGACATACATATTTATGATGTTGCTAGATGTGATATACATATTTATGAAGTTAATAGATGTGATATACATATTTACGATGTTACCAGATGCGATATACATATTTATGATGCTACTAGATGTGACATACATATTTATGATGTTACTAGATGTGACATACATATTCATGATGTTACTAGATGTGACATACATATTTATGATGTTTCTATATGTGATATACATATTTATGATGTTAATAGATGTGATATACATATTTATGATGTTAATAGATGTGATTTACATATTAATGATGTTACTACATTCCGTTACTAGAGTGATAGTTTATAATGATACTCCATAGAGTAAGGGTATATTGTGCCCTGAACGGCAGGTTTAGTGTACGATCAGAAGAATACAACACCTGTTTACTTAGCTTGACCTAGGTACTTTCTGGTGAGAGTTGTAGCATACACACTCATCACGTTCGAGACGAGTTGACATATGCCAATTTACAAACACAACAGATAAGACACACTTACGTCGTTCTTTCGACTTCGTTTGATTTACAATGAGTGCTACCATTGATGAAGGTCTCGGCACAAAGGTACAAAAATCAATGTTGACGTTTATACCTTTCTGGGAACAGTATTCCACAGTACTTGTGTTGTGCTGACAAGTAAATTTCTAAAAGTAGAGAGACAGTGATTACGGTGAAATATTTATAAATTCTTGTCAGAAAATATCTCAAGACTACCAATAAATGTAGCTTGGATCATCTAAGTGAATAAATGAAGGTAAACATTATCACTTTACTTTGTATAGAACATTGATATCTCGACACTTATGCGTAAATGTGGGATCGTGGGAAATTTCCTTTGTCGAAAAATCTACTCCAAACACATTTATAGAAAAATATGTAATCGTTTTGTACAAGTATTTGTTATCTAATTACAATAACCTCAAATATCAATGTGGAATTCAATATCCTACTGAAGACATCACATCCAAATTTTCCACACCTGAAGTCCATTTCATGAAGACACTTACTGAACATTTTCCTTCATCATCAGCAGTTTCTTATGTTATGACATGTTGTTTTGATCGTTGTCGGAATTATTCCATCTAGAATTTATTGAAAATGATGTGAATGTGTATTGGTTTTATATTCAATTATGTACTGAGCAACTAAATCTAAACAATTATATCGTGAAACTACCTTTCTTGGTATAATCCCGAGGCCTTCTGTAATTCTCAGCTCAAAATTACAGTCAACTGAAAACTCTGTTGCTTTTGTACAAATAATGCTGTCTTCTTTCGATTGAACAAACCGGACTTCACAACAGCCTTGTGGCTGTTTTTCGTTGTTCCAAGCAACACTGAATTGACTATCATCATTTATGTACAACATTTCTTCACATCTGTCCTGGGCAGAAATCTCTATCAACGTACCTAAAAAGAATAGTTTTGTAATATTAATGGGTGTTTTATGCGCAGGCAGATGATATAATTAATAATTATTGCTAATTTTGAAATTCTGTCAACACATAAAAAATGAAAATGAAATATTTATCTTTTTGAATAGTAGAAACGATCTGATTCATCGAGTTCAGGTAGATTTAATGTCAAGGGGTCAAAGAGATAACCGGGGTGATAGAAATTTCTGCGACAACAGCTGTTTATCATATGGTGTAAACAATTGCCAGAGCCACACCATTTTTCAATGAAAGAAAACAGCAAAATGATATCGGTTGAATCAAAGACGTCGGAAATACATAAATACTAGCATGAACATAAGTTAAGAGCCCAAGGAAATGAACCGTTTTAGACAACATTTTCGTCTTAGTATTTGGCAAAGGATTCATTTATACATGACTTGGAGATATTTGATATAAACTTACCTGATGTCCGGTTAATCAACAGATGGAAAACGATAAATGATATGGAGTGTAGCTTCTGAAACATACTGGTAATGTCTGATGCTCTACTTTACGTTGCCATGTTAAAGGGATAACACAGTGAAGTGATGTCTAGCACATGTTCTGATAAAAGATTTCGCAAGGGATTTGCTTAGAAAAAAAATGTGAGCATTTCTTTTGAATGTCTAAACTTTTTCGTATATAGCCTTCATATGCGGCGGAGTGCGTCGTTGCTGATACATGTACTGTACATTGAACGGGATCTTCAAAATAAAAAAATATATGTATATTACCAACGTGTTGATAAAACTAGAAATCACAATAAAGGTCGATAAAACAAAACATACAAGAAATATTAACCCAGAGACTTGAAAAATGAATGTAGAATAAGACCAGGTGTTCCAAAAAGGTATGGGTCTTTTGCTTCCATGAAGACTACTAAATCAAAGCAGAGTATGTCCATATACAAAATAAAAGAAAGAAATCACCTCGAACACATCAGACTCATATCAACTTAAACAAAACAGAAAAAAAGATAATGACATCTAAAACAATGTCAATGTATATATAAATTCTTTCTTTACAATATCTGTTGAATTAATCTTCATGCATTGGAGGAAATAAAGATATTCAATTCAATTCAATTCATGGTGTTAGAGATGCAGGTAAATGCTCTCCAGATATAGAAACATTGTCATACGGTTATACCATAAAAAAATTGCATTTAAAATTTAGAGAGTTTATACCTGTAAATGACTGGACTTCATTGTGTTTACCTTTCAAAACTGCTTATTTTATGTAAGAATCAACCACCTATTTATAAATAAACCAAGAAACAGGTGCACACTGATATGTTGTGTTCTCCTTTTTGAGAAACCATGAATATATAATTAATATCTATATAATTAAGTATGCATAAAATAAGACAACCACGGCATAACCTCAGTCTACACTGGACAAAATAACATGATAGAGACAGTATCAATCGCTTAGTACCAGTAACAACACTAGGAGTTTGTTAACTACGATATATAATTTAGGATATTGCTTTAGTTATATATTCTCTACTGTAAAAATCAATCGAAAATCTCGTCCTACAAACAATATAAAAAACAGATAATTGACAAAGTTACCAATAAGTCAATACAGGTACTTATAAAGTAAATACATCACCACGTACATAGCAGTCTTCTTAGTAACTCGTAGAATAATGAGTAATTCCACGGACTTACATACATATATATATTATGGTTTTTCCATTACCTCATTAATTTTAGGTTTCCCCATGACGACATATACAGGGAAGCCATTATCTAAAAGGTTTACAAATGCAATGCACCTGTTGTTTAACCAAGAAATTTGACATTTTATTTATTTTTCTTATCTAATTAGTATCGAAGACACCTATGTAGGTCATTTGTTCTATAATGCTAATGTCAATGTGTGTCATCACATTCTCTAACTGGCCGATCAACAACCAAAGACACCGAAACAAAGTGACAAACAAAGTGTCGTCAGCATTGAACGTCATTCCCAATGATATCGGACTTAATTATACTTCTAACGTGTCGTTGAAGAAAAAACTAAAAGCAAACGGTTTCGTGTCTGGGTCATACTTTCAACGAAATATCAGCAGAATTCAAGTTTATGTGCCGGTTGAACGGTTTTCAACCGGCACATAAACTTGAATTCTGCTGATATTTCGTTTAAATAACGTCAGTCATGAGTGCTAAAACAAAAATCAATGTTTAAAAAATAATATCCTGGCCTCGAGTGCCTGTGGATAATTTCATTTCCCTTCAGTCAATAAATATCCGAAAATGGTCAGTCCGAAATCAAGCTTGTTAATAAATACGCACATTAACATGCGGCTTATTAGCACATGAGAGAGGATTATAAAACTTATGCCAGCAAAATTTTGAGTGAAAAACAAATACTGATGTTCATTGCAATATTGTACACGTGAGTCTGTGAATATTTACGCACTTTTGAGCAGACATAAATAAAAAATGCTTTCCTTTAGAAGGACACCACAGGATCTCCTCGTTAAGTTGATACTTGTCTTAGGCCGTCCGCACAATCGGAGCCAAGATTTGCACTTCTCATGCTTCATCTGAGATTTGGGAAACGGTATGAACACAACACCTCCCTATAATCGCTCGGGGTAGCGAAATCGGTGTTGCAAGTTCCCCAGCAGCAAAGTATCACCATTGTCGGAGAATGTCGGTGTAGCGAAATGTAAACAAAGAGGCGAATACTACCCGCGATCTGATTGGCTAAACCGCGCTGTCAATCAAAAGCTGTCATCGGCCAATTGACATTAACATTACCTAAGGGTTTCCGAATATCCGTTAAAAATAGATAGTCTATGAAAGGCTATAAATAGATCCACGACGTATGACTCATATCTTATCGTACAATGATCCGAATCTGTCGTTTTTTGGGACAAAGGCTGAAGTCGTTTTATTGTTTTTTAAAAAGAATAATAAGAATGATGATGTATGATGTTTCGTTGACAAATTAAAAACAATTAAGTGCTCTGTTAATGAGCAAAAAACATGTTAAACACGTGTCACCTATTGATACTCAACAATTAACTTTACGATTATATTGCCTAATTCTTTTTCTTTTTTCCCCACTCTAAGAATCTAAGAATCGATGGGCCGGGGCAGAAAGACAAAAGTGACTCGCCACTTTTTAATCATTCTTCATCCTCGCCAAAATACAGTTTATATTTTAAGACACCGTCCTTGTATTCTCTATATATGTCATCGGGTTTTCATCTAATTTCTACAGAGGCCCAGTCAAATTAAAAATTTGAATACTCTTTTTAGGAAGCTCGTACGAATGGAAAGTCACAAAGGTCCTCTTTGAGTGTAAATTACAGGAATATTGAGATCTATTCTTCAAGACTTGTTATTTTAAAATTATAAAAAAAATAATACAATTAAAACACATGGACTTAGAGGCGATGAAATCCTACTGATATACCTTATTCATATTTAGAAACGTTGTATTTTTACAGTTACAAGGCGTGGCTATTTGATATATCACACAACGGTTACATTATAGGTATAAATTGTGATTGGCTCAAGAATGCAAAATTACTGGAGTTGTTGTCATAGAAATAAATCAAATGATTTATTTTGTATTTTCAAAAATTAGAAATAAAAATATTTTATATGTTTATTTTGATTTCTCTCCTTATCGTTTGTTGCAATTTATGACATTGAAACTAAACTATCGTCGAAATGATATTCAGAATGGCTGTACAAATTTTTTGGCAGTGAGCAATAGACTGGGGATTTTTGAAATAACAAACAGTGACTGTGTAGTGGGCAATGTCCGGTCTTTGATTTGGGTATGTAAACGGAAATACCGTGTTATTCATAGCGTGCCAAGTTCATATCTTACAATAAAACATAATATTCCTATTTTTAGAATATGACACTAGACTTTGAAAATGACGTAATTAAACCAAGAAACGAAAGAAAAGGAGTGATATTCAATCCATAATTTCCATGAAAATTGTATATTTATGTGTGTGTGTTAACTTTAGTTCTTTGTTACCTTGAGTCGTGTGACTCATTGGTTAAAGCAAACAACACATAGACGATTTACAAACATATAACAATATACAAAAAACACAGAAACAACACAAACCCGGAAAGAGTAAACTAGGCTATCAGTTGCGGTTTTCTCTTAAAATGTAAGCTGCCTTAATATATTTAGACAAGTTTGTTATTTCTTTTGTATTGTTTGCATTTAAGAATTCTATCAGTTTAAACATACTAGGTTTTTTATAATAGTATCTTTTCAAAAATTTTCTTCTGAGGTTCGAATAACAGGGACATTTCAATATAAAATGGAATTCGTCTTCGATATCATTCATATCACAATTAGAACATATTCTTAAATTTCTTGATATATTTTGATATCGGCCTTTTTCTACTTTTAGATTATGAGAAGATAGTCTTATTTTTGTAATTTCTCTCAACAATTCCCTAGGTATTGATTTTTTCAGATAGCTTTGTAAATCATTATCATGATAAAGATGAGTATAAATTTGTCCTTTCGAGGAAGTTCTGATTTTTTCTTTACAATCTTGTCTAAACATATCAAACATTCTTTCTCTGATTATATTATAATGAACATCTGTATTGTTTTCTGACTCCCAAATATAACATAAACCTAGATGATACAGCTCATTTTTTATATTTAAAACCCATTTGTCTTTCTTCTCCAACATATCATCGTAGCATGATTTCAATATGCAATTTTCGGTCTTTTTCAATTTCATCCAGTACTTAATTATACGCAATTTTCTAGATACCATCAGTGGGAACCTACCAAGTTCCAAATAAACCATATTATTACAAGTATTTTTCCGCACACCTAAAAGTCTTTTACAAAACATCATGTGAATTTTTTCAACATCAGGTGCCTTATGAAAACCCCATATTTCTGACCCATAACTCAAAATACTATTAACGTATGTATCAAAGACGGACAATTGGGTTTCAATATTAAAATAATTTTTACGACATACTTCTGTAACTGCAAATAAAGCTTTGCGTCCTTGCTCTGCAATTTTTTGTTGTGTTTTTCTAAAAGTTCCATTGTAATTAATTAACAGACCCAAATAGGTAAATTCATTTACAATTTCTAATTGACAACCGTCATAGTTCCAAATCTCGTCATTTCTCAGAATGCCACCATTTCTAAAAACCATGATTTTTGTTTTACTTGTATTAACAGTTAAATCCCATTTTTTTGTATACGTATTTAAAGAATTAAGCATATCTTGTAACCCTTTCGGCGTCTCCGAAAATATCACCATGTCATCTGCATACATTAATAGAAATCAATTTAAGGTCTGTATTTCAATGGAAGGACAGTTGTCAGTTAAAAAATGCATTTCGCAATCATTTACATAAAGAGAAAACAATATAGGTGATAAGATTTCCCCTTGGAACAATCCGTTTTCACAATCAAAGTAATTAGATAATGAGCCATTATGCTTCACACAACATTTAACTCTACTATACAACGATCTTATTAACTTTAATAATTTTCCATCAATGCCTTCCTTTATTAATTTATACCAAAGATTCTGACGATTAACGAAATCAAACGCTTTAGTATAATCTACAAAGCAGCAGTACAATCGTTTCTTATTTCTCAAAGTACGATTAATTATTGATTGTAATGCAAAAATAGCGTCAACAGTGGAGTGATTCTGCTTGAAGCCAAATTGAGCATCGGTAATTTTACTATATTTTAAGTCAAACGTCACCAGCCTATTATTAATTATAGACGTAAATAGTTTCCCCAGACAACTGACAATAGTAATTCCCCTATAATTATTTACATCATTAGCATCCCCCTTTTTGAACTAAATACTTCCTGTTCGAAATATTTCGGCAAAATGAAAGCGTTGACGTCATCTTGGACTTTAAACACACACAACTGATTATGTGATCTTTAAAGGCCCTAAATAGTAATGTCCGTATCTAGACATGTGTAGCTAGATGTCCACGGATTTAACCCGGACATACTCTGTATTGAAACTTTGCTGGTTTCATTTGTTTATTAACTAATTCATTAAGATGCTTGCACATTCAATCCATGTAATGTATCCCTTGTCACGACCCTAATCAGCTGATCTCGTTGACAAGCCTTTTCTATTTATAAAGACCAACTAATTACAAAGACTTTCGTGTTAATGTTAATAGATATATCATGGAAGCAGTAGAATATAATGTGTCCATTATGTTCTATGATCTGTTTAATGGTCTTATATACCACTTAATCAAAGAAAAGGAGGTCTTTCAGTACAAACTTTTACTTTGTGAGCCGTTTTCAAACTAGATGAATTTCGTAGTGAACATTCTGAATTTTTCACCTGTTATTGTATTAATTTGAATTTTAAACAAAATTCAAATCAGATTTACCAAATTTATATCAACATTATCTATAAACCATAACCAGTCATGATATATATATATCTGTTTCGCAATCCGTGTCGGAAAACCTAGTTTCTGTTTGCATGTTTTTGTTTCGTTTGAAACAATATGAATCAGAATAGGGATAGTCAAAAACTCATTTTGTGACAGTATAATTACGATATACCGCCGGTATTCTTATCAGGAAATTATCAAATAATAAAACACAAAATATTCCGTTTCGGAAAACCGATGACATAATAGTTTCGGTTTCTAAACAATGGAACAAGACTTCCTGTCCACATTATTGCGTCTGTTAAATTTTTTTAGGGTTATTTTACTAGTGTTTTCAATGATAAATATACACCACACATTCTTTAATATCTTTAATCTGCGGTATTACATTCTTTCTCGACTGAAAACATGACATTTATGCTTGGATTAACCAACCAAGTTTTACATGGCGGGTGTCGTCGACGAAGCAGTGTCAGACGCTTATTCTTTTGGGACACCTGGTCAGAATTCCTCCTCTATAACTTTAACATCTTGGCACTTACTGCAAAAACATATATACTGAACAAAATAAGTTAAGGATCATAAACTTGAAACAGTGCAGTTTTACATACAAATAATAATATGATTATATTTTAAATTTTAATGACAGAACATTCATTTTAGTCTTTAATTACACAAAACAAATTCATTTGTGGTAATTGCTACCAAGAGCAGATAACCCTGAGTAACAGCACCCTTGAAATCCAGACAAGTTAATCATGTAGACAAGGAAAACTCATCAAACTGCAATTGGCAGTTTAATAGGCAGTATGACCTCCGTTGACATCAATAACTGCCCTGCAACGTCTGCACATGCTCCTTATTAGTCGTCGGTGGCTGATCTGTGGGATGCGCTGCCATTCCTCTTGCAGAGCAATCATAAGCTGTTGGCGGTTCTGTGGCGGATTAGGTCGAGCTGAAACCCGGCGTTGCAAGGTGTCCCAAGCATGCTCGATAGGGTTCAGATCAGGAGAACGACTTGGCCAGTCCATGCGAACGATTGCTTCACGTTGAAGATAGTCGTTGACCACACGAGCACGGTGAGGACGAGCATTATCATCCATCAGAATAAAATCATGGCCAACAACTCCTGCAATGGGCCTTACTATAGGGTGTAGAATCTCGTCCCTGTATCGAACAGCTGTTAAAGATCCATTGTCTATGATGTAGAGGTCTGTATGGAAGTCAACACTGATCCCTGCCCAAACCATCACTGACCCACCACCAAAGCGATCATGCTGGACAACACAGCAGTCTGCATAGCGCTCTCCTTGGGTTCTCCATACCCTCCTCCTACCGTCATGGAAGTCAACACAAAACCTAGACTCATCTGTGAACATAACATTTCTCCAATGACGTAATTGCCAATTCAAATGAAGTGGCCCATATGTCTGGATTGTCGATGACCTCTGGATAAAATTGGTCGGACTGCTGGTCTTCTAGCTCGTAAATTAGAGGCATGGAGTCTGTTTCTGATTGTCTGGGATGAAATCCTTAGATTTGTTGAAACTGAAGATTCAAGACAGGAGCACTCAAAAACCGCTGACGTCGTGCCGTGATGCAAATGAATCTGTCCTGTCGGGCTGTCGTATAGCGTGGTCGTCCAGATCTGGGGCGTTGACGGACGTTATTTGTCTGTTGATAGCGATTCCATAGCCTACTAATCACGCTCTGAGAAACATGAAGCTGTGCCGCCACATTTCGTTGAGTTTGACCAGCTTGAATTTATAGCTCGCGCGGCTTCCATATCATTTAAATGTCTTCGCATGATTAGTTTTTCAAGTTTTCGTTACAAATTGATTAAATGTTTCCAAATTCAACTTTTTTTAGCTTAGAAGTAACAGAATCAAAACCTGCAAGATTCCTCTGTAGTAATAGACCAGTCAGTTTTTCACACCACCATAGTTAACTAGAGCGGAACGGCAAGACCTTCAGATGCACGTGCTTTCACCTTTGACATGACTTTAGGTACATATTGGAGAAACTACGAGTGCAATTACCGGCAATACATGATTTGAATTTTTAAAGATATTATGGTCACAATTTATGATCCTTAACTTATTTTGTCCAGTATATTTTCGTAGGGCTCAAATTTCATGATTTTTTTAAAGGATGTACTTTTACGTTGACAATTGATTTCGTTATGGGTTTAGCTTACGTAATCAACTAGTGTTATTATTCATGTAAATTTTTGTCTGTTTAAAGTCTCGTGGACATATTCTATAATTCGTGGATTTAGACTACCAACAATCTCAATACAATTCAGAAAATCCCACGAAAATTTATTATTTTACAGTATAGAACATTTCCGTAAAAGAAATAAAGATCAATATATTGGTACACTATGTACATTTCAGTTTGCATTTTCGGACTAAATCAATCATAAAACGAGATAATAACAGTAATGAAAATGAGAGAAAGATGCAGAGCTCTAAGCATGTAATTAATCAATATTGACATCTTACGAAATGTCAGACACCAAAGTCAAGTTTTCATAAGTATCAATAATGATTTTTAGATATCAGGTAATCACGTGGGGCAGTTGCCTAGTGTTTGCTGTGAATTGTCCTTGATCAGAAAACTTTATTCTAAGTTATTTATTACCATGCAGCAAAATTCAGGTACCTCCTCCGGACCTAGGAGATTGAGAAAACAGACACACGTCAAGAGAATCGAATCTTTTGTACAAACGCCAAACAATGAATTATGCTGCGTCAAACGACTCTTTCATCCTTGTAAGAGAAGTCAATGATGCTATGTGTCCGATAGAAATCGTGAGGCGAATGATCAAAAATCAAAATTGGCACAAAAAAAAAAAAAAAAATGTAGATGGGAAGGCATATAAGACCACTCCCCCCTCCCCATCCCACCCCATTCCACCCCGAAATTCAGCTTGATATTTTGATTTCAGGGAACGTCACGTACCAGTAGACCAAACCTCCCAGTGAAAGTCATTGTGATCCATTGGAGAATTAGCAGCTGTATATTCAGACGAGTGATACCAGCAACACATCCTGCAGCAAAGATAACACAAATGCTACATGTATTTCCAATATTTCTTTATTTTTTTTATTTTCAATTTTTATTTATTCATTTATTCATTTATCTATTTATTTCCGATACTTATTTATATAAAATCGATTATAGGAAATGAATGCACAACAAAAACAGACAGGAAATATTTCGAATATGATAATGTAATGTATTTACTGAAAGTAATTATATAATAGAACACATTTTTGCACACTCTTTCTACCACCAAAGTGAATTTAATACTGGCAGATCAATTTGCATGGGCCTGATGTCCGTTACCAACTCAAAAATGTTGTGTATTCTCACACATTAAAGGACATGCTAAACAATATGGTTAATTCCCTGAACACACTTTCTGTTTTCATGGGGAACACACACATGAAGATGGCCATGTCAATAGATCAGTGTTGAGTTCAATGTGTGCTCAATGCATAAAGTGATACTTTCACAATCACTTATTATATAGAGTAATATGATGGAATTTTATCCAATGAAACATTTTCATTCTGCATAACAGCACATCAACAACAACAACAACAATTTTAATTCTTAAATTTAAATATAAGACAGCTGTTAGTATTTTAATCCAATTAAAATTTCATTATAAGTTAAAGACAATTGTTTTAAAGGATAAACTCTTCTCTGCATTATCTTATGTGTGACAAGCAAGGCAATAATAGAGAAGGGAGTTAACTCTTGAATCTAATGAAAGGTACACTGCAAAGTGTAAAAAATGACATATCAGTACAGAGGATTATTGTAATGGTATAATGCTATGGTAAAAAATTTGTTTAACTTTGCCTATTAAGTTTTTTTTTTTAAACAAAACCCATACATGTGAACAGTGCTCCTGTTTTTAACTTGATTAAATCAGCAGAATTTGACACAGACTTCTGCAAAAATATGATCATGAAATATAAGGATATATAAGTGTGTTTAAGGTTCTGTCCAACCACTGGAAAATGTTTCACGAGTTTCTAAATACTGTATTAAGTTTCATATATCACCTAATTTTAGCATCATGCTATAGAGTTTCAACCTACAGATACCAAATCTGCAAAAACTGTCAAGTACAACATGTACTAGGTGATATGTTAACAAAGGACAAGCCAATCTTACCAAACAAAATATTGTCAATGTATTGATGTGTTGATATCACAGATTCCACTCAAAATATTTAATTCACATGTGACAAGGCCATTGTTCGCATACTGTCACTGCATTATACTATTCTCATAAAGAAATACATTATTATAAATATTGTAAAAAAAAATTGAACCCACTAAGGTGAACTGCAAACTAAATCTTACATTTCGTCAGTTAGTCTTACTTCAATATTTTTGACGACATCATGATTTGTATACCATGTACACAAGATGATATTATCACAGTAAAAACAGTGCATTTAAGGAAATACATAACATGTTATATGTCTGATTTATAAAGACGAACAAAATTGTGACACTTTTAAAATGATAATTTAATTATAAAATCAACATATTTGAGGAAAATACACTCACATTTAAACATGAATTGATGTCTGCATGCATTAAAATACATTTACGATTAAAATGAGGATAAGATGAGCATGTAAATTAAATACATTTACTGTCATTATCAAACTTAAATCGTAAAATTAATAAGGAACTCCGTAGTATAAAACCACAAATTACAAGCCTTGCAGTGACCCTGCCATAGTGATTGTACAGCTTATGAAATAAGGGTACAAACAGTACTATTTATGACTTAAGTACATCAAATACAGCAAGGTCACAGTAACAGTTCCATAATGGGCTTACAGTCCACGAAATAAACGAACGTCACGCCAACAGCTTCATTTATGACTTAAGTTCATCAAACAAATGTAGTAATCATATCAAAATAAAAGATATTGTTTGTATGTGTATTTACTTCTTTTTCACAACTTTTAACTACATAATCTAAACATACAGTGACAAGAGGCTAGATGGGCCTGTTCCGCTTCTTTGGCATAAAATGCTTTTTAAAAGTACATTTATATCTCATATCATTGACCTTTAAACTAGCCAATTTATTTGAACTTTGAAAATTAGCATGCTTATTAACCAAGCTTAATATTGCCTTACAGACAAGGTCAGCTCAAAACTATTAACTAATTTTGTTTTCATGGTACCAAAATAATTATTTCTATATGTCAATATTACAAGTAAACTGAACTTTCCATCACACTTCAGGTAAAATTAAGAATCTGAAATCCCAATGAAAATAATTTTAAAATTCAACATATGATATCAAAACCTCCGTGGTTAAAGAAAAAATTACTATTAATATAATAGTTAATAATAAATTAATATAAATTTACTATTCATACTGGTTACTGACCAGATTTTGTTCTTTCATTGTGTCATTGAAAGAGAATCTCAGTTTGGCCAATGGCATATCTAAAAATAAATTTCTTTTCCAATAATAAGGTTCTCATAAAAACTTCAAAATAGATTTTTTTTCAGGATTTAAAAGGGAGTTTTTACTTGCAAGAAATAACAGACAAATACAAAACTATTGATGAATATACATAAGTGACTGCAGAAAATCCTAAATATAAATTAAGAAATTCATATTAGATGGACTGTAAATACCCTTCTCTAACAATGAGTGAAAAAACAATATCATGTAAAAATCATCACAATTCTATAGCTGTACTGTCCTTTATGAATTACTTTAAAATTGATTCTCTATAAAATATTTTTTTCTAAAACAATTGGGGGAAAAAAAAAGAAAAAAAAACAACAAAAAATGAGATAAGAAAGTTAAAGTTTTGAGTCAAATACATTTTAAAAGAAAAGAAAAAAAATATACATTGGTTATTCCAAAAGTAACTGTACGGTATAATGTATTTGAACACGTGGTATGAATATGATACAACAGGGTAAATTCAGATCTATTAGTAATGTCTTTCATCTTTCTCAAACAATCAACTCTGGAATATCCCTGAATGTAAAATAAATTTATAAAATACATATGCATTCAGAATTACAGAATATGAAAATAGTTTTTGAACAATCTCTTGAGAAATGAATTAAGCAAAAATAAAACATGACTATTATAACAACACTATTATTTCTTTACACGAAGATTTCTGATAATCTATGATAATTTAATCATCAAGATACATGATCTTCTGCTGCATTTATAATAACTGGTTCATCGTCACTTTCGAAGCTATTGTCCGAGTACAGGGGATATCTGTGAAAACCTTGAAACCACGAACACCTGTAATGTTTTCTAATGTCCTTTACTTCTCTTATAAAAAGTGGAAATATGCATACACCTGTCAGGAATGTCTGCAAAGAAAAGAAAGAATTACACTGTAGCAAAAAAAAAAAAAAAAAAAAAAAAAAAAAAAAAAACCAAAAAAAAACCAGAAAAATAATTCAAATCATTAAACTTGATTATAATGATTCAATTTCTTCTGATCTTTTTATCTATTTCAGAAGTTTGGTGTTATTTTCATTTTATTCATTTTTGATTACATTGCACATTTTTCTTATTTATTGCCCTTCAGACCATTTTGAAGATAACAGCATCATTCCTTCAATTTCAATCTATGAGTTTTATTCTGTTAAAGATTGAGTAAGCGTTTGTGTCTTTATACATTTATTATAACCAACAGTCTGGAGTGGTGGGGATAGTGATGCTGCTGGGGGTGGAGGTGGGAAAACCAAGGGTGATCAGAGGGCAGGTTTTAGAGGGCAGGTATAGGTGCCTTACTTACCATTATCATGAAGAAGATAAATACAGGAACCCAGTTACCATTGGCAGTTTTTTGTATGGCTGGCACAAGTAACTGTGGATATAAATAAACAAATGTCAGTTATGACTCAAATATTATTTTAAAGGCTTTCTTTCCATTTAACACACCTTAATGCGACAGAGTAATATTTTTGATCAAGGGACACCAGTTCAGAACACTAAAGCTTTCAATCATTTCAAAATTATTCCCAATCGCCCATGATGACAATACATATATATTTGTATTTCATGCAAGATCCACTAACAATATAAAAATACATATTTTTTATTTTGAAATTTTCAATACAATTATTCATAATTGTGATTTTTAGAGTATGCTTATTCCTTGTCATCGAGGGAAAAATATTCAGAGTATTCCACCTTCAGGAGTGTAAAAAGTTAAATGTAATTATGAGTTTACATAAAGATTGGCAGAAAGACAAGGACTTCCATCACCATTCTCTGATCTAGATTGATGTGGGAAATACAAGGATTTTGAACTTTTCCCTCATCCTTCTTAAATCTAGACTAATGGGAGAAATATATGGATTTTAAACCTTTCCTTCACTCTTCTCTGATCTTGACTGATTGGAGAAAACAAGGATTTTAAACTTATCCCTCACTCTTCTATAATATTGACTGATGGGAGACAAATTAGGATTTCTGAGGTCTTGAATGTAAAAACTAAAACCCTAGACTTTCCTGACACCCTGTAATCTGACATTATGATTTTCCACTGTGTATTGGATTTTCTGTTTTTCATTGTAGATGTGTGTACTGGAAATCAGAATCATCCTGCTCTTTTTTATGAAAGTTCTGTAAATTGACTGGGCATACAAATCACAGTGCTATACCAGTATAACTAAATGTAGGGTTTACTGCAGTCAATCCTGGAAGAATAATCTTTGCAAAGACATATACTGTTTTGTTTCAATCAGCTTAAACTATATTTTAGATAAGCCATACATCTGATTAGTCTAGTGTTCATATTAGGAACATCATGGAAACTGTGAAGAAGTAATATTCTTTTGTGTAACAAACCTGGCCAATGGCTGCCCCCACACTTCCTGTCCCGTCAATAATGCCGGTTACTGTAGCTAAGGCTTTCTGATTCCCAGCAACTGGACCCTGTCGCCCTGGTAACATAAAGAGTACAAAAATTTTAACTTGAACAGTTCAATCAATAGATAAAAAGAGAACTGACCAGATATACATCGAATATCAACTATTCAACAATTAATACATGTATAAGTAAGATGGAATTTGACATTTTCTTCACTATTTTTCTTCACTAATGTCATTTATGATCATTGCTTCGAGAATCAGTATATATCTGTGATGGTGAGCTGACAAATACAGAGGATTGATCACATTCGAATCTACATTAGATAAGATGAACCATCACTTTCATTTAAATTGTGACACCAAAAAGTTTGTTTTTCTTTCTTATTTCCTAAAATACAAAAAGGTCAGGTATATGCAAACTTTCCTAAAAAACAAAAATTCTCGGACATTTATAGCAGGGAATATGTGGTTGTATGATACTAATATGTTATATAGTATCCTGCTTTGTCATTGTCAATATCTATTTCTCATGTACTGGAGGAAGTCTATGTAAATTCATTTGTATTATCTCATCAACATGACACCGAGACAGTGCAATCTTACCCAGGTCTGCTGCGATTGCTGCACTGATGAGGTTGGAAACACCACCAACAAAGAACCCAACGATCGTCATTAGTAAACCATTTATCGTCAGATTGTTTGGAGATTCTGTGAAACAAATTCAGATACAACTTACAGGACAACATAAGCAAGTTTTCCTTTCTGTTTTTGTGTTTTTTATCACTATATTTACTGCTGATTTAATATTCTTCTTTTCTATCTTAAAACTGTTAATGTAAACAATGAGATTTTCATAAAAACGACCATTAATCCAGACATAGAAATGCTTGTCACTGGAAACGATACTTTTTAGTAACGATAAATGAAAAATATTTTCAGTCTATAACTGATTAAACTTAATGTTTAATGTGTATTTCCGTATATATTTATAAAAATCCAATACGTACGGCTGTATATAAACAAAGATGGTATAGCTAGCACCAGCATAGGTATCACAATTATTGTCCTCTTCTCAAACCGATCCTGTTTAAGAAATTTGATTGAACTTAAAACTTGACGTTAAAAATAATAATAAACAACTATACAACAATATTATTATGTTTCACTAAGTTTTCTTTACTATTTACTATTGCTTAATGAATTTCTTGTAAATTAAAATATATAGGTAAAGCAATTTAATCAGGCACACTGTATTCCATTCCATGAAATATTTCCCAAACACAAATTTGATTGGACAATTGAAATTTAGTCTGAATATGAAATGGTGATACTTACAGATATAACACCAGCGACGGTCCCACCTAAAGCAGAGGATAACATCAATACTGTAGTAGACAGTCACACAGTAAATGAGATCAGAATGTCAAATTTATATCTTTATATATGGTTTATTGGTAATTAAGAAGATGTTTAAAACATATTTGACCCTGTGACTTTGAAAGTGTGTTAAGGTCATTTATATTGACAAACTTGGTAGTCCTTCATCCTAGCATGCTACAGGCCCAATATCAGTACCATGAGCCTTCTAGTTATTGAGAAGAAGTAATTTGAATGGGGAGGTTACGCACGGCACCACAGGTGGTGCACGACGACGGATATAACACAATGGCTATCATTAATCCTGACTCGAAATCCATACCTAAAGTGATACCAATATTGTACCCACATTTATATCCCTAAGAGTAGCAATTCCCGTCAGCAATACTTTAAAATAAAAATCAATAAATATGTACTTGTGACCATTCTTCATTGATATATCCAGTAAATGTATTTAAAATCATAAACAAATATGTCGATGACAAACTAGTATTTCTTATTAGTCTGCATCATTGCAGTAGTTATTGCTTGTTTTTCCTTTTGGTTTCCGGCAGTCATGCCATGAAAAAGTAAACAACACGAAAGATTTACAGTCAACAGACTACAGTGTATTTTGTTTTATGTTTGGTTGCCTAATACTATATATATTCTAACTTTCACCTGTGTACCTGTGTAAACGCAAGGATGAATGTTCGATTGGAAATCACAATAGGGCTCATTAACACAGATATGGCTGATCGTTCACATTAAGTCATTAACACCGGAGCCAGGAAATTTTTACCTGAAACAATGTGATGCCAAAATTTGATGCAAGCGTGTTGGACACCAGTGAGTTTTACAGCAATTACTAACTTTCAAACACATGTGAGCTGAAGATCTTACAGATTTTTAAATCATAAGAGAAAATATAGATCTTCCTGATCATTTCTCCCTTGGGGGCAAAAAACAAGAACAAAATGCTTACCTACTATGCCCCCAATGTCATACCATATTGACACTTTGTCGGCCGTAGACTCCTCCCACGAGAATGAGTTGGCGAGATAGAATGGAAGCCAGAAGAAAAAAGAGTAGTTGACAAGCTTTAGGCATGCGTAGGCCAAGGAATACTGTAAGATAATAAGGTATAAGACATCACATCACATTTTAACACGTTAAAATATATCCAGCCTATCATACAGAGATACAAATGACAATTTTTCTCCAGAAGAATTTCTCAAGGATTATCTTATACTCTTATACTCTTATACTCATTTCTTTTTGTTCCCCTCTCCACTTCCAAAAAACCAGTTTAATAACCTTAAGTCAATATTGTTCAAAATCATGTACAACCTCTATTAAATAGAGTACATATTAGTTAATATAACCCAACGTTGTTGTCACAGAGGAATGGCGTAGTAAAGGGAACATGAAACATACCAGGGCCACTCCTGGTAGACAGATTGCCTCTCTCAGACTCACGGCCTTGTCCGAGTTTGATGAACCACTGCTTATTTTATCATCAGAGCTCGAGCTTAACAATGGTTCTGAGGAAGAAAGAATAGATAATTTTTGTGCTTTAATTCATTTCAACTGCATATTTCCAAGTTAATTACGCTTTTCTTTTCTGGAAAATATCTATTCCTTCCTTTGTCTATAAAAAGTACAAATTATAGCCCTTGTTTTATCTATGCCAAGATTTCAATGTGTATGACTTAAAGAACGAGGATTTTCTCGATAAATCTATTGCATAACTGTTCTGATTAAAGATGCACATCTGTTCTAACTTGTTAACATGTGAAAGAACAATAACATCAGACAAATTCTGTGTTGATAAGGTAAACAAAAATATTTTCCTAGAAACTATATTATGAGAAAATATTCATTACTTGGATCAGTTTAGGAAGAGAACACAACTCTTCTGTGTTCTTAGGTAAATAGCATATTTCTCACCATATAATTTAAAGATAATCCCATCTTATCAGTTATAATATCAGGCCTAGTCCATATTGAGAGATAAAACAGAATCAGAATAAAAAGAAATTCATGTATAAGAAAATGTGCTGCGACAAAATTGTATTATAAATACATCTGTGAGATGAATACCCAATAGAGGATATATAAAGGATATATTCTACCATACTGCAGACAAGGGTTTAAATATTTGGTATAGGTAAGTTAGCAGTTTAACAAGAGAGACTGATCATCCCACAGGTGTTCATCTGGGGAGAGAATGTTATCATGCTGATTTGACACATGCATACCACTCCACTGGATTTTAAACTCAAGAATTACCTGTATACTAAAAAAATTGAAATGGATGGACAACAAACTGATGTTAGAATTCCCATCAACAACCGTTTCTATGTTTTGTCATGCAGTGATATCACAATACCAATGTTATGCTTTCACTTCAGAGCCTTGTACACGGTTCCTAGCCAAAATATCAAAATACTGACATGTTAATTACAAAATGTAAATCTAAAAATCATTGTAATTTCTTATGTTCAGCTGATCATTACGATAAAAAAAGCATCAACCTTTATGTACTTGCTTATTTTAAGATATTTCAATTTCAAAAAACATCTACATTACCACTTACATAGAAAGTTGAAATTATCATCAGTTTTATTCAAAATTATGTAATACTCTTGCTTCGTGATTTGTCTTTGCAGTTTTAATTCTCAATATTTTGGCTGCATCAAAACTAATATCAACTTAAACACGTGCAGATGAAACAGAGACCAAGATGTGGTATGAAATCTGAAGCAAGCATAAATCTTGGCAGCAGGGATATGATACCTTAGTAACAGTAAAGAGTAACATATACCTTCAGACTCGGTTTGGAACTCATGCAAATTTCTGATGTCTGAAAGCAGTTGAAAAACCAAGTCTATACAAGTCTACCTAATACATCTATTAAGAACAAGACCTTTCAAAACGGTCAGAAAGAGCAAATCTAAATAACCCTGTTATTAATGCATAATATGACTTTTGCCAAAGATTAAAAAAAAAGGCCTTCATCCAATATCTTCTACTCTGACAAATTCAATCATGATAAAAAAATGAAAAGACTATATGTGTAACATAAGATTCTGAACACAATCAAAACTTGGATACAAACACTGCAAACCTTTAATGTACCATTCCAAACAAGAAATATTCAACATTTCACAGATTTGGGTAAACAACACTACAAAAGCATTCAATATGCAAAAACTGATAAAGTATCCGTGCAGTGAACACTAAAAACATTGGAAACATTTTCCAAATATTTATAAAACTTACCAGTAAACACCAAACACAGTGGCAAAATCAACAGGTAACTTTCATTTGCTCTATAGAGTATTCATCACTGAGAACCATCAGTTTTATTCATTTATTTTCTAATGTCACTGCACTGAATCCCTTTGGGGTATGGTGAGTTATATTATATAGTGTTAAAATATAAGTGTGTTGTATGGTAGCCATCTCTCAATAAGTAATGAGGTTCTAAATATCACAATAGCATACCAGATTCCACCTGAGTGGCGTTGACACTGCCCGTTCTGTTATATTCCTCCTCAGTCTCCGTAGGTATTTGTTTATTTTCATCTGTCATTGGTAAGCCTACAGGAAAGAAATTGACACAAAACATTATTGCTTTTAGATACAAGACTCAGACTAAAAATGCCTTCTTAGATTTTCATACATTTTAAAACATACAATTAGAGCCAAATTACAGTCAGTATGATATAAACATCAATTCAATGATACAAATAATTGAAATAACTCACACAAAGAAATTAATCTATTTTAAGGAAACTTACCAACATCTTTTGGAGAAGGAACTAATGCAAACAGATTTAGGACACCACCAGCAAACAAGACTGTGGACGGAACTAAGAACGCATACTGAAAGAAAAAGTGATAAGTTAAACTTTATAATTAAAATAACAAAAGATATCAAAAGATAGTGATATCATATGAATAAATGAAACTTCAAGGAAACAATGGTTTCTCACATACTGTGTAGATCATGACATTCCTGTGCTGGTTTTGTTCATGAATGCTGAAAGAAATCGTGATTTTTTTTCATTTAAAGTTGATAAGATTTTTAAATGTTTATAAAAAAATTTAATTGGACATGAAAAGGACGACTTACATCATACCCGTAGTCTAATACGGAGGAAACCATGAGAGCACCAATGATGTTACCAACCGAGGCACAAGCACTCCACAAACCAAGTACAAACCCTCGACTGTCAACAGATAATACAAACTCTGGTTTTTCATATCCTCAAAAGTGTATTATTCTCTATAAACATCACCATTTCCTAATAAAATCAGAATGAAATAAACATTAAATTACATGTAATATATTGTCCTCTCAATATCACACTACAATGAAATATTAATAAATTAGAACTGAATCAACAAAATTTGTGTTAACTGATGCTAATAAATATATATTGTAATTAAACCAGTAATTAATACTGCACAATAAAACTCATCTGCATGATGTTGATCTACAAAAGTATGACTTCGGCCACCGACTAACCTTGACCTTCCAAACCAGTTGCCCATCACAGCAACTACGGTGGGCCATCCCATGGACTGTAGTAGACCGTTGAGGATCCATATCAACACATACATGTACTTGTTATAGAAATGTATCCATTCAAACAGACTCCCAAAGACAAACACCTGAAAAAGGAGCAACATTAGAATGACATATATATCTACATTTTGTATGTTAAGTTTCCGTCATGGGTTTTGCCTCTCAGCCTAAGGAGAGCTACATCAACAATTTCACATTATCAACCCTCAGCACAAAGATCATCAATCACAAAAATCACTATTAGTTCATATTGAAGAAAGCACTTATATAATTATCATCACTATGGTACTTCAATTTGGTCCCAGGTTATCAGGTCAAGTTAGAATACCTCGTACATGTGAATTCTTTCTATTTATACAGAACGGGTAGCTTTTAAAAGTTTTTAAAAACTTAGCTCTTTCACTGGGAGGTTTATTTTTCAAATAAAAAAATATCAAGAAATGTTTCATAAAATGAAGGGGCCATACATATACACAATATATTTAAGGTTAATTAACTCAAATGACTAGTAATTGAAAAATTAAACAAGACAAGCCATATACCTTTTATATTGAAAGACTTACACAGATAGCAGATGAACACATTCCAAAGGATAACACCAGTCTCAAATTGAACCTAAAAACAAAAACAAATATGTACAGAAAAAGCTAATATTCCATCATGTTAACAATATAAAATGTTTAACAAAATAGAACTTAACTACTGATCAGTCAGGAAGTTTTGCAATATGTAAAATATTTTTTCTATCAAATTATCTCCCTTGCATTGTGTTTTCAGCATGTATAAAGAAAAATGTTTGAAACCATAGACTCCAGACTATTAAAACAGTATATATAATATACTTATCACAGAAATCACCATGACATGAAATAATGACAAAATTATTTCAAATATCTATCTATTAAGATACATACCTGTCCCCAAGCATGCCACTAATATAGAGACCCTAAAACAGAAAAGGATGGTAATGGTGAGTGACAGCTAGCCACATTACTTCAGTTCTAATACAATTTCTTATGTATTCAGGTAAGTGATTGCAAAATGAGTAAACAAACAAACACATTTCTCTTTCCTCTTTAATGAAATAAGCTAAACTTTGTGATGTTTTAGAAAAGATTCAACAAACAAGAACACATTTTAATTACAAGTTTCAATTTTGAAAATAAATAAAATGACAATTCCATATTTTGAAGGCAGACTAAATCATGTTCCTTTACAACCTAACAATGGTATATAGTAACATGTCAGTACGGCATACTGATACAATTAAAATATTTAACACTTTGGAGGCTTTAAAAGAACAGGAAGTATTTGATAAGCCTGAAATGGTCACAACACAGAAAACACTGTGTGTATTATCATATCATGCAATTAACACAATCTTGGAATAGCAGAAGCTACAAAGTGACTTAAATCACATACTAAAGCATAAGAGATCATAAATGCTGCATCCAGAACTCCTAAAAACTCAGTATCTTCTCCTTGTTTCTGAAATAGGTGATGGGAATTCCATACCTGAAACAGGCAAAACAAGACATGTTAATTATCAGCATAGGGAGTTGGAAAACAACTAAAATAACTTATACTGTATATATAGAACATAACATACTACTTAGAGTGGAGTAGTTGGCTAATCGTAGAAAACCAAGAAATCTAATCACTTCCAAGACAGTTAATTTGCATTTCCTGTATTTAAATTCTACATGTTTCAATCTGCTATTCCCGATGATGGCTGCATAGCAAACCCAAAAATGTAGATCATAAATGACATTAAAATGAAGATCATAGATGACATAAAATCTTGTAGAACCCATTGACAGCGATTCACCCTTGGAGACATTTGGTGTTTTGGATCACCCATCATATTATATATTACCTGTATATTGTACAAAACAACTAAGGGGAAAGTTACTGGCTGAAGACAGAGATCTTTTTGGACTCACCAGAGTCTAGACTTTCCTGTGGGACAAATTTTGAGAAGCCACTAAATCTTCTAATGATAGGACTCATCGAAAGTTAGGAAATGGTTTTGGACTTGCATGAAAATAAGCTGAAAAAATTGCTGGAAATCATTTTTTTTCAAGGAAAACACAAGGTTTAAGGTTATTACAAAGGAATACATGGAAGTAACTGGAGCCAAGAATGAACTTCAAAAATAGATATATAGTGCATTTTCAAGAAAATAAATGGTGTTTCCTATACAAAAGTATGAAACATGTAGATTCCATACTTTGTATAACCAGTTACAATTTTTAGGCTCCAAATTGGTACTTTGTTATATATATACACAAATGCATAGTATACCACTGAATCTGGTAGCTATGTTGGTACATTGTTGACCTGCGTAACCTCAAGTGAAGATGTGAGGTGAGTGGATAATGGTATCCGAGAGTGGTGGTTTGTGTTTCACAAGAACCTAAGAAAGGACTAGTCTGTGCTTACATGAATGTGTGTATCTTTGGGCAAGACACTTAGCCCTAACTGCTAAGAATGACATGTGATGGGCCTCTTGTATGTTATTCAGTAAGGTAGATGAAGCCAATAGCTACATTAAGGAGGTTTTGCCTTAAAATTACCCTGGTTGTTCATAGATTGTGTAACCCTGGTAAAATACCAGCCACAATTTACCACTCGGCTAGAGAGAACTTCTCTTTAGCTCGATTGGTTGAGTGTCAGACTAGTAAGCCAAGGGTCCCGGGTTCGATTGCTAGCGGAGGCATTGAGATGAAAAATGTCACAATTGAAAAAAAAAAGACAATCTTTGAAAAATAACATAAGCTTATAAACTTACATCATATGGTTGACATGTTTCATTGTTGCATTGTGTCTCATTGTAAGGTGATGGAGTCCATTCCTCTGACACTGTTGTCTTCACATTGCTGAAAGTCTTTCTTGTGGCATGGAAAAATGCATAACTGCAAAATCAAATCTCCAACTTTTAAAATGTTCATCAAATAGTTTATATACTTTTTAGAAGGCCATAACTTAAAACTTTACATAAATAAAGATATATGAAGTGTATCTGCTACAGAAATATTTGTATTCTATATTGTTTTATAATTCATTGTAATTATAATGAAATTATTAGGTAACTTAATTCGTGCCTTTTGCAATTATGTACATCATATCAGAATTTTTTTATTTTACAAAATCAATTAACAACTTAAATGATAATGACACTGTAGGGGTTTCCTTTATTCTTGTTTGCATTGCATCAATGTTTTTACGTTTTGTTACAAAATGTGACATTTATTGGTGAATAATTTTGAAATATGTCTTTATGACATAAAATTTAAAAACTTATATTATAAACATTGATAGAAAGCATCAGTAATATATTCATAGTCGTATATATAAAACATATATGTTATATGAGACATATATGTATGTTATATATGTCTCTGGTTATATACATCATTGTCCGTCTCTGAAACATTGAAAATTAAAATATTTAATTATATAACCCATTTAAATCATATTGTATAACAAAATGTTTTCCAACAGAGAAGCATAATGCATCCTGGTTGTAACAATTAATTAATTGCAATTGAGGGCATATCTCCAGTCGAGTGTGCTATATATAGACAATGCATTGTAGATATACTTCAGTGAAATATCCTGAGGGCAGCGTCTACGTGGTCGTGGCAAATAAATTCAGAGAGCAGTTGTAATTTCCTACCTGAAAAATGTTAGAAGGAAGGTAATTGCATGAAAAACTGTCCACGCCATCGTGATATATCCAAGGTTACAACAGCCTATCGAGTGGATACCGAAGTCACCAAAATCTGATCTGATGAGCTTTAATTATGTCACGTCACTCGTGACAGGACAACTTCACTGAATCAACGCTCACAATCAAGGTCATCTACCACAACTCTTAGCAAAAATAATCAGTACGACGGCATGTTTTCATCTTCTTCTCCCATTCCCACATTGTTGTAAAAGCATGGACAATACTTGCTGATTTTGTCCATTGAGAAGCATACGTTTGCGTAGCTTTAATCACATGATAGCCATCAAAACATCAGCATCTTCGTGAAAAAGACGCTTACTTGAGATACCATACAGAAGCGATTCAAGCATATATGCGATGTTGTTTTCAAACCGGATGTTTATTGATTAGAGGTGAAACGTGACATGTCATAACAAAACAATTAAAGGCTCCAGGCGGGTTTTCTCAAATACAACCTTCCGGGTTAATATGGAGGAAAATGGATGACGAAAGTGTAATCCAGTATGAAAGATCGCTCGGGAAAGGAGCGTATGGATCCGTATTTCTCATCAGGAATGAACTTAACGGTGAACGGGTAGGTAACTCGTATCAGTCATTGACATTACTGTGGTTGTTCAAACAAACTTTGATCATCATCAATTTTCGATTTCGATTTGTTTATAATTATCAAGATCCATTGTTTAACTGTTATTATTTAGAATTATTGTCAAGATTCTATCATAGTTAATTTCAAAATATCCTATATGTGTATTAGTCAGTGATTGTATTGTATGAACTGAATCATTCTGTTAATAAACTGACCCCGAAAAAGCCATAAAGCCTAATTCACAAGTCATGGGTAATTAAGTCGTTAAGCTAACAACCTATTATTCTGAAAAAGACAGTATTTTTAACTATTTGCGATATTTGACATTTTTTTTCTCTTCGAAGTTCACGGTATTACACGAATACACAACTGATATGTAATTTTCGTACATACGTTGTATATATATAGATATCTGGTATACACAATGTAAGTGTGTGTATTGTCTGTTCTTCTGTAGATTTTTGTGGCACACCATGAGATGATTAATACTTCAACCAAATATCATTCATTTATTTGTTAATGGTAAAAGAGGGGTTGAATAATGTTTTGTATTCAGTTGAAATATATGGGAATGATCAAATTATAAACATTTTTTTTGCAGTATGCACTGAAAAGGATAGACTTTCAAGGTAATGAAGAAGAATGTGTGCAAGCAAGACGAGAGGCAGAAATTTTGTCCAAACTAAGTCATGAAAATGTTTTGAAGTACATAGAGTCATTCGAAGATGAGGATACTCTCAACATTGTTACAGAGTTTTGTGAAGGGGGAGACCTGGAAGATTACTTACGACAAAGGAAGGGTAAACAACTTGCAGAGCAACATATCATTTTATGGATTCAACAGGTTATGTCAGGACTGCAGGTGTGTGTATTAACTCATTTAAGGATAATTATTGTGCTGTATGTTAAGTATGTTGGTTTTTAAAATATTATTTTGTATACTGGATTAACTATTTGTAGTCTAATTATCTAATATAAAGATGATTTTACCTTGTCATTACATGGGCAGTGCTTGTGGAAAGTTAGGATTTTGTATCTAATTTTATGTAATTGCTAAGGTGTTTTGATGTCTTAGTATTATACACAATTTGTGATGTATATAGAAGTGATTGATATATATATGTATACAATGAAACCTACCTTCTGAAGATATTTTTTGCATTTGAAAAAATTCATTTGTTTTGTACAAATTTTACATCTCAGGGGTTCATGAATATACATGATTTCAAAGGGTCAAAGGTTTGGATAAATCAGGTTTAAGCTTTTGTAATTTGCATAGATTTGTTACTTAAATCTATATATAGAAATTAATATATAAGTCAGTTGTTATATGTTTATTCAGATAGAAAGTAATATTACAAACATTTTCTTACTGCAGTACATAATTAGGAAATGGAAAAAACGTCATTTGAAATAAATCCCTGTTTATTTTGATTTAAGTACAAAAGTATCTCATTTTTTGCTAAGAATTACATGGATCTAATGAAGGAGATAACATGTTATCGTTCTTGATGAAGCAGGTTGTAATCATATAAGATCATGTCTAGAACTATAACAGTTGATTATGTACATTTTTTATAGGATAAGGATTGGTTTGATAAAATTATTAATGTTTATAATATAGATGTTGAAATTAGATATTTGACTTTCAAGAATATTTTGTTTTGAAATTTGTTATGTTTTATAATTAACAAAGAAGTTACAGGAAATATTTGACACATTTGTGTTAACATGACAAAATGCACATGGGGAAATATTTTGATACAGATGTATTTCTGACATACACATACGATTTTGTACTCTCGATCACTTCCTTAAATATGTATCTTCAGTTTAAATACTGGTAGATGTAAATATGGGGACATTCAGTATGAAATTAAGTAGTATTTCTCTGTCAACTCTAGCATATTTCTTTTATGATCGACGAATAACGCTGTGGAAAACAATTAATTTATTGCTATAATTTGTTGTTTATCAATAATTTGTTCTAAATTGTTGACAAATCAAAAATTTAGGTCTATGAAAGAACAGATGCAAAAAATGTGATAACTTTAGAAAAAAGATTAAAATTGAGAAGGAAACACCTATTGGTCTATGAGAGCAATATTGTGGTAATGTTTGTATGATCACAGGTATATAGTGCAAACTGATAATGCCATTATTGCATGTATGTACACTGTAAAAGAATGCATATAGAATGTTGTGTTTTTATAACCAAAGGTAATACATGCATTTAACTATTTTCCTTTTGAATTCTTCCATGTTTAGTGTTAAATATGTATAAATGTATTTTTTCGTTGCAGTACATACACGAGAAAAAGATTTTGCACAGGGATTTAAAGACTAAAAATCTATTCTTGACAGAAAATCTTAATATCAAAGTTGGAGATTTGGGCATTGCTAAGTAAGTATAAAAAATTGTTGAACATTGATTTTTTTTCATTTTTTTTCTTTTCTTATTTTTTTTCTGTGAAACAAACAAAATATTAATGTTCATAGTCATACTGTGTATATGTATGTAGCATTCTATGACATAAACCTTGTAATTCTCAATAAATATAATTGTAGTTTAAGTGATATCATTCACCTACAAGTATGTAAGTTACTATTGAAGATAAACAACTTTTTTATGTTGTCAGAGTTTTAGAGGGTGAGAAAGCCAAGGCTATGACGTTTGTAGGAACCCTGACCTACATGAGTCCGGAACAGTTTCAACATCAACCATACAACCATAAGGTAGGATTGTGGATAAATTACAGTAGATTACTGAAAAACTTGCTCATTTTTAATATTTATTTGATGTCTCTTGTTTTTATCCTGATAAATAGAGTTTAGGGATTTAGACTTGTATTGCAATGTATAATTAATTATTTTTTAAATTTTAGGATGATATTTAATGACTATTTGTTTCAGGCTGATATCTGGAGTTTTGGATGCTGTGCCTATGAGATGGTAGCATTGCGGAGAGCATTCAATAAACCCTCCTTGTTTCATAATGTACAGGATATCCAAAACGGAAAGGTGGGTTTTAAAGTTTAAATTTTTTTTTGTTTTAACATTTGAAAAAAAAAATGGATGGATATGATATTTCATCTTTTTTATTGTTTTATTTTCAACATGAGTAATAAAATTTCTACCAGTTGTTGGAACAGAATATTGTACAGGAGCAAGCAAGGTAATGTTTTCCAGCATTCAATGCTTTAAATATTTATGTATATCTATCAAATTTTTATTTTTTGTTTTTTTTTAATTTGTCTTTTTTTTCCTCAACAGACTGATGGAAAGACACTCAGTCTCTGATTTGTAAAATACTGACATGTTCCTGCTAATATTGGACTGTAACAGCAATCTTTTCCAACGATTGTCACATGTCTACTCTGATTGAAATCACAAGTGATAGTTAAGAAAAAAAATGGGAGAAATACTGAAAATGCTTAATATCAGTACTACACAGCTAATTAAAATTTTTCTGAATGGTCAGAGTAATCAACTGGTTTGTAACATCAGATGTTTTGTTTACAGTTGCCAGCATTTCCCAGTGGTTACACTGAATCATTGAAGGACCTAGTGTTCTCTATGCTGAAGACAAATCCAAAACACCGCCCCAGTGCAACTAAGTTATTACAGCATGATCTACTACAGGTATGCAAGCTTAAAACCTGAAGAACTTCATCTTAGGCATACTTTACTGAAAATCTTGTCCCAGTGCAACTAGCTTTTACAACATACTCTACGACAGGTGTGTAGTCTTAAAACATGAAAAACTTTCAGCTACAGGTGGCACACCATACTTATGTGTAAATCAGGAAGAGCTGAAACTTTGTTTTGAGATTATATGTACACTACCACAATGGTGTGGTAAATGTACATATAAGTTACACTTCAGATGTTGGGCTTGTACCCAGGTAAGGTTAAAGGTCAACAGCTAGATCTAGATTGCCTATTTCTACATTAACGTCTGCTGTTTGTATAGGTGAGGGGATAAATTTGTAAGAAATAGAGGTTATAAGTCAACACTATGGTAACAGGTCTAGCTTTAAATCATTCCCATAGATGTTTACTTGCCTTATCTGACCTATATAGTGTATTACACAGTGTACCAGACTTGATAGACGAAACTTGATAGAACAAAACAGGTTTTTGTGTTACACAGTATATTAAACATACAAGGATTTCTTTAATCATCACTGCGTTGATAACATAAGGCTTAATGGAAGTGATAATCTCTTGTATTTTACTGGTATATTTGAATTAGATATGTTTTCTGTTGTAAGGATGCTACAAGTTGGAGGATACAAGATGTGGTGGTGTTGTCTGAAATGGAGTCAAAAGGAAAACCCAACAAATCCGCAAGATTACGGAGGAGGAAAGACGTAGCTCAAGGAAAATATGCCAAACCTGACATTCGGATGTCGATGTCCTGGAAAGACATACGAATGGAAATTGACAAACATGAACAGGAGGTGCTCAGTAACGTAATAGATAAACTTGCTCAGGTCACTCTTCAAAACAGTGCTAGTGGATTCATGGATGATACAATGAGAGTTAATGAATCTGAAGAAAATAGTACCATGAGAGTTAATCAGACAGGTACAGGTGATTACGATGACACCATGAGAGTTAATCGGACAGGTACAGGTGATTACGATGACACCATGAGAGTTAGTCGGACAGGTACAGGTAATTACGATGACACCATGAGAGTTAATCAGACAGGTACAGGTTATTACGATGAAACCATGAGAGTTAATCAGACAGGCACAGGTGATTATGTCGACACAATGAGAGTGAACCAATCTTTCTCAGGGGATTATGATAACACAATGAGAGTCAACAGCACATATGAAGGTGATTACGATGACACAATGAGAGTTAATAATACAGGTACGAGCAAATATCGTGAAACCCTAGAGGAAAATGAAAGCAATGATTATGATGATACATTTGTAACAGCACGCTCAGGAAACGATACAATAAACACATTCTTAAGTGATCACTTTGAGGAATTTTACGATGCATCACAAAGTTTATCGTCAACCGTAGCAACAGAGTTAGAAACTCTTTTACGTACAAGCTCTGATTCGTTATCTTCACTGAAAATTAACATGGTATCAAAGGATTTACTAGAGAAACAAGGACCCGATGGTGAGGCTATGAAAGGTAAAGAAGAGGAAGTGCTAGCTAGTCTGGAGGGCACCATAGATTTCTCTAGAAATCCCATCGCAGCAGCCAGAACTATTGTGGAAGGATTGAAGAAAAACCTAACCCCATTCGAAGGTTCTGATGAAGTAGAGACAGCACCACCACAGGTATAGTTATTTATACTAGCAGGACTCTCAATCTGCCAGATTTGGGGCTCTCGATCTGCCAGATTTGGGGCTGATATTTGGCCCCATTCCCAATGCAAAATAGTATCTTTTTTTCCCAATTTAGACCCCAAGTTTTCCCAATTCTAAGGAAAACACCATTATTTTTCCCAATTCAAAGGGCCCCGAGCCCCAGTCCCAAAATGGGGTGTGAGAGCCCTGAGGAGGCAGTTTCTATCAACTATTTCAGTGAGAACTTTTCAGTTTATAATGGTGTTGACTTTAAGTTTATAATCACTGTCTCTAATACAGCTGTAAATCAATTTGTTTCATGTGGGATTCATTGTTATGTTATTATTCGAGGAGATTCAATCATGAACTCAAATCCCTAGCAATTATATGTACCAAAATAAATCTGGATTGCATCCATTTTGACTGGGTTAATGAATTGAAGCCTTGCAGAGTCCATGTCTCTGATTTAGTCATTTCTAGATCAGTGTTCGTGAAATTGTGTACTGTATTCGCGAATATGTCTGAAGAGGTCTGCAAAATAAAGAATTTGGAAATGATTTATGATAGAAAAATGTATATTGATTGTGCAGCCACTGCCCGTGGCTCTTTAGTCACTACAGGTAGTGCTGTTGATTTGATCACACAGACTGTAAAAAAACTCAGCTGTAGATTTTAATAGAGAGAGGTTCATGCTTAGTAAATCATTTATACCTGCACTTACACCTAGAACTCTGAAAATATAATATAGGTTTGTAAAACTTGTAATATAGTTGTACCCTAAAATTTGATGTAATTTTGTCAACATGTTAAAATTTACCTGTAAAATAAATTCCTGGTTCACTTTGTAAAATATAGTAAGAATTCTATTATCAACACTATTAATAAGTAAGGTGACCATGGTACAGTATATTTTTGAGGATTTCATCAAAATTTTATTTACTTTGAACTGTAGACCAACTCTTCTAGTCCTGATGGAGGTAAAAAGAAAAGAAAGAAAGCTAGTTTTCTGGCCAAGAAAGTAGGTAAGGTGTTCTTTCAATTCTTTAAACATAAATATTTATTTGAAACCTTTTTTACTTAGATAAACATGTCTATGATTTGTTTGTTTGTTTTTTTTTTCTTTTTTGATTTAATTTGAAATATATACCCAAAAATTACTCTCATGAGTACTTGTTACATGTTATAACATTTCTGTTTGTATCTCTAATTACTAACTGTGTTTTACAAACAATATCATTATACAGTTACATAATCTGTATTTTTTTTAAAAATTTTATTTGACAGAGAGGAAAAAAAGTGAGACGACCTCACCTGTTGGCAGTTTGACATTTCCTGATTCGGAGGTATGTTGGGATAATTTTTGCACAGTCATCTAGATTTATGGAACTGTTTTATAATTGTACAAATAAAAAAAATTACGTTGTCTTATCTGAAGACTGCACTTTCCCAGTGTATTTAAAATGAAGAATGAGAAAAAAACTTTTTATCATGATAAATTATTCTGATAGCCACAAATATACTACTGGAATTTTTTTAAAAAAATTTCTGTGAATGTTAACGTCTTTCTGACATCATGACTTCATTGTGATCATCAGTCTTCATTGTTATTCTGATGGAGACTTGCTCTGAGCTGAATCATAACTTGTAGCTTATAATAAATAAAGGATTGATCTAACTGTGTCTTTAACTTTGGACTCTGAAGAATAACTTATTATATTGAATGACCAGACACTGCTTATTCAATGACCAGTTACTCCAAGGTTTGGTACTGCTTGTCAGTAGTAGATAGGGAGGTTTATAGAGAGATTCAGGAATGTGTGTAGGTTCTGGTTTTCTGTTAATGATAGTGCTAGATTTTCATGAATTGAAATCTATCACTTGTGAAAAAAAGTCACTTTGAAATGACTTCTAGTATAATTATGATTAAAGACAATTAATGCATTTGTCAGTCTTACAAAGAATTAAAAACAAAATTAACAGTCAAGTTTTTGAAAAAAAAAAAGAATTATTGTGCACTAAATGTGAGTTGACAAGGGACCTTTTTTTACCCTTTTTGTCTTCCCCGAATGACAGACATCATGTAGAAACAAGCAGTTTCACAGGTCTTTCTGTTAATCCAGACTATAAGTAAATAGTGTGACGCTATGAAATAAATCTGGCATGTTAACCTTGGTTCATTTTTCAAAAGCAAGAAATAACAGATTTGCGTTATTGTCCGTGATATACGATATCAATAACTATGGCTCTGGAAAATTGAAATCCTGATCAGTTTCGAGAATTCACTAGCTCCTGTGAAGTGATCCAGAATGAGGACTGAAGGAATCTGCATGAAAGAGATTCCACTGCATGTTGAAGTTTGCATGAAAATGAGTGGTTATTGATCCTTTGACCTTGAACATAGAATTTTGTATATTTGATTTGACCTTGGATAGAAATATACAGCACCTGTTGACCTTGTGACCTTGTACACCCATGCTCAGAAAGCCACTTTCAAGAATGTAAAAGAAGGAGGTGACATGCCAGCAGCAGAAACCATCCCAAAGGAGGAAGAGGATGAACCAGTGGTAATGAGGTAAGTTATTTAATGTAAAGGGCTAGTGGTAATGAGGTAAGTTGTCAGTTTTGCAGCTCACCGGGTATAAAGGACTGTTAGTTATGAGGTAAGTTATATTATTATCCATTATATAGTTCACCTTGTATAAAGGATTGTTAGTAATGAGGTAAGTTATTGTCCATTATATAGTTTACCAGGCGTAAAGGACTGTTGGTAATGAGGTAAGTACCAACCATTTTACAGCTGATCAGGTGTAAAGGATCACTTAGCTTGTATCATGGCATAATGTCTGCTGTTTGTTGTCAACATGCTAATACTATTTGCATAGATCATGTCTAAATATGGTCACAGGCATCTTCTGATAAATGAGACTTCATCCATGGCTGTAAACAATGTAAATGTAGAGACTTTCTCCCCCTGAATTCAGATAGGCATGCTGGTTAGGGGAAATAGAGGCTGGTATTTGAAATGGATTTTGACCCAGTTCGGTTTGCAGTTTCTTTGGTTTAAGTAGACTTGGTTTTATAAATGGAACATTTTGCCAATGGGAGGTAGAGATATTTAACCCATTGGGGAAATGAAGGTAATCTGCTCAAGTGATTTTGACCAGATTTGGTCTTTAGCATCCTTAAGTGAAAGAGACACATTCCTATTTGAATATAGAACCTGGTTTTCTTTGAAATAGACTGGCATGACTGAATGAAAATAGAAAAAATGTTGCTTCAATGTATAAGCCCCAATTTAGGAATTGTACAAGGTTTGGTACTGGGAGACTGGTTTAATGATGGGAAATTCTCTTTTATATGCTGTAAGATTACTTATTTTGTTGAGTAATTTATTTTCTTTGATTTTATTAGTACTCATAATCGGCTTATATGTCCATAAACAGATAAAACTGTATAAGTAGTTTTATGGAGCTATATTTATCAATAAAATCGAATGTCACCGAAAAAATTGTTTTCTTGAAAAAAACCCACAAAATTGAATTCAACAAAAATTGATGAATTCACAGTATTACTGTGAGCAGAGACGTATATATACATGATATATATGTCTCTGCTGTGAGCACAAATGCTTTGTCATGATTGATGAAATAACAAGGTTTTTAGACCCTTTGGAACTTATGTTACTTAATATTATATTCTGATACATGTGATTTGAACAGTATACATGTATGTAAATAGGAAGTAATTTCTTTAAATGTTTGTTATCTTATTTACCTGCTTTGAAGAGAAGTAAAACATGTTCTGTTCTCTTCTTGTTTTTTCTTTTCAACAAATCCCTATCATTTGAAAATGTTTTACAACCGTGTAAAAAAGGTTAAAATCTCTTTGAAAAGCTTCTTGAACATAAGATTTCTTATCTGTTTAAGACCTAAACGTGCACGTTCCCGTCGTTACGGTCGTGATCCTTTCAACAGAAGGAAGACAACAGATTCCATCAGAGGCATTCTAGGTAAATGGCTTGTCATTATTTACTCAGTGGAGTGTTTTTCCTGTAACTGAAGGACTCTTTGAAAGTTGTATAACCAGTGAAGCCATGATTAGAATTTTTGAAAAAATATTAGCATTATCTTTTTCAGAAGGTAACAAAATAAACAAATTTCTACCAGGTTATATCTAGCTGTCTGTTATGAGTGTACCTGGTCTTGCTTGATGGTTTTACCTGTGGTTTTCTGAAACCTAGTCTTTTTATACTTAATATTTTTATTTTTATTTCAAACTTTCTAACCTTAGCCATTTTGAGCAAATTTATTCTTGTTTGATATTTTTACCTGTCATTTTCTGTACCCTAGCCATTATGAGTGTACCTGAGAACAAGGACATCTGTGATGACCAAGCAGCATATTTGCGGAGGTATGTAGACAGGTATTGAGAAATTCAATAGAGTCATCATTAAACTTGTAATTTCTGCCCTGACACAGTGTTAGGTATGTAGTGGAGAGAAATTACAAGTCTGATTTAATTAGCTGTGAGAAATGCTGGGCATGCTTTACTGCCTAAAGTTAGGTTAGGTTCGCTGGATACAAATGCTTGTTAATGGCTGGTATCCATTCCTGTATCTAGGAAAGGTAAAGGGTTGGACGCATTGATAAATCATAAAGCTAATGGAAAATCTTTTCTGCCACATTTCGTGGGGAAGGTGAGGTAAGGAGGTTATCAAATATCATTCATGTCTGTCACATTCCACCATTTCCTATCTCTGATTAACACTCCAATCCCCAATTCGAACACATTTATTTTAAAGGGACTTTCATAAAACTTTATGCTGAAGTCAACTATGACATTACATGTACGTCAAAAGAGTTTATGTTTCAAAGTTCAATGTTTTCAAAATTAAGGTAGCCATTGCTATTTTGATATACACATTTGTTAAATATGTTCATGTCTTACTACCCTTTCTAATGAAGCTTTAATATTTGCTAGCATCAGGCAAGTCTTCCCTTACAATTTAGTTATAACAATACATCAGTGTTTCTTAACTATCAATTCAAATACAGTAATGTAGTTCTTAACTTACAAAACATTTGTTTTAGAATACTAGTTTTTGATTCTTAAAGTATTGCCCTCATATTGTTCATATTAAATCAAGAGACAAATATAGACATGTAGAATAACAGACAGAACACCAATCAGCTTATTCCAATATTACATTAATCACAACAAATGATGTCACAGACTAACACTATTTAATTCTTGAATTTAATCTGTTTTAGTTTACTGAAAACAATTAATGTAAATTAACTTGGATTTTGCAATATATCTTTTTCTAGGGAAATTGTGAATGACCTTGGAAAGGACATACTGGATAAGTGTTTTGATCTCATGTCAAGTATTCAAGACGACAACATTTTACAGGTAAAAGTTTATTCCAGATATTAGAAATAAATGTGTCACAGAAGTGATCAGTTATATTAAGTTTGCTAATAGTAATCATTCTTGCTACTTTTAAGTGCAGAAGACAATGGTTTTACGTCTATATTTGTTTCCATTATTTGATTCAGCTTGATGGTGATTTAAGCATAGTCAAGATTTGATAATATTTCTTTGGTTTGTGTTTCGTAGGTGGTGCTACAAGATTTAATTGGACCAAGGAAATATGAGGAATATAGAATGCACTTGTTCTTGCTGAGGATGTTTGAACTAAATTCAATAGCTTCATATTAGGATGCTCAGATCAAACATGTTTGGCTTTGACCACCGTAATTATTTTTTCAAATACAGATTTACTCAGGAATAAAATGACTGAAAGGTCCATTTACTTGTTACACTTGAAAAGTTGGAAAATATTTGTCAGGAATCATCAATCACTAAAGCATATCGAAGAATACCTGTATTTCTAGAAACAATATGACCTTCTGAATGTTGAAAGACAAATTTAAATCATTCCTTAAATGTGATGTGCTCATTCGAGATTTTCATTCCCATGTTGATAATTTTTGGATATTTTAGAGAGTAGAGGGCCTGATACTGTAAATGACATATTTTTAGTACTTTTCGTGTTGAAAGCATTACGCTAAATTATTACGGCACTAATTGTCACCTCTGGATATTGTTAATATATCACTAATGTGCGAATTCAACTTTGCTCTTAGTTGCCAAAATGTGACAATATCTAAAATTTAATATCACTAAATAGAGTATGTTTACACTGTAAAGATAAGTTTTACTAGCCACAACCTAAGGTAGAAAAATACATGGATTTTTTCACAACTGTGATCTGAAAGTCTTCGTAGTCTAGGTTGTGGTGAATTTTATAATTTATACAAATCACACAGATACTCCTCCAGTGATTCTACTGTTATAGGTGCCAAATTTTTTATGCCATTTTTATGAAATTTTTAATCACCAGTGCCTAATTAATGACAAACTTTCTGTCAGGTTTTTATTCCTTCTTGCCTGTATATTTAACTCTGTCATTACTAAAGGTAAACACTTGATTAACATTCTCTATCATGTTCTTAAAGTAATATTTAGGTGGATTAACACTATCAAACAAGAAATGGTTGGATCACAATGGTTTCCAATGACATACTCCATGAGTGCATAAGATTGACATGGTGCTTGGAAATAACATTTTACATTCCCACTGGAGGATCAAGGTTGGTTGATGCCATGGAACAAGAAGTGTATGGACAACTGTTATGTCCGAGAACTTAGTAGTAATGGTCATGGGATTGAAACGATAGTTGTAAATAATATATAAATCATATGTTCCCACCGATGTTGTTATTGTTATGGAACTGTAAAGTTGATCTATAATTTGTTTTAATGGCTCATAAAATAGCGTTGTTGGTATATATATATATATATATATATATATGTTTTTGAGATAAATATTAGAATTGTGATTTTGGAAATTTGTTGAATTTGATTGTTAATTTCAAATCTTCATTATAGACCTACATTATCATTCCAGTCCATAGAGGGACATTTTCAATACCAGGATAGTTGAAGTCACAAATTCTGATTGCTGTTTGTGTTATGTAACTTGTAAATAGATATGTCTAATCAAAGACGTTTAGTCCAAGACTAGAATCATAGAGAATTCTATTATTCATAACGTCAGTACTTAAATAGACTTACTATGAACTATCATGATATGCGTGTTCAGAAAAGACCCTTTTTCTGTTGGATATTTTAACCTGTTTTAGACCTGACGAAGCCCTCTCCAGGTTGAAACTGGTCGGCATATCAATATAGTTTTAATAAAAATAAAGCACCTTTAACAGAGTAAGTCAGGTCGTTGCACCTCCTTGTTCATACTGTTTAGGATATGTTGCCATGATCTTTACTAGTTTTTTGGTATATCCTGGTTCTTGTGACTGTCTTAACCTTGTTTGTGTATCTCCCGATTTCTTCCTGTGGCTCGTACTTTTATCAGGTGTTTATGTAACCTGTTGATTACCGTATTGTTTAATGTCACAATGCCTACCATTGTTGCTAACATTTGTTTCAATGCCTGTTGTTTTTAGTGGCTGTGTTGTCTTTACATTGCTATCTTCCAGGTAGGTTGGCTGTCTTACCTTCGTTGTGATGCCTCATGCTTGTTTTATATTTGTTTCAATAAGTCTTTTAGTTCTCATGGTGGTCCTATCATTAGGTTTGTGTCTTTGTTAACTTGCCTCCTTGATCTTGACGAATGTACTATATTTGCGTTGGTCTGTGTTTGTCGTATCATGATTCCAGTGTTTGCCCAATATTTGCTTTGGTCTGTGTTTGTTGTATCATGATTCCAGTGTTTTTGGCTATATTTACTTTGGTCTGTGTTTGTTGTATCATGATTCCAGTGTTTTACCTATATTTGCTTTGGTCGGTGTTTGTCGTATCATGATTCCAGTGTTTGCCCTATATTTACTTTGGTCTGTGTTTGTTGTATCATGATTCCAGTGTTTGCCCTATATTTGCTTTGGTCTGTGTTTGTCGTTTCATGATTCCAGTGTTTGCCCTATATTTACTTTGATCTGTGTTTGTTGTATCATGATTCCAGTGTTTTACCTATATTTGCTTTGGTCAGTGTTTGTCGTATCATGATTCCAGTGTTTGCCCTATATTTGCTGTGGTTCATGTTTTTAATGTCTCATGGTTCTTATGATTTCCCTGTATTTGTTTTGGTGTCTCAGTTGATCTCTCCTCTTGCTGGTGGCTTTCATGGTTTTATTTGTTTTGTCCTGGATACTACGGTTACCATGCGTCTTTGTTGTGGTATCCAGTGCTACTGTTGGATCTCTTTCCTTTGTTAAGATGTTCCCTGTTTCTGTTCCTTATATTGTTGTGTCTCCTGGTTAGAGTTGTTGTATGCTCTATCATGAGACCTGATTTATGATGGAGTTATTGATGATTCCATGTGTTTTTTTTTCTCTTCAACCACATGAATTTTGTATCTGCAAAATATTGAAGTGAAAAAAAAGGTAGAAACATACAAAAGACATGAAACCACACAAGGATGTATACTAAACATTTCCTGCAATCTACATGATGACCAAAAAGCTGTACTACTTTGCACTAGTTATTGACAAAAGTTATCAATAACAATAATTCAGGTATCCATAATCTGAACGAGGAAAAACCTTGCTGCAATACACAAGATATTAAACGCTTTAATATATCAAATCTATTCTGATGACCAGATTGTTGTCTCAAACATTCCATATTGAACTGAAAATTTGTTTCACCAACAAATATTCTGATGAATAAAAAGAACAGACATGTAGGTGAATGGAACAATGTCTTTTTACTTACAAAAATTTTGATAAATACATTTAATGAAAAGAATGTTTTAAAAATATTTTGATGCATAAAAAAATGAAATACAGTTGTACTTAAATGATAACAGGTTTGACATACAAATGAATTATGAATGTGTTGGGTGTGTATATGAGTTATGGATGTTTTTGACATAAGTGGGGATGGAAGTGCATTTTTATGTTGTTGATATTGGTGGTTGTAAACGCTATAATCATACAACATTAAACGTCTTTAAATAATGTTTGATTCTGTCATCTCCCTCCCGCTGAAAACTTGCCATTGGCTATCTTGATTCATTACTGTTTGTCTACGAGTTAAGCTTACAGGAACAAAAATGTAGGACCAAGTTCATAGCAACCAAAATATTGAGATTTTATTTTTGCATTTAAATTATTTTGAGTAAAGTATTGACATAACTAAAGTTTATTAGCATTATCCCAAACATCCAAGGTAGTGATGCAGCCAAGGTTAAAATTGGCCGCCATTGTTGATTCTAGAACATGGAGTTTTAATGAGATCTTTGGAAGTGCAGACATGAAAATTGAGTTTAACATTCTGGATATGTTTGTGATCCTATCAAAGACCTGATTTATTGGTTCCAATATTTACTTTGTACAAAACACAGATATGAACACACACTTGAATTGTCTACTTGGTTTCAACTATAGATAAATTAGAAGCAGTTAATTTGTCATATACAGCTTTTATAATAGAATCTTTTATTTCGGTTGTTATTTGACCTAGCTGGTTTAGATAATTCAATTAATCATAATAAACACAATGTGTCTACAACTGCCTCTCCAGGTATTTACAAAGCGAAATCTCCCATTTGCCAACTCTTTCAAACGTTTGCTTGCGGTTGGGAAAACAATGGTAGTGAAACAAGAATTAAAAGGAGAATAATTTAGATGGCTTGCCAGTTGTGTTTTATTTTTCGGTTAAAATTATTGTGATGTGTAGAGATTAATTATAAAAAGTTGATGATATTAAACAAACAAATTATGTAATGAATGATGCATTGTCTCACCAAAGGGTAATTCGAAAGAAGATTCGTCCTCGTGCTTGTATTCATAGGCAGACTTATTGTATAACAGCTGTAGTGGATAAGTTGGTAGCCTTTATAGGTATTCATAGAAATTGTGAATTTATTTGTCATTTGAATGGGTTGTAAATGTATTTGATGTGGGAATGAATAAAGAATAAACTACAGGTGTAAATGGATTATAGATATAGTTGAGTTGTAAATGGATTTTAAATGTATTTGACGTGTAAATGGATTATGAATGTATTTGATGTGTAAATGGATTATAAATGTATTTGACTTGTAAATGGATTATAAATGTATTTGATGTGCAAATGGATTATAAATGTACTTTATTTGATATGTAATGGAGTATGGGTGTAGTGCCAGTTTTTAATAACTCTATATTTTATAAAATAAAATTTGCCATGTAGATTTTAAAATGATCTCAAAAGTGATTACATTTGGACCAGACATATATTTTTGACCATTTAGAAGAGACTTTAATCAAGTTGAAATGTTAATGTTCAAATATTGTCATCTCCTTGTCTTTTTAAGATAAGCAAATTTATATAAGTACATGAAATGTACCCCTAATTATTTTTATATGACATTATTTTAATAATTTGAAATGATTTATGTTTGACTAAAATGTGTTAGATCTCCATCATTCCCTAAAGATAATGATATGATATGAATGCACATTTTCTATGCAAAATGTTTCACGTATTGAATAATATATTTCATCAAAAATATTCCTAATCTTTTCACCAAGTGTTATGTATACACAGATAAAAATTCATATTTTCATACTTGCCAACTTAGGTATGTATGAAGGCCTATATGGTAATTTGAAGTACTTCCTTTTGATTTTCTTTGAAATTGCAACATCATGATAAATATTTTAAATTCTGACAAGGTCTCAAAATATGCTTGTTGGTATAGAAGGTGACTGAA